CACAACTAAGATGTGACTATAATCTTTTTTAGTTGCGGTTTACTTGAACAGTCTAAAATCACAAACCATTAAGTGATAATGAATGAAATATTCTGGCTTTGTTACGTGCTTAATAAATAATCCAAAATTAAGTACGTTACCCTGTTAGGAATTTATGGTTATTCTCAACGTTAACCCTTCGTAGTTATAATCGAACCTTGTCAAGAGTACAATTAGCGGCAGAACTGGTCACTCATCACGACCGAGATCACATTATTCTGAAACAGAATACTCTTATCCTCGTCCCCTCTACTCCTTTATAATGTTGCGACGTTTTGTCTGTCGTTAGACATTCTGAACAGGGTTAGAGCAAGTATTGAGTCGAATTGTAGTTCATTTTTAAATTTTATTTCTTAAAACATCCTTAATTGTGGATGCGTAAATATTACGCGTGAACTTATTTTGAAGGTCAAGCGTACGTGCCGGCCACTATGCATTTGCCTCTACGGGACAGAAAACGTGATCAACGCTCTCGCTGAGAGCGGTCCTCTCGACTTCCCGTCGAAAAAAAAATTTACTTTTATTTTTTACCTTCGAAAAGGAGTTAGGACACACGTTTCAAAAATAGTTTAGTTGTTCTCCAATTCTCTTTTTTGCGTCGCCAGTAATTTGATGTAGTAATATGATGTAGTCAGTTAGTTCACAGGCTAAATATGGAAACTTCACCTGAAATATTTTCCATACCAAAGTGATCAGGGGAGACCCTTCTCTTAGACCTTAACTTGCATATCAAAAATTTACTTATTTGTACGAAAGAATTCTCAAAACGCAGGCTTTAATCGGGCTAAAAAAGCATATCAGTATTATGCATAGTTTATACACCAATGAGGTCGGCGATTGCCTCAAACCAACGGTTATATATCTGACTTTCATCCACCGACATGCTAAAAACAATGCAAATCCATGTATTTGCTCAATTGCGCTCGTGTCGAGGCGCCTCTCGATAATTTTCGTTGAATTATCAGCTCATGAACTATGCACAGAGTGGAGAAGATCAAAATTAAAGAATAAAATTTTGCACTCTGGTCAATACAGACATATCGCGTTGCTGAAAAGGACACACAAACAAGTGAAATGCGTTACGGTGTTATTTACAAAACAACACGCATACACTCTGAAAGAATTCTGGCAGTTTCCCTCGAGATTTAGCACACAGAACGCAATCATCGCACTAACCCTCTTTTCTGCAAATTTGTTTCCATCATTATCCGCGTTCAAATGTTATTTATAAATTCCTTATTCAGAAACTCCCCTAAATTTAAGATTTAACGATTGTAAAGTCATTAGCTCCTTTGAAGAATCCAACCTGAAGGCAGGCTTGATCTACAGGCACTCGAAGGAAAACGGTCTGGAAGTCAGAATTTCAAAACGGTTCTAGTTAACACTGCGAATAGTCTTCATCTGGCATGTTCCTAGTCGACCTAGTCTAGTCTAGTCTCGACAAAAAGAATCTCTTGTTTGTCAGTTGTGGCTGCTTTCAATAGATCAAAATAAACCCTGAAACAGAATATCTTCTGGCTTTGTCACGCGATATATGAATGGTTCACAGAATTGCGTATATTGCATGCCCTCTCTGGAAAATTGGGGCTTTTATTTAGTAGTCTCTGCGAGCGATTGAGATGTTTTTCCAGCTGGTAGTGGTTTACCATTTCGAGGGTAAAATTGTGAAAAATATTTCCTATGGGACTCGTTCTTAATTGGCGCCAGGTTTTCGAAATCGATGACTCGCGTTATTCAAAGAAAAATTTTTGGCGTTACAACATGGTGTAAACAAACGAACGGGACTCTGACCCAGTGTTCTCCTCATCACCCGAGAGAACGATGTATGGTATATTTAGAAATAATAACAAAAAAAAAAGAACGGCAAAACACTGAGGTTTTTCCCGCGACAAAGGTATTTAGCCTACGATAATAGAATGAAATTCAGTTCCTCTAAAAGTATAATTTGCAATGAAAAAAATAATCGCCTTCATTATTTCTTTCCATTGAAATAGACGAAGAAGAAATTTTATCTGATGAAGAATCACATCTCGTGAGATTATCCATCAGAAACTTCCAAGAGTTTATACAATGCTTTAGCAAGCTAGTAACATCAAAGATCGATGTATGCAGTATCCCATATCGATCCCAGACAAGCAAATACCAGCAATGGAGTGACAGTTCAAGGTAACTAATCTGTCTGCCTGTTTGCCGTCATCTTGCATTAAATATTCATAGATCACAAGAAATGAAACAGTTTGCCTTCTAAAGAAATGTAAATGAACCTTATTTAAGTAAATAAATTAACCCTTTATCTCCCAATATCTAATGTTAATTCTCGCCTCTGGCTGATGTACATTTCCTAGTAAATTGCATACAAGAATTTGGTGTTAGTTTAAGATAATAAACTCTACCTGATTAGTTTAAGCATTCTCAAAACATTTTTGCTGGGTAAAGTATGAATATTACAGGGAGAAGTTACACATATATCACTAATGGGAGTTAAAAGGGTTAAAACATATTTGAACCAACCCAAACGTCCTCATACGAACTCACCAAAACGATGCTTTCAGGAGTATGATGATGACAGCTTAAGCCTCCGATCAGTTTTACATGAACACTTCAAAAGTGACAAAATGACTTAAGAACTTTCTTGAAGGTAATGATATAAATGATAATGGTAGATGTTAAGCCTGGTGATTTTAATGAAAGATGATGATTTCAGTGAATGACACAGGTATACTCGGAGAGGAAAAGAACACCAAGTGCTCCCGGCTCATTAGGAGTCGAACCTACGACCTTCCGATTAGTACTTCGGGTGTTCTACCATTGAGCTACAGGCGACATGTGGCAGGCTTAGATGTTTAACTTGGTGCATCCTGACGAACTTCCTGCATAATGCTAGGATAAGAATGCTTCATATGATGCTTTTGCGCAATGATGAAGTAAATGAAGATGGTGAATGAAGCCTGAAGGTGTTTTCAAAATATGGGATAGGTTGGAAAAAAGAGCTTTGAATTTATTAAAAAGCTGTTACTAACCAAATTCCCTACGTATTTATTCAAATATAGAGACCACCAGTCAACTTGATAACTTAAAAACCAACAATGAAAAAATAACTGGCAAACCGGGATCAATATCAGTATCTGAGCAACTGCCCACCTACCCTTCCCCTAACCCAACAACAGTCTATTGATAACAAGTTGGGGGTGAATGTTGGGTTAGGGGAGGGGTAGGTGGGCAGTTGCCCAGATACTGATATTGATCCCGGTTTGCCAGTTATTTTTTCATTGTTGGTTTTTAATCAAACTATGTACATACGAGGTAAATATGGTCTAAAAATGCTTTCACTTGAGCTTTGTACCAATCATCTAATAGCCATTTTCATGGCACCAAAAATTCTGAGCTTTAACATTGAAATGCTCCACTTACCTTTGACGATAACAATTGGCAAATCAATGAGGCAATTGGAGAATCTTTGTAGAAATCTTTTAAAATCGACAATCATCTTTACAGACAATGAGCAAGGCTAAGTAAAGATTCTGTCATTAAGTCACCACTGGATAATTCCAAAACTTTCTGTAAATCAGGGGTTTACTTTTAATTGTCAATTTTTGAAGTGTGTACTCTCCAAAGCTGAACGAGCGACCCTTTCAGAAAAAGTGTTGCAGCGTTCTATGCGCCTCGAAGCCTTTGGGGAAACTTACTGTTAAGCGATCTTCTGAACAAAAGAACAGCGAGGGAGGAGAATAGATTCCTGGTGGTCTGTTGACCTTAGCTCAAAGTATGGCCTATTTCTCACCCATTACGAGTTAAGGAACGGTAAGCCAGCTAGTACTGACTCACTTCTTACAGAGTGGCAACCAACTTCAAGGTTCCATGGATGAAGGCATAAACACCATTAGGTGGCGAAACAATGCAATTCAGTTCAGGTGTTTTGATATTTTGGCTATAAGGTGAATGACACCACACAATGTTTCTTGAGCTATATATATTCTGACAGTTCCCTTCTTCTGGTTTTTAACGTATGTATTAGATAGTTTTATTGCATTCGCTGAACCTCAGGGCACCATTGTCCGATTGTTACAGTTTTTGTATTGTTGGCTGGGGCCAAAATAAGGTCTAAACTCTTAAGCTTTCAGAGACCGAAACTTTTTTATAGAGCAGAGTTTAAATTCAGCTTTGATGTACAACGGGTTGTAACTTTTCATTTTGTATATTCAACTTCGAGTGGCCTTCCTGCTGAGAGTTTTTCTCGACTCCGCAACCCAAAAAGTTTCCTTTTTTCGAGAGAAGGGTTTAAGAAACATGTTTCAAAATAGTTTGATTGTTTTTCAATTCTATTTTCTGCGTTGCCACAACCTAAATCGTGTTTTTACTAAACTGCTTGAAGGGACAGCGATTGATTGATTGATCCCAACTTAACTTACTTATCACATTTCTATCTGGAATGGCATAACTGCAGATCCTCTTACAGCAGAAAAATAGAACGGATTCAAGAACGTGCACTTAGAGCAGTATTTAATTCCCATTCAGAATTACACGAAAACCTTTTGGCTCACGCAGAGCTGCCCTCACTATTAAATCGAAGACTTCAAGATATCGCCATATTAATGCACAGAGTAAAATATGGCATAACGCCGAGTATTGTTGACGAACTATTTAAGCAGAAAAGCATTAGTTATTCACTAAGAAACAGTAATTTTGAAATTCCTACTTTTAATTAATACTATTAACTATGGAAAACATTCTCTTAGATATCAAGGACCTCATATATGGTCAAAACTGGATGATAAATTGAAAGGCTTCTTTAATACTGAATCCTTTAAAAAGAACATTAGGAAAAAAGACCTAGCGTCACTCTTAAACAACAGCAGCTGCTGTAACCTGTGCAACTCTTAGAGACCATCTTTTATATTCATACTGTTTATTACACAATTTACACATGTTATTCACATGAATTATATATTCATCCTTCATAATTTCTTATTTGTAAATAATTATATTTTATCTTATCTATTTATTTATCCATTTATTTATTCCTTTTTTTTGTGTCCCCAATTAGTTGTGAAAACTAAATACATTGACACATTAATAGAGCTTTTACTTTACTATTTACTAACTCAGTCATTGACAATGAGAGAACATTTGCCTTTGGTCATTTTTGAGACCCCCATTCTGTTGTCTAACTTGGATCAAATCACGACGAACTTTGTGCAGTGACTAAAATAGGAGTCTTAAAGGACGAACTATGTGGTAAGTAAAATGATCCGACATAAATTGTTGACAATATTAACCTGGTTAATCTTCAGCCAATTTACCACAGTCCTTTTCTAAAAAAAGTTTCATAAAAATACATACAGTTTTGTTTCAATTCTGAGCCTACGCTTTGCAAACATCACTATCGGTAACAGAAACAATTTGTAACAATCTATACCTTTGAAATTAGAAGATCCTCGCAGCTAAGAACACTACTGAAACTAGTAGTTGTAAGTAGGACCTGAAAAAATTTCAGGCCCGTACGGGATTTGAACCCATGACCTCTGCGATACCGGTGCAGCGCTCTACCAATTGAGCTAACAAGCCAACTGGGAGCTGGTCAATGAATTGGGTACATCTTTCCACCGCAGTGCAAATATGTGAATTTTCATATATCTAAATCTTCATTCACTCAAATCTATACCTTTGTTTTGCTTTCAATTTTTTTGGTTATTTGTATGATTTTGATTTATCTTTTTTCCTTTAAACCTCTTACAGTTTACTAAAGTAAAGTTTACGGTAACTTGTTAAAGTTGACGTCTCTCCTCTTTCTTTCGAAAACAAACATAGGGTTATACTAATAATAAAACGTCAAGGGATACCTTCCCCAATGACTACAAAGATCCAGTTGGAAGATATCCTTCTCAAACCACCCAGACGAAACCAAATACGTAGCGCCAGTCCCTGGTATGTTAAGTAGCTGATACTAGCTTAGTATCACATTTTCGTTAATGTGGTATTCATAAGCCATTTGGTGATTTTTAATTGTTCAAAATGGCCTGTTTTTCTCGTCAATCAATCAAACAATTCAACAGATAGATAAAACTTGCCTAGTGCAAGTGCATAGTTCAAAACTTCAGTATGTTGCAAAGAATTTTGAGCTCATAAATTATTCCTAACATTAAGGCCCCTGATAGTCAATCGGACCTACACTACCAAACTTATTTTACTTTTTGAATGTTTCCATCAGAGTAGTATTGAGACCAACCACAATATGGGTATTAATTGATCTGACCGGTAATTACAAGTTAGTTCATGAACGGAGCACTCTGGTGTCTTATTATGACAAATGTTAAGAGCTGTTGGCAATTGTGTTTCCTTACAGTAAATCAGCCAAACGTGGGAGTTCACAGTCTACTAATCTATCATACAGATCTCCCACATTCTGTATCAACCGCTGTTTTCGAGCATGCTCCAGCGCGGCGTCACATGGATTCAAAACTCGCTTGTCGAGGAATCTGATTTCTGCCGGAGTCAAACCCAGTCTCTCCGCGAGGGACATCCATTCGTCTCCACCTAAGGGTAAAAAAACGAAAAAATATTGAGTCCTGGCAAACATTTTTTTCAATTATTAGACCTGGAAAGTTCTTTAAAGAATCTTAATGATTATTTGCTAAAATCGTTCTGCGTTGCTCCAGTGCGACCATGCTTCGGAATGCTACATCAGTGGGAAAATGATAACGACCACCAAGGAACTTTCCCTATCCAGCCCATTTCCGTGGAAGGTTTATATTCATTTTACAAGGAATTTCGAGGAGAGAGACCAAACGAAAGTGTTACGGCGCATATAGCAGCCGTTTAATAACAAGGTTTGTAAGTTGCTGACTTAAAAAAATGTATCACACAGAAGGGAGGGAAAGGGTCATAAGCACCTCAGAATTCCCTCTACCTGTACCCTTGATGTGGTTCTGGTGGACTACTCGCAAAAGGAGGAGGAGGCGTTGAGTACCACTCTAAGTGAGAGAGTCGAGATGCTGACAATTGCCCAAAAACTTGGCTGCATGCATACCGGGTGATTACAGAAGCTATATATTGCGCCCTGAACACTTTTAAGTCTTAAAAGACCTATAACTTTCCATTTTAATCCTATGCACTTCCTTGTAAATTACTAGAGAGAAATCGTTATTGGATCTTCGTCGAAAAACAAAGTTAGACTGCTCCCGTCACCCATGTCCTCGATAATACAAAAGTCGGCAGACACGAGGGGACCAGTAGTTGGGGCTTGTTTCGGGGACTAGTCCCATGAGTGACCAAGACAGAATTTCTCCTTACAATATCGATACAACATCAAGCAGACAAGCGATGAGAATAAAGAAAAATATAAATTAGGGGATTATAAGTTAATCCAATAGCAGTTTCTCCAAACTAACACCTTTTGAGACAGAGTGTTTACAGCCATTAATACACTCGACAAAATAAATAAAGCGGAGGACTGTGGAAAACGTTTATCAATAACTAGGAAATAACTTGACAAATTGCCCTATAAAGTAGTAAGTATGAACAAAGTGTTTCGTCTCACCGCAAAGGTTTATCGTTAATTCTCTCCTCTGACCCAAAGGAATCATGGCAACATCACACGTTTCAGGCAACAAAGGACCTACCGGAAGAAAGATTTCTTGATGAAAGCTTATCTAAACAACTGAGGGTATGGTTAGAATGGTATTTGTTTCGTATAACATAAAAACAGGACGCATATTTATTTATCATTTATCACATAAACTGCGGTGTTATACAGGGATTTCCGGCTCTGAGAATAGCCGTAACAACACACGTGAAAAAATATCGTATTTTTTCACGTGTGTTGATATAGCCAATCAGCTGCTGCAACGTCACTCGCCTTTGGCGTCACTCGGTCAGGTTGATGAATGAACGGCAAAGCCTTCACGATTCTCTATACAAGTTGTTTGTCGGAGCTTTCTCAAATTGACGGCTAAAACACTAAAAAATCCGTATCACTGACAGACTGTGAGGTTCAAACTTTCTTAGAAGGGGAAGGAAACCAATATACTAGAAGGAAAACCGAAAGTTGCCTATTCAGTGGCTTTGGTGTTAGCATTTCTCTCGGCTGAGAATGAAAATCAACAACTGGAAGATTTGCCATTTAACTGAAAGACTTCTTCGGTCGGTAAGGACAAAGTCACTAAATGAGAATTTTGTAACTTGAAAATTACGACCATTGTTGTTTTTGTAATCATGATTCAACGCATTTTTCCATCTAAGGAGTTAACGCAAACGCATCACTATATCTGGTTAAGTACGATCAGACTGAATGAGCAATATGACTGAGCCGTTGCTGATCCTAACACAAAACTAGTGTTACATACGAACGAGACATAAGGTCTCACTTACTCTCTCTGTGACACATGTGAAGACAAATGATAATGACCAATGTACCTTAACAAATATAAACCCAATGCAAAAATGAAACATTCCCTTAGAAGTATACCCCCGACATCCCTTTAACATCAGCAAAGGTGTACTTCAATTCACCTGTTGTACCCGCGGGGGTAATTTCTCTCAATTTTTTGACAACTTCTGGCTTGTTCGCAGTCTTAGCCTTAAAACAAAGGCAGCGGATCTTCTTCTTAGTGTCAAGGTCTGGTTGTTCCAATGACAGGTTCTCCAAGGAGAGACTTTGCTGAAATTGGGCCACAACCTCACTTGCATCACACGTCTGAGTCGTCAGGGCCTCAAGTACTCCACTGCACAGGACAACTGCTTGATCGTTATGGACTAGATTACAAATGTAATGGTGTCAGAGCATACAATGAATACAAAACAGGAGAAGAATGAAAGAAGGAAACATAAAAGGATATATGATTTGTTTGTATCATTTAATGGTTTTCTACATCAACACTGAAATGCGAAAATCGTTTAGACCTGAAATTGGCTTGCTATGTTTGGTTAAAAATCTAGTGGCCTTCCCAAGAATTATTTTATAATTAAACAGCTACATAACAGAAGCTTACCATCTCCACTGCTAGGCAAGGGGCAGTTTTCTTCGTATCCGTCAGTGGCTTGCTATATGAAGGAAAAAAACCGAGAAATTACCACTTTTATATCGTCAGCAGTACTGTAAAGTATCACTGTTTTAATCAAGAAACCTGAGGATTCGTTAGAGGCATCAAGGTGTCGTGGTTTTGAATTACACGACTGCCTGCATCGCAAATCCCTATTTCGCGCCGTTAATCATTTCCTTTTGATAACAACAGTGGAGGTAACTAAGGGAATGACGAGTAATATATTTTATCCAGCAAGCTTTCGTCAAAATTCTATGTACTGTATCAACATGGTAACTTGAACTAACTTGAACTAACGAGATTTAATCCCAAGGATCTATCTTAGGTGCGGAGAATGAACTCGAAATTGACAAGAAAAAGTCATAAATAATGGGTACAGATTCATTAGTACATTACCCGTTCCTCTAGAGATCCAAACCAGAATCCAACAAAATTGACAGGAACCTTGCAATTTACGGCAACAACCGACCGGGTGCATACAATGGATCCATGGCTAGCGAAGAGCTGAGACTCTGACAACAGATGCAGGCACTGCTCTTCCTTACAGCCACGTACATTATGGTTGCAGCAGTGATTCACGGAACGACTTGCACAGCACACTGGACAGCATACTGAGAGATCATATGCCATGTTCTTTAGCCAGGGAAACTCTTTTCGCATGCACTCGAGAATCAGTCCTAGTCGTCGACAGACTGCACGAGCAAAATCCACCTGAAAGGCGTCGTATGTAGATTCTGAATGCAAATTCAGTCCTGATGCTATATCCAATAAGAGTCCAGTGGCACATCTTTCTTTGTGAACAACTACCTCAATGAAGGAAGAATGGCATTTGAGGATTAGAGAACAACCTTCAGCAGGATGTGTGTAAAATCTAGCAAAGTTTTGATGCAACTGAGGTTGCGTTTGACTGGAAAACTCCTTTGTGCACCACTGAAAGACCATTAGGACCACACGAGAGAAAAGGCCGGACGGCACTTGACTAGACTTGAACTTAAGATAAAGTGGCGGGATCCCTGCAGAGGCAATCAGCTTACTCACATCCTCCAGCGGTGGGAACTTCAACATGGAAGGTACAAGATATTCAGTGGGTGAATCAGTCGCGACTGATAACGACAAGGGACATAACAAGCAGAATTTCTCCATCATGGCAATGAGAGTGTGACAAGTTTCTCGGTTATCAAACAAGGGGCCCCATACATGCTGCAAGAGCTCTTCTTTCAAGATTCCTGTTCTCTCAAGCTTCAGCCACAGTTGCTCGTATTTTCTCTCTTTGCTTTGGTATGGCCTTATGGTAATTACCTCCTTAAAGACATCTATCAACCATTGAGGGTCCAAGATCACCATTCTGTTTAACTGTTGAGTGTCGTCAAAATGAATTAAAATTCTCTGATCGTGTAAGAAGTTCAACAATGCCACAAATTGTTCAATGCTGGAAATACCACATTTTTCGGTCGCAATACATTTGGCTTCATCGAGAGAAATCCACTTGCGGCCATCTTGATGCTTCTCTTTCATTTCCTTTTCAAACTTCAACCACTTGATCGGAATTGCCTCTTTCATTTGTGGTAACTCATTGGCAACAGTTTCTACCTCCTTTCTCAGCCGATCGACTTCTGAACATTTTTCTACACTTCCGGATTTAGTGTTGTCTACAAAAAAAACATCAACTAGATGTTCTCCGTAAACCCGCGTCTTCAATGAGCCAAATATCTTGCGGGCCAACGCACGAGGATCTGAACCTTGAAAAGGTTTATCAGCGTGAGTGCAAACAAGGAAAACTGGGGGAAGCCTTTCTAGTAATATTTCAGATGCAGGCATTTCCTGGAGGTCCTCGTCTTCCAGAACCAAACTAGATACAGAGGACATCCATAAGTCAAGATAATCCATGTTACTCCTTTCACAGAAAACATCCTCGCTATCCTCGTAGAATCCGCACTTCACTTGAGGGCTGACTTTACCATTTGGATCTCGACTTAAGTCGTGAACTAAAAGGTAAATCGCCCTTGTTGTGAGAAATAAAGGATGGGTGGCGTAATAGACAGATTGTCCAGCAAAATCCCACAAAATTGAGTACAGATCTTGTTTACCTTGGGCACCTTCGGCTTCTTCTAGTTGAAGCCAATTTTCAACCAAAGCAGCTATCTCATCTGGTACCTCTTTTAACTCCGGTGCATCTGGTCCAGCGTCGACTTCATCAGCCATAACAGCATTCTTTATCTCCTTTAACTTTATTCCTTCTTCATCTGAATTTGTTGCTCCAACTCTGGAGTTGGAAAGGTCAATCCCACTTTCAGGATTCGACGCATGAACATTTTTCATCTCTTTTGAATTTATCCCTTCTTTAAGGCTCGTTAAAATGCATTGAGCTGTACATTGTTCAAAGGTAATGTGCGCTGGATCTGAATTTGCTGCTTCATCTACACTTTTTCCAACTTTCCATACCTCTTGGGAAAGTTTGCAGTAGGAAGGGTCAGTCTCTATTCCTATGGTGCTGGTTTCTTCTGGGTTGAAACGTTCTCCTTTTAATGACCTCTTTAAACTTGTTTTTCCTGACTGACCTTGTCCAATAAACATGATGGGCACTCTTTTTACTGTGGTTTTCCCCTCTGAAAGGGCTTTATGATAGGCCAACACCGCTGAAGGACCTCGGGAATTAATCTCCAGTGGCACTGTATAGGTAAATTAAGGAAACGTCACGTAATAAGAAAATTTTCAATCCCATAAATAAAACGCACTAAATAATGGTAATTGAGTTGAGTGGAGTGCAATTTGGGCTGAAATCATACGCGTAGTTTCAAAATCATCCATTTTGAAATCGCCCAAATATAAGACTTGGTCAGTTCAAATATTTTATTGATGCAGTATTAAACCGGTCGGAAATTAAATTCATCCATTTTTCGGGGGGGGGGGGGATAAGAGTTTTGGAAACAAAAGTTGCAAAATTTGCCACATGATACTCTTTGTATTTCATTTTTCTGATGGAATTATTCTGATGGAGTTTGTTATCTTGCCCATAGTTCCCCTAAGAGTCCTTTGATCTTTCTGGAATTCGAACCCACAATTTCATGAGTTACAATTATAGTTATAATTGAGGCCTAAAGATTAGTAGCGTCATAATTAAATCAGACATGAATTGATTTTAAAAAGCAAAACAAGAAACACACCTGATGATTGGTCTTCTGAACTTTCTGTTTCAGGTGACAGTAACCTAGGGGGAATATTGTTAGAAAACTTTTTCATTTCATCAATAACATCCCATCTGGCTACATTAGGATTCCTTAACCAACCAAGGAGATCATTCACAGTCTTTTTGAGTTGAATCATCTTTTCAATTAGTCCTTTCATTTTTCCATGGTCTTGAGCATTCTCTAATTGTCTTACATCATCAGCACTCAAATTCATTACACTGGCTATCCCCCGCCAGTCACGATGATTGGCATCTGATAAATCCATTAACTTCACAATCTGCAACTGGAGTTTGTAGGGGATGTCTTTGATAAGTGTATCTGGATGAAAGAAAAACAAAGAGCTGTGAACAAATCTATGCCAATTTTAAGAAAAAATAAATCAACTAAACAAAAAGTTGCTGTAATTTGTCATTGTCAAGCCAACTTAAATACTGTACTCCTCAAATGAATGCACATGCGTTAATAGGTGCCCTCCACAAATAAGCACCCTCCCTGAACAAGCACCCACCCACCCACCAGGTAAAAATGTCAAACAAGAGCCCCCCCTGAAATAAGCACCCCCCTCCTTCCTCACTTTATTTAAACTCACTTTATTTAAAAATAGGGATACAAGGAAAACCTGTTTCTATTGCCACCTTACTTATAACTTTTTAAGCTGCAATTACAGCAGAATCAGTACAAAGAGAATGATAAGTGCCCCCCTCAATTAAGCACCCTCTCTCCAATAAGTGCACCCCTCTCCTCTTGCCAAAATTTTAGATAAGTGCCCAGGCTCCTATTCAAGGAATTGCGGCATCAATTTACATCCTCTAGATGGTCAAGAGGAATACCCAGGCAATGATCATAGGATACTTCACTCCCACAGGGATTTATAAACTTTCCCTAAAAGTTCACCAGTAGCCATTTACTTTCCAAGATTGGGTGAGGCAATACTAAAGTCTCCTGTCCAAGAACATGTCATAATGGTTCACACAACCAGGATTTAAATCCCCGTGTTACCTCATTAGCCAACACATTTCTCAGAATGCAGAAGAGAGTTCAAGATAAATGAATAAAGGGGGTAAGTTTCTAAAGAAACTGTAGTGCTGCGTCAGTGGGAGAGTATAACAGGATAATTTAGTATTACCAAATGAGTTGATAATGTAAATTGGCCACCGTGAAGAGTTTAAAAGCTGACGTTTTGAGCGTTAGCCCTTTGTTAGAGCGATTGGAGGAACTGTGGGCTGTGCGTGTTTTTATATGCATAATAGGATACATGAAAAAAATTACTCAGTTCTGATTGCAGGGCGTAAAATTAATTTATTTTTCTGATAGCCACTTGACTCCTAAATTCTTCAAAGTGGTAACAAATTCAAAATAAGTTGGTCGCCATTTTCAAAGACAAAAAAGACCTTTTTTTTAAGCTGTCAGCGTTCTAGATAGACCCTTCAAAGTTAAGTTAGGGAAAAAGATCTTTAACCTGCTACAAAGTGGATACTAAGATGGAAGATATGCAACGTTAAAGCTCATCTACTAAATCCAAGATGGCGTCTAGTTATCGATCGAGATGCGTGTGCTGCATTTTGGAAACAAACTTAACGAGGAAGTTTGCGCGGATTTATCCTTGCAAATCTTTTAAATTCACTTTATCTACAAGTAAGGTCAAGATGAAACATTCAAGTTGCCAATTTGGCGACTAATTTTCAGGATTTGGTCGCTAAAGTGAAAAATTTAGTCGCCTGTATTAGGCGCAATTTCACGCCCTAGATTGGTTAAGATAAATGCAGTTTTCAGGTAATTCAAGAGAGAAGAGGGTTTAGTCAATGCAAAGAAATAAAAAACCAGACTGAACAATTCCTTAACTGTGTGGCCAGACTTTGAACTTTTTTGCACCTTAAAGATGTATTGTTTTGATCGTACGGGGTTGTTTTGACCGAATGCACAATGTCACTTGCAGGGTTTAAATAAATTGTTTTTGCACTTGATGTGCGCACTTTGCTTCTGCTTAATTATGATAGACTATTTCATGTTTTTTCATGTTAATATGTAATCACATGATCCTGCTCATATAATTTGGAATAAATAAGCCTGTAAATTTTTTCAAAGACCACAAATTGCACTTGCTCTACAGGCTCATGTAATTTTGTTAGTCTTTGAAACAATTTACTCATGCTTATCTATTCCAAATTGCACTAGAAATCAAGTGATTACCTATACAAAAAAGGAGCTACGCTGTTGGTGGGAATATGGTGACAAGAAAACAAGAATAAAATAGTTGAAGGAAAAGTGCTCATTAATACTGTGGGGATTAAGAGTGTCAATTTGAAAGACAAATTTTTGTAATTTTGGTTCTGATTATATTTTTATTTATTCTTCTACAAATTCCTCTCAAATGGGAATTCATGGTAAGTGTTCATCAAGACTTACCTAAACTGAGCACATTATTTTTCATATCAGCACTGGAGGACTGGTTGCTAGCAAAAGCTTGACCTTGGCCTTGGCCTTGGTACAAGTTTTTCAATCTACTGTCACTTTCTTGATGACTAAATTGTTCTGTAGACCCTGAGTCAAGAGAAGGTGGGTTCACCTCTCTTTTTTCATCAGGTGGATCATCAAAGTTAACATCTGTAGATGGAGTATCAGGACTTGCTGGTGTTGGTAGTCTTAGAGCTCCTGATGATAAAGAGTCAGCAATAATCATTTGTCAAGATTTTCATGCTCAGATTGTTTCACCATATCAGTGAGTAATTGTCATTACTTTTAACCAACCCCTGACCCGAAGTAAAAAAAAGGACAGCCCATCAGTTGATTGATCTAAGACATCAAATGTAAATGAGAAGTCTATCCCTGAGATCATATAGTTTCTTCTCTCAGAAGGTACTTATGAGTCATGATGCTGACTGGCTTAGAAATTCCAGAGGGTAAAAGTGAGCTTTTATCAACTGACTTCATATTGTGTTGACTGATTGATTGACCAACTCACTCACTGACTGACCAACTCAGTTACTAATTTACCAACTGACTCATTCACTAACTCACTGACTTGCTTGCTGACCAACTGACTGACTCTCTTACTCACTCACTGACTGACTCATTGACTCACTGACTGACTCACTCTCTAATTCACTGACTGACTCATTAACTGATTTACTGACTCACTGACTTACTAACTGATTAACTGACTGACTCTCCAACACACTGACCGACTCATTGACTCACTGACTCACTAATTCACTGACTAACTCATTAACTGATTCACTGACAAACTGACTTACTAACTGACTCATTGACTCACTGACTGACTCATTAACTGATTCACTGGCAAACTGACTTACTAGCAGACCACTTGACTGACTGACTGACTCTTTCACTCACTCGCTGACCAACTGACTGACTGACTGACTGCCTCTCTAACTCACTCACTGACTGACTCACTCTCTAATTCACTGACTGACTCATTAACTGATTCACTGACTCACTGACCTACTAACTCACTGACTTACTAACTGATTAACTGACTGACTCTCCCACACACTGACTCACTCACTACTTCACTGAGTAACTCATTAACTGATTCACTGACTGACTTACTAACTGACCACTTGACTGACTGACTGACTCTCTCACTCACTGACTGCCTCATTGACTCACTGATCCACTGACCCACTGACTGACGATCTCACTAACTCACTAACTGACTGACAGACTCACTAGCTCAGTCTCTGGCTTACTCACTGACTCATTGACTGACTGACTTGCCAACAGACTGACCAACTTGTTTATTTAGACAACTTTTCTGTCATCACCAATATTTTACAATTGCAGATGGTTTGTCATGACTGAGATACATATCCAAATGCAGCGATCTGATTGGTGCAAGGAACATACCACTCTACACGCCAACATAGAGTTATTTTTTTATGAAAAAAGAAATTATAATAACTAAAAACCATGCCAAATCCGTGGTAAACTTGTCGAGCATTTGTCGTAAAAGCTACTACCAGCGTGTAATTGAACTGAAATCAGTTAACTGGAAAGGCAAAAATTGTCTTTTGTTGTAAAACTCGGGGATTCTATAATTTTAAAACGACTAAGGATAAATCCTGGAAATTGGAGGTGGAATACTTTGGCAAATTATTCTAAAGGTCTTATGAACAGATCAAGTGCTGACGGAATTTGACGGCTTTGAAAATTTTCATGCCAATGCAACAGACGAAAAAAAATATGTCATGACAAATTTTATCCTTTGATTTTGTCGGGAAAATTCTAGTGCGGAAAGGACCTTACTGACCCACTGACTCAGTAACTGATTCCCTGACTATCTGACCTACTAACTGACTCACTTGCACCGACTTACTCACCGATTATTGATTGATTGGTTAATTACGGTTAACTGAATTTCTCTCAATGAGCGAAAGTTTGGAGTGGTGAAATCAATCTGTTGCTACTGCAGAGGAGAGTACTCTAGTCCAAAAATTAATAAATCTTATGTCGTGAAGGTTGAATCGCGTGACTATTGCAAGATACGCTGGCTTTGTAACTCCGAAAATTTTTTAAGCGAATTAAATGAGGCGAAAACAGCTCACTGACCTTGTTCTCCACGAAGTTCTCTCTCTGCTTCTAAGAGATCGTCTGCTAAGTGAATCAAACGATTGTCTGGATTTTTCAGGACTGTTAAAAACTTATCAAAAGCTTTCGGTCCTCTCTTCTCCAACAAACTTAGCAATGTTTGTGACGCGTGAATGGAACCCAATCTGTTTTCCGTAGCCTTTATTTCCTCTTTATCTGAAGGGCAGAAAACTGAGCCGAGTTGTGCGGCAATCAGTGTTGGGCTGGTAATGCTATTCATGATAACAGTTGTCTTGCTAGCCAACACTTTCTTGTGGATTGCATCCATGTTTAGCCTACCAGCAGAGAGAGGTTCGCAGTTACCCAAATACACGGAAGTAACTACATCACGGGCGACGAGTGGGGGAAGAAGAAAAGACCGAAATACGAGTGGTCAGCGGGGAAACAAATTTAATACGTCGTATAGAGACATATCAGTTATAGTTGCGGAAAACAATAGTGTTGTAAAGCCGAACTATCAACAGTATACTTCGCTAAATAAAATGTTAAGCAATTTTTCAAAAGTGTTTGATGGCACATATATCTCTTACTGCTGTAATAAACAATAGAGGTATCGGAAAAGGCATTGGTGGCATCCGGAAGACCAACAGTACACTTCGCTAAATAAAATGTTAAGCAACTTTTCAAAAGTGTTTGATGGCACATATCTTTTACTGCTGTAATAAACAATAGAGGTATCGGAAAAGGCACCGGTGGCATTCGGAAAAGCACCAAGAAGAATTATATTTACGTTTTGTAACTTGCAAAAAACAATCGTGTTGTAAAGCCAAAATATTACCAGGTTATACTTCGCTAATTCAAAAGTTAAGCAATTTTCCAAACGCTCTAACTGGAACAATATTTTTACTGCTATATTAATCAACGGAGGTATCAGGAAAGACATCAGTGACACCGGGAAAGGCATCAAGAAGAATGATATTTACGATATGTAGCTTGTTGTATGGCGAAAAAAAGTATCTTGACTTGTTTAAGGCGTTAATCACAGTCGGTTTGCTTTTCACTTGACCTTTGCAATCTCGACTTGAAAAGCTAAGCAACGCTAAAACGATGTCGTTCTAGATTTTTATATTTTTAGAGTCATTAATAAGTTTGTATCCACAGCCTTTAGATAAGAAATTTTAAATTTCCATCAGCTGTAGTTCTTTTAGTGTTGATTATATATATTCAATCGCCTCATTTCACGTGAAAAAGACATGTAGGAAAACACTGAGCTTCGAGAAACAGCCAAGTTAAGGCTAATGTGTTTACCACGCTTAAATATTGATAATCAGGGCTACTCGTTTAGGAGACCTTTTTTCAGAAGATCCAGGCGTTAAAATAATTCTGTTTTCCGTTCGAAGTGTTTTTCATTTTAACAAATGAACTCGGGATGAAAACTTAACTTTCGAAGCGAACGGCAGATGAAATGTTGTGTTGGTGTCTCTATCCCCACCACGTCTCTGCGAAAGGTATATCCAGACAACCTGCATGGAAAAACTGACCACAGCTATCGCACCAAATTTTAAAAAAAAATTTTTTAAACTAAACGGGTGAGCAGCACTCTGCGAAAGGTAGTTGTTAAATTTCTTTATTCTCCGACGCGTTTCGTTTAACTGCCGTAGACTTCTTCGGAGAGTTTTACAATTTAACACTAAACACCTATATTTATAAGCCATAGTTAGTGGCTCTACGGGAGCCAATGACCATAAAGGCTTGGCCAGACCTACGAATACGAACAGGTGAAGTTCCGCCAGGTACTTGTACATTGTACGCTCCTACAGAAGGGATCATGAAATAAGGCTTTGCAAAGAGTAAGTGGCATTAACCTGTTTTATTTATCGTAAATATCTTGCGGCCTTTTTCAGCTTGAAAATAGAGGTGGGCTTTATTTTAATATAGTTACCACGGTAGACATTTTTGAAAAAAAATCAATTCAGGAGAAGTCATGTTCTCAGTCACCCTTTCAAGTAATAAATATTCTTGTACAACAACTACTTGCTTCTTTTCATTATCTTCCCACTCTATTTCATCTTAAGTGCAAGCAAATAATTACTGTTATGTAGTGACTTATTGTTTCTTTGAGGGTGAGCAGAAAAGCGTCTGATTTTTAGGATTTCCGCAGCATGTTTTCTCTCTGACATGCCGACTATGCCAGCTATCAGTGCCAGCACTTTTTGGCAGTTACAGGCTTCTATAACTTATCTCTTAGAAATACAGGACTTTCCCTTGTAACCATGACAGGACGATGTAGTAACCTACACCCTTTCCCTGAAATTAGTACACCTACAAGCAATTACCATTTGACAAAACATTATGGTATCATGTGCTAAATGTTGTCTACTTTTTTTAATCAATGTTATTTATGATTTCAGAAAAGTGGTAAAAAAAGTTCATAAATACAGGAAAATGAGTAAAAACTGCCATGTTTAACTCTTAACTGTGGGATCTTTGGCAATTAACTTTGGGCCCCAGATTGCAAGAAATCACATTTCCGAGCTTCCAGATGTCAAAATTTTCTGGGGGAACACGCCACCAGATCCCCCTAGAGGAGAGGGCCCCTCAAAGTCATAGCCCTCTACTCCTAGAGAAGAAATATATAAAACAACTGATTAGTCATTATAGCTTAATGTTCTTTTCAGCAAGTGAGACTTGTTAAAATTTCTCTGAGGAAATTCAATTTTTGTCAATGTCAATAAGTCAAATTAATTTTGCTTAAAACGGGGCTCTGCCCCTGTACCCCTCTGGGGGCCTCAGCGGCCCTCAGACTGCATAACAATTAAAGTAATTCAATTTTCCATTACCACTTTCACATGCTATATACTGTTGAAAGTTGATTGCAATCCCTTAAAAGTCAGCATTAAACCATCCACACAGTGAAGTGATCATTTAAAAAATTGATTTTTGTGATCTTCACATGTGTTAGCCAATCAGAACAGTGTAATCCTCCTCTTGATCGCTTTGTATACCATTGAAGTATACATTATTACATCAAGATCATCTCTTTGTGATTTTGGAAGTTTTTAAACTCCTGATTGTTTAAAATCTACAACAAATTTGGTTGCGATTTCAATGCTTGGATTATTTCACCATATCAGCAACAAATTTTCATAAATGTTTATTTTACCCCAGACCAAAGTGAAAAAAAAAATATGCCAATTGATTGGTCAAAGAAGTCAAACTTAAATGCGATGTTAATGCCTCTGTTACCTGACAATTTCTTCCATTAAAAATTACCTATAAATCATGACACTGTCTGCCATGTAGATTCCAAAGCAAAAGGTATACCAAACCTTTTGACAAAAGACATTCTGCTGTATGATACAAAAAGAGGTCCAACAAGAAGTGGAAAGATTTTTGAGTAACACAAAGGAGGTAGGAACAGATTACAGACATTGTCCTCCCCGCAGATTTCCCTCAGTTTCCAATTCGTTAAAACTAGTCTTATGAATTGGGAATTTGGGGTGCCTTCATGGCAGTGATTGACGAAACAATTTACTTACCAGCCGAACTGCCATCTGAATCTCTCGAAGAAGTCATCAAGTTTGCCGAGGTGTGAGCCCAATTTATTATGTTACACCTTTAAATTGTACGTCCCTCCTTTCTCAAGAAATATCCCGATATTTAAGAGGCTATTTAAGAATGAATTTCCGATATTTTCAGATGATATATCGCTTCGTAGTGTTCGAGAAGGAAATGGGCGGAAGTACGCTACTAAACCTAACATTGTAGTCAGCAGCCTTACATTTTAGCGCATGCGTGAATGTAACGTCCTGTAACGTAGCAACGGAACAGAGGAAAACAGCTTTTCGATTGCGGTACGTCTAAACGCGAGACTTAGCAGTGCTTGGTTTGGACAGCAACATCCCTTTAAAGAGAGAAAATGAGTTCAAGAAAGGTTACAGCAGGTAAATTATAAAACATAGGGTAAAATTCTAGCGTTGTAATGTCAAAACTAAGGATACATGCTTTGTCTTTTAACCGTAGTGTTTGAGAACTATCAAAAACAAAGGACAACTTTCGTTGAGAGAGTCGCCGAACTCGCCAATCAGGCGGAGAACATCGAAACTCTGCAGAATGTTGGTAAGTTAAACATGCACTTCCCAGGACATTAGGTAGTCTGGTACAAGAAGATCCCTCTTTTTCTGATGGATCTCCTATCTTTAATTCCAACAAAGCAATCGACACAAGGAAGTCTGGTGTAATTCTTCGAAATTATAGATGACCCGAACCGTTTGTATGGCTATGCTTTTGAAGCAGAAGTAACGATAAAATTTACCAGCACTGTTATTCAACTAACATGTGACACGAACATATACCTTTGAAAATATGGCTATACACACAAACACGTAATAAAAGTTTGGTATGTGAGATTGTTAACTGGAAAAAAGACCAATGCATTTGCATGTCTACTGAATATAAAAGATACTGTAACAACGTAATTATACGGATAAGGAGTGACATTGTCGAATCATGAATCTTACTTTCTCAGCAAGGGACTCAATTTTCGAATAAACAAAGATCATGTTCAGTTCCTGGTGTCATTTGAATTCTGTAGCACCCTGATGCTCAAAAGTTTTTTTGTAAGATCGTTCAACCACATTTTTGATGCATGACTTTTAATGCTCTGACTTTTAATCTAACTAAGTATATTTTCTTTCATCACATTACGTCAACATGTACTAAAATGGGCAGTCAGCTTTTTTTCACATTTTTCTTAATCACTTATACAAAATGTTTGTTTGTGAAGGTGCGATGGCTCTGTTAAGACCACTTCTCCTAGATGTTGCCCCCAACATTCAACAGACAGCAGCATTAGCCCTTGGTAGACTGGCAAATTACAATGAAGACCTTGCTGAGGCTGTTGTGAAAGGAGACATTCTACCACAGTTGGTGTATTCTCTGGCAGAGCAAAATGTAATTTTCTTTGTTTACATACATGGTCAGCAAAAATTTTTTCTGACAGTTGTAAAATAAAAGAGAAAAAGAGTCACACACATATCTTTGGGCAAATGTTGTAGGTTTATTTAGTTTTTGTATAGGATCATTTTGCCATGTAATTATCAAATCCTGTATTGACTATAAGTTTCCTTCAGTCAGGATTGCAGGATATTTACTTAGCCTCGTTCTTTCAAAGCATATTTATAGGCCCTAACTCTGTTGCAAGCCAACTTAAAATAAGACCTGGGTCAATATTTAGGGATCTTGACCTTACTCCTATGGTCATCAAATATATACCTATATATTTATAATTTGCATAATAGAGAATAATCTTGCAGCAACTAGATCCGCTAGTTCTTCTGCTATTGACTTGGAAACTTGTGGGATATGCTGCAGACATTCTCACTGATTATATGATTTGCACATTAGAGAATGGCCATTCAGCAATTAGCTCTGCTAGTTCTTCTGCTGTTTGGTGGGGAACTTGTTGGACATGCTGAAGACATTCTAACTGATTATATAATTTGCACATTAGAGAATGGTCGAGCAGCAATTAGCTCTGCAAGTTCTTCTGCTGTTAATTGGGGAACTTGTTGGACATGCTGAAGAGATTCTAAGTGATTATATGATTTGCACAAGAGAGAATTCATGCAGCAGCTAACTCTACCAGTTCTTCTGCAAGGCAAAATTTGCTGCAAGATGATTCTCTACTGTGCAAATCATATATATTTGTATATATTGATTCAATGAAATGTGGAAAACTCATCTAGTACATCCAAATTCCATGTTTTTTACTACAACAATTTAAGAAATTTGTCTATGTTTTTGTCCACAGCGATTTTACAAGAAAGCTGCTGCATTTGTGCTGAGGGCTGTAGCGAAGCATTCTCCTCAGCTGGCACAGGTATGAAGGAAAGCAAAATAGAGACATTTTTAAGCTACCACACAAAATGTGTGTACATACCAACTAGTGTACATGTATATAGATTTCAGGTTATGTGCTAAATATAGAACTTGCAAGGCTTAGTTACATTGAACATGTACATTGAACTAAAACAATACAGATGTATTTCACATGTTCATTGTGATAATGTTGAGGTTAGGTGCAATTAGTCTTTGATAAGGAAATTTCATGTAGTGTGATAATTTGGATGAAATGTAAATTAAAAAAGATGGTGAATGTGCAGCTTTGTGTCCAAAATGATTCAAGGATCTGACTGCCTCTTACAGGCTGTGGTAGACTGTGGTGCTCTGGAGGCTCTTGTCATCTGCTTGGAGGAGTTTGACCCAGGGGTCAAAGAAGCAGCAGCGTGGGCCCTTGGATATATTGCAAGACACAATGCAGGTAAATAACCAGCAATGAAATACTATCAGTTTCCATGTAACAGTTTCTTCCTTTCAATTCTGATCACAAGTTCCTTGATTTTAATACCAACACTTAAGTCTCTAACATTTTTTTTTTTCAGAGCTCTCCCAGGCAGTTGTTGATGCAGGAGCTGTCCCTCTGCTAGTCCTCTGCATTCAAGAACCTGAAATGCCTCTCAAGAGAATCGCTGCATCAGCATTGAGTGACATTTGTAAACATTCGCCCGAGGTGAGCAGTACACTATGGGCATGACCACTGATTTCTCAACAAAATAGTAGTGCTTGATTAAAATTGTTTTGTTAAACCTTATTTGGGTTTCCTTTAAGTGGGAGCTGTAGTGTTAACCCTTTACACCCTAACATCAGTCGACATATTCTCCATACTGTTCTCAATACATTTCCAAAGGTGCTGACAAGGAGAATTTGTTTAACAATCAAGAGCTTCTATTGTTGATCATTTCCTTTTTTCTCTTGACCTCTATGTGTGATTTTGGGGGTGATATTTTAAGGAGAAATTCAATGCTAGTCACTTGGAGGGGTTAAAGGGTTAATCTATATAAAAGCCAATTTACTCTTTTCCATAGTTGGCCCAAACAGTGGTAGATGCAGGAGCTATTGCTCACCTTGCGCAGATGATTCTTAATCCTGATTCAAAACTTAAGGTAAGTCTTGGTGATGACTGATAAAAGTTTCACTGTTTGTTCAACTCTTTGCATAATTCTAATGATGCTTTTAACACAAATGTAATCAAAGAAGACAATAGTTTTATTAGATTTTTTAACCTGATTCTGAAGGTGGACTGTAACTAATCTTTGACCATTAATATTAGCACCTGTGGTCAATTTTTGCAACTGCCTAGTACCTTCACACCTCACTTTGTTTGTTAATATGTGATACATTTTTAATGTACTGTAAGTTTTAATTAATTCTTTTTCAAAGTGGAATATAAAAGGTTGATATCTATTTTACTTTCTACAGCGTCACATATTCTCTGCATTAAGCCAAATTGCCAAACACTCTGTTGACCTGGCTGAGATGGTTGTTGAGGCTGAGATATTTCCAGCTGTTTTAGCCTGCCTTAAAGGTGAAGTGCATTTGAATTCTGACTTCCTGAGCAATTTTCTGGTCAGCCTTAATTAATCTACGGTTAAGCTATTAAAAATAATCCTCTGGATACAATTTTTTTGATAGCTTTAAAACTCTATTAAATTGTCAAATGCCATTGAATGGAAAAGTTGATTTATCTGCAACATTGCTGTCAAAGGAAAAAGGATTTTTAAGCCATTAAGTAGGAGGGTTATCTACATTTGACCTAGCAATTAGTTCCATGCCCACTGTAGCTGACATGTAAATTTATATAGCTGTATTTATCATGCTATTTAGTAAACTGAATAATAATTTATCACTGGTTGTCATGGATTTGATCTTTTTCACTTTTATTTTCTCTTGAGGGCTATATTTTCACTCTCTTTAAACCTGAGAGTGATCCAGTGTAAACTTTTGGATCACTAGCATTTGATTTTAAGGGTTTCATGATACTAATAATTGTCTTTGTTTCTGTACGTTTTAGATGAAGATGAGTATGTGAAAAAGAATGTGGCAACATTAATAAGAGAAATTGCTAAGCACACTCCAGAGGTATGATAAATCATAAATCAAGTTACTTCATTTGTTTAGTTGATATATTGTCAAACACCAGCACTTAAAATCTGGCTGGAGTAACTGGTTTGAACTGTTTGAAATCATGTTGTTCCTTATTTTCTCAGCTTGCCCAGTTGATAACAAATGCTGGAGGAGTTGGCGCTGTGGTTGATTTCATTAAAGAATCAAGAGGAAATGTGCGACTACCTGGAATCATGATGTTAGGATATGTTGCTGCCCACTCAGAAACACTTGCAATGTCTGTTATTGTTTCAAAGGTACATGTCAAGTTAGTTTACATATTAAGTATTTTAATAATTTTAGTGTCTGATAAATTCAAATGATGTTACTGGTCCTAATAATGGATGATAAAGTGATGATGATTATAAGCAGATGGCTTTCCTCGCAAATTACTTTTCAAAACCTCACTAATTCTTTGTAGATAAATCAATCAAATCCTGTGCAGGGCTGGAGAGCACTGCTTGCTAAAGAAATTGTCCTTGGCTATCCCCAAACAACTGGAGCTTGTAGAATTAAGTTGAAGTAGTTTTGTAATTGTTCTTGTCGCAGGGAGTGACTGTGTTAGCTGGCATTCTCTCTAGAAGTGAGCATAATCACATCATGCAGCAGGTATTTTGAGCTTCATGTATTATAAATGTGGTACTGATTGATACTTACAAATTCCTAATGTATTTTTCTACAATGGAAAAGTGATTAAGAGAGGTGTGTTTTTAATCCAGAAAAAAAATTTATGTGAACTATAAACTGCTTGATTTCTAATGTTTTCCTGTTTACACCCGGTGAAAATGTCAGATTTAAGAAACATACAGTCAAATCAACCCTTCACACCCAAACTTCATGATCAGTATGCATATTCTCCATACTGCTCTCTCTACATTTGCTAAGGTGCAGATACGGAGAATTTGTTTCACAATCAAGAGCTTTTCTAGTTGGTGATCATTTCCAATTATTGTCATGACCTTAATGTTTGATTTAGGGGTGATAGTGTAAGGAGAAATTAGATGCTAATCATTCTTAGGGGTTAAAGGGGTAATCAGCTGATAGACCCTGCTGTGGTTGATGCTATCGTACAGTGTACATGTGTGCTTATGAAGTCTCTTTCTCTTACAAATGTAGCGATCCACCGAACTAGGAAGGAATGAAGAAGATCACATACAGGTAAGGGATGTTTTAAAAAGTTTTCTAGTTAGTTTTTGAAGTGTAAAAGGAAAGTATTTTAGGTTTAATTATATTTCACAACTCTCGTACCTTTCTCATACCTGCCTTGCTTGGGAACACAACACATGGCCACAATACCTAGCCAGAACTCCTCGATCATTAATCCACTTTATCTCACACATATTGTTTCCCCCAGTAACTTGACCATTTTTGCTGAATGAGCAAAGTTTCTTCAAACCAAACCTCTTAATTTCGTTTCACAATAGGCTGCTACAGCATGGGCTCTGGGTCAGATTGGAAGACATACACCAGAACACGCTAAGGCAGTGGCAGTCACTAATGTCTTGAAGTCCCTGTTGGATTGTTACCAGGACTCTTCTAGCTCAGAGGACCTGCAAGCTAAGGTAAGGATCTGCAGTGGCTAGCATTGTGAAGGGAGCTTCCTTTTTATTCAGGCGCTGGTAGGAAGTGATATTTATGGCGTCTTCTTGTTCCGTCTCGTTTTGGTAACAGGGATGCCTTGCTTGGCAATCCTTCTCGTTCTTTACCAACCCAGTGATCATAGAAACCTTTTTTGGTCGTTTTTCAGAATGCGGCGTTATGTCAAAACAATATTCTTTAGATGAAAATTCTCCTAACTTGCCCACGACACATTGTATGGAAATGGGATGGATGATCTTTACGCTGGTCACTCCTGGCAATGAAGGGGTTAAAATAGGCTTGATATAGTCAAGATATTAGTGCGTATTTCCTTGGAATTGATGTTCAATGATTTAGGGCGAGCTCTAATTTGCGCTGTACAGCTATTGGCGAATAATCTCACAAGGAAATTAAACTTTTGCTAGTAAAGAGTGAAAGCTTCCTTGTAACTTTGATATTGGGTTAACTCTTTCTGAAAAACAGGTTTTAAAAATCTATTACAGTAGTCATTGCACCTATACGAACTTCATAATCATGATCGAGTCAAGAGTTCTCAGCCCCCGCCCCCTCAGCTCCCTTTCGACTGTCTGTCGCCACGTCCCATACCAAATTAACACTGGAAAATTATGTAAGGAGGGAAGAAATCAGAAGAGACCATCAGCGTAACGGCGTTTCCAGTACGAGCTGTAGTCAGGAGCACCTGCAGTCATTGTCAGCTACAGCAAGCCTGCGCAGCAGACGGTTTTAAGGCGCATTCCTTTTACTTGGCGGCAGATTTGCGAAAGCGTCCTATTACATACCCCTCGCGGCTTCGCCGCTCTTCTTCGACGCCAATCCGCTGATTGACGCCTCAAAGCACATGCAAAACGGCGGCAGGATACATGTTACCACTTTATTTTGTTAATTTACAATTAATATACTTGTTCCGTTTATTCTTTGCGCCGTTTCTGAATGATGTCTTTTCTTTTCCTACACTCTAGTCCAAGAAAGCACTGACCAACATCCTACAGAAGTGTGTCCATCTGCCAGCGCTAGAACCTCTGCTGAAAGACGCACCGCCAAACATCTTGAAGCACGTCGTAAGTCAGTTTGCTAAAGTTCTCCCGCACGATGTGGCGGCGCGTCGGCTGTTTGTGACGAGTGGAAGTTTGAGAAAAATCCAAGAGATCAATGCAGAGGGGAACACAGCTCTCAGTGAACACATCAATACCATCAACAACTGTTATCCTGAGGAAATCGTCAAGTGAGCAAAACACCAGATTGTTTTGTACATATCGCTTTTAAGTTGCTTAAGGGCAACTCTTGTCCTTCCATTAGAGCAGTTTTTGATTAAGTGCCGTAAACCCAAAACCAATGAAATCGCAACGACTAATTAGAAGAAAGGAAAGTACCTTTGGAAACCAATGAGAACTCAAAGTGAAAACAGGCAAACTGCCTAAGGCGCGGGAAAACGCGCTGGCTACCAAGTCTTGTTTGGGTTTAGTTTTGCATCTGGTTGGATGAGAAAGTAGCGCGAGTTTTCTGGACCAATCACAGAGCAAAGTAAAGCGAAACCAAAGCAATCCCAGATTACTTTCGAAAATTGAGAATTGCTCTCAAGGAAAAACTTATCTCCTCCTAATTTTACTTCGTAGTGTAACTAGCCGAATCGTGTAGCGTAGCATGAAGTCTCTTTAAAATTCTTGACGCTTTAAAACAGGACATAAGAACAAACGCAGCGAGAGGTTTGGTCACATTTTTGGCCAAACTTTGGTGTGTTTGTTCGTTGCCCTATCATTCTCGTTTTTTATTTAGAAGCTGTTAAATATGTGATGTATGTTGTCATGTGTTGTCACTTTACACTGTTTTTGGTTTTCATTCTCGTTTTTTATTTAGAAGCTGTTAAATATGTGATGTATGTTGTCATGTGTTGTCACTTTACACTGTTTTTGGTTTTTCGTTTCAGATTCTACTCTCCTGGTTACCCCGACAAACTGCTTGAAAGAATTGGTCAATGTCAATCTTAATAAGAATTTTTTTTTTGAACATGGTGTCATCACCTTGGATCCAAGAGTACAAGATGTTTTCTTTTCTAATTTGTTCCCTTAGACCAGAGAATCTTATGCTGATATTTCCAATTTTCTACAAGGTCGTTGGACTTTGATTTCGAAAAAGAGGCTATTTTTAGTGAAGAAAACTTGAACCGATGTTTCAGGGACTCAAGCCAGTTAAGTATTAAATAAAAGTAGAATGACCTCCAGCATGTTCTTACCCTTTCGAGTAACACACTTGAAGCATGTAAATATCTAAAAAAAATTAGGTTTCCATTTCTTATAACGTAATGGACAGTAAAGTTTTATTATATGTTGTGTGAATGCTGAACTTTGTGATTCAAATACGGGATTACCAGTAATACACTTTCTTTCCCTCAAGACCTTCACTCGTTTCGTTCTAAAAGACGTTTCGTTCCCCAATTTAGACGATTCGTGACCAGTTCGCGTGCTGGTTGATACCCGATCTATCACTGGTCGTTTTGTATCAGTCCCAACATTCAGTGACGATCAAAACGTTGAACTCGCAAAGTACCTTACCCACGAGAGCGTGAACAAAATGTCCATCGTTGTATACGAAAAGTTAGTAAAGAGTCAAGCAAGTAAGGAACAAGTATGAGGGCCATGAGTTTATCGGTTAAATTACCAACTAATGTCGCCCTCGTCAGGAGTCTTGCTCTCGTTTGATAACACACCTTATTAGTATGGGTAAAAAACGGCCAAACTGACTGGGTACGAGTGGCCATATCTGAGTACCAAACGTTAGTGGCCCAGGGGTACAACACGGCAAAATTAACTGGGTATGAATGGTCCCAGCTGGGTACCAAACGTCCGTTGAGAAAAAACTACTAAACTGACTGGATACGAACGGTCCTCGGGCTGGGCACAAATCGACTGGGTACGAAGTGTTCGTAAGTAAGAAACGACTGGTTAAAGCCTTAAAACCTCGTAGGACATCCACAACAATGGCTGGTTTCTTTTGTGAAAGGAATTTACGGTCTGATGATTGATCGGAGGGCGGTGATTGAAGTGAACAATGTATACATCCTGTTTATATGGCGTTCTCCTTAGTTCACTCTCCGTGTGAAATATGGGTACGAGTGACTAAGAAAGCACATTTTTGGTGATTTCAGGGCTCTTGGCGGCGTCCAGGGTTGACCTAGCTGAGATTGGAAAGGCTCTTGCCTACTGTCTTCTATATAGGCAGACATTCAAATACTGGGGATCTTGTCACCTTTTACAAGAAATCAGCAAACACAGCCTTCCTTCACAACTCACGAAGGGCGTGCTCTAGGTGACCTCACTGATGTTCGTTTGCCTTTTCCAACTCAATCTTTCCTCGGTCGTTCTTTAATCGCTCGCTTTTGCGACAAAATTAAATCATACTCCCTTCAAGAATCATCATAACAAATACCTCATCCTAAATTTATTTCACTGAACGTTCTTTGATGGTGGTAAATTGAATGTTTAAGCTGCTGCTGTTGACATCGTACATGCAAAAATATATCTTTGTTATTACAAAGTCTGAACAGCTATGAATGTCGTGAGTAGTGCTTAGGCATTGTAATTAAACAGAAGTCCAAAAATAGGTCCACAGTGACTTTGCACATTGCCTCGTAATACTACAAAGTTAACAAATACACCAACAATACCTTTCAGCCTCACTCGCAACACTTTTTTTTCTAAAAATGTATTTTCCTAAACGAAAGTTCTGTGTCAGATGAATTATATCAAAGGACTAACCACTCTTAATATACAAGAGATCCTTTCATATGGTATGTTATCTGCACAAACACTAAAGATAACAAGTGACAGTGCACAAGCACGCATTGCAGACCCATTTCAGGAGAATATAGTGGCCCAGTGATACTAACGTTTGTTCACGGAAGCTTGGCGGCCAAGCCTTTAAACTCTGAAAAAAAAGGGATTTTGCCCAAGTAACTTTTACTTGACAAAATTTAGAAAGATTCTCTCAGAGTAAATTATCTTAGTGCATGCATAAATATCACCCCATAGACAAAAAGTTGTACAGTAGCATTTGCACATTTTGGATGACTTATCCAAAACATTTCCTATTTTAAGGCATGAGTACGCTTACTAAACCTACACGAAAAATCATGTCTTGCATATGTGGATGTGAAATCCCCTCAAACTTTAACACTTAAGAATTTTTATCATTTATGAAATCCATTCAAATAATGGCTGACTCTTAGCGCTAAGATGACATTAATTCATTGACCCCTATCAACTATAAATCTCTCATTACAACCCACAGCGATTACTCCTACACCCAGTTAGCAACTAGATGAATCATCTCTGCATTTTTGACAATATGTTATATCAGACCACTTTGTCAACTCTCATGTTAAGAGATGGTAACAATAAAAACTCGTGTACAATAGAATAAGACTAAAGTACTAAATCTAATTTGGATCAGGACTATATCTATTTCAAAGACAAAACAAGATTGTTGTCTATTTCTTCACAGATCTTTTCAGTGAACATATTGTTCTAAAGAGGAACAGTCAGCATACACTCTTTCAAGACCGTTTCTCTCCAGACTGTTTCAAACATTTACTTTTCTCCCGGATCATTAAAGCAAAGAGTAAAAGTTTTAGTCGTCATCTTCCGGACAATTGGAGTAAGGAGGCAGTGCCAAAGGCCTCCTCAGTCTTCACCATAATGATCCAATATTCGAAATCCATGTTTACTCAATACTTTCAGTTAAAAACATCCACCTACAAAACATTCATTATGATGCCACAAACCGTTGCAGGTTGTTGCAATCTTTGATTCTTGTAACCTAAGGGACAACCAAAGATCCTCACATTCAACTCTTGATACCTGTCTATGGCAAGTGACACCTGGTACAGCCTATGCCTGGTGCCTTCTTAAGCTACACCTTTACCATCACTCTTAGATTTCATTCATGTAAAAATCATAGAAGATTTCAATTTTATCATTCACTATGCCTATTGAACAGTTTTCTCCAACTGATCATACATATTTAGTCATTGCATTAAAATTTAATTCAATTTACACAAAAGAATTGTGATCACTGCCGTTGTTTTAGTTACATTATATACAATGGAGCACTCTGAGAACTGTACCCAAACCACCCCCACAAGAAGGGAAACAAAATGACTCTTGCAATGTAAGTACATAAAACTGTTTCCTCTTTCTAAAACTGCAAAAAAAAAAAATACTCATCTTGTCACATACTAAAAAGCCATAACTCTGACCTGCTGTAGTGACATACCACACTAGTATGCACTACATACTAATGTAATAGGCTGTATGTACCTAAATGCCAACTACTACTACTACAATATTCTGCTGAAAAATACTTGTTTTGCTGTTATAAGTTAACAACTATTTAAACACATGGTCAAATTCCAAAAGTAGAAATTCTATTATTTGGTTTTGATGCACCATGTTTACTGCTATGTCTCCAGAATCATAGCGAGGCCACATGAGATTTGGGCCCCAAACAATGGCTAGATTTTGCGCATTCATACGGTTTTCTTCACTCTGATCCATTAACCTGAAATCATAGAATTATATGCCAACATTTAGTTTGATGAATGTTATTTATCAATATGGTTGTTCCTTTTACGTATCCAAAGTTTTAATACATTGAAAATAGTTTTGCAAACAAAGTTCTACATAATATTAAGAACCATACTATTAGCAGAGCATTAAAAATCACTCTTAACACTGTACACCCTAACATCAGTATACATATTCTCCTGCTATTCTCTATAAATTTCCTAAGGCCCTGACAAAGAGAAGGTGTTTCCCAATCAAGAGCTTCAGTATATGGTTTTAACTTGGGGGTAATATGTGAAAGTGTAGTCTGATCGTCTAGGTGAGTGTAGTCCAGAGAAGGACTGTTGTCTGTAGTGGTGACTGACAATTAAAAACTCTCAGTAGACGTCATCATCAGAGTCAAGAGAATGATTGTGATCAGTCGAATGTTCTAAGTCTGGTTCACACGAATTGATTAGTCAGTTTTGCCGAGAGACTGTAAGACTCAAGTGGCGTAGGTCGGTCCTGATTGGTCTGTTTCGATCAATCGGTAAAGTTAGGTCATCGTATTCGGTTCGTTTGCAATGTTTAAGTCCTACTCGAATCGTTTGTATGGTGCCGGTAGTAGTTGACACCTGTTAAAGGGAGTTTGTTCTAAGTTAGTAAACCAGCTTTCCAGAGTCAGTCGCTGAAAGTAGTTAGTGCTGTAGGTTACGTATTGCGCAGAGTCCTAGTCAACAGCGTGGTTCATGACATTTAGCAATGTGATTGTAGACATCATCTTTCCTCGTCGCCCGCTTGTGTTCAGTCAGTCTTGTTGTGAGGTTTCCACCAGTCTCTCTGATGCAGGAGGCTTGGCAGTCAAAGCAATTGATCTTATAAACAGCCCGTACCTACTCCTCGGTTCGTTCTTTTCTTTGACGTTTGTTAGTAACTGACGTAGTGTAGTGATGGGTTTGTGGGCGACACGCATACTGAATCATTGTAGGTTGTGCAAGATGTTCTCATACCCTTTATGAGCGGTATAGTCGTTGTAGTCGTAGGAGCGGCACCGTTATTTGTTTTGGTAGTTGCAGTACTAGATTGGTGAGTGTTTAGTCAGATAAAGACCTAATTGTGGTTGTAAACTGAAAAAAACATGGTCAAAGTATTTGTTCTCATCGGATAAGCTGTCTGTCGTGTTTCATACTAGTTGCGTTCATCGTGTTAGAGTCCTGGTAGTTGTGGTTTTGTGTGATGTCAGGTTGTAGGATGACTCGTCCAGTAATCTGTCGGTATGTGGCGATTTCCTGTAGACTGTTGTTCGTAGTGAGTTGTCGTCACAGCTTACCAGGCAGTCTACAAAAGGAAGTTACCCATTTTCTTTGACTTCTCTGGTAAACTGTATGTCAGTGTTTTGTCAGGTGTTTTGTTCTTTAGTTGATGATCATTTCCTTTATTCCCGTGACCTCGACTTTGATTCAGGGAAGACATTGTAGAGAGAAATTAGAAGCTAGTCATTCTTTGGGGTCAGAGGGTTAACTCTATAAATCTATTCTAACCTAGTGAAGATTCTCATCTGAAAAGTGAACATGCTTAACTCTTGAGCCTCTCGCAGTAACAACTTGAATGTCTCATAAATTAGAAGTTAGTCATTCTTTGGGGTCAGAGGGTTAACTCTATAAATCTATTCTAATCTAGTAAAGATTCTCATCTGAACAGTGAACATGCTTAACTCTTGAGCCTCTCGCAGTAACAACTTGAATGTCTCATAAATTAGAAGTTAGTCATTCTTTGGGGTCAGAGGGTTAACTCTATAAATCTATTCTAATCTAGTAAAGATTCTCATCTGAACAGTGAACATGCTTAACTCTTGAGCCTCTCGCAGTAACAACTTGAATGTCTCATAAATCCTAAGTGCTAACTTTTAAGTAAAACTGAAATTTACTGAATGAATGAAGGGGGCAAGTTTCACTCTGACGAAGGGCTAACGCTCGAAACCTCAGCTTTGAAACTTTTGACCGTGGCCAATTTACATTATCAAATCAGTTGATAATACTAAATTACCCCATTTCAACTAAATAATTTCTGAGAACATTCCCATCTAAGCCAACAATAAAAAAAAACCTACTTCCGCAAATGTCGCAGCAATAACTTAAGAGTTTCCCCATTGACCTTCGGCATCTGAACAGCCAAAGATCTCATAGCAGTTAGCTTGCTCTTTCGTGTGCTTTGCTCTGTTGAAAGATCCAATTAAAAAAGATTATTAATATGTCATTAAGAAAGATGTTCTTCGTCTTTTTTCGCCGTTCTTAATTCTTTACCGAGCTCAAAACTTACCATCTCTACTATTTCTATCAACAATATGTCATTGTTGAGAGTTCACAAAATAATTTTTGGACTATTATTTTTAACATTTCTTAAGGTAAATCAGGTTTCCGGCAAGGATTACACCAAGATACACAAAAATATGTGCAATGTATGTATTCAATTTAATCACGAAACCAATTGATAGGGGGTTGAGGGGAAAGAATAGAAAACAAGCAAAAAGGAAGGAAAAAAAGAATAAAACGATACAAATTGAATGTTTGAATTGTAAGAGCATATTTTGGATGAACATATGAAAAATAAATAAGACAAGATGAAACTCACTTATTGCCTCTACAAATCCACTAAAGAAGTCATAAGGAATAAGAGGCTCTGGAAGCTCTCTAAAGTAAAGTTTTAGAGATCCAGTGAGGGCGTGGACGTCATCGAAAGGTGGCTCACCAAGTACCACTTTCTCCTCTATGGCAAAAATTTAAATTGAGCAAAATTACTGATGTTCTTGGAGCAGGAAAGAAAACAGAGTAATTAAGCAAAAGTTCTTTCCATGCAGTTTGGAAAGAAACCTTCATTGACGTTCCTATTCCAAATTTTGGCTCAGAGAACTGATCACCATCACACTGATGGCCAGAAGTATAAGTGATCCACACAAAGATTCTTGTGGTAAATGGCAGCTTTCAATTACACCCTTAAATATTATTTGATTTCTAAATCAAATTCTATCAAAGACCCATGAACAATTTTTTTATATATTTATTTCTAATATACAGCAGGGTACCATTCCTCCCTTTAAGCTTCACATAAACCATATTTAAGATAAGCTTGTTCTTCTTTAAGGCAAAAAAAAAGGTTTTAGTTGGGTTTTGTATCTTTTCCTATTATAAGTTGAGAGAGATCTGATACTCTAAAAAAGACACCCTTGAAACAACATGGCTTAGGGAATTCTCGAATTGTAATATCTCCATTTCAGAATTTTCATATGTTACCTTGAAGTCCCTCAAGAACCCTTAACATATACTTATACATGGGAAGGAGGGGGGAGGGTTTCAGGAGAATCCTCGGACTCCCTTCATTTTCTATGCCCCTGGATGTATAAACTTAAGGCAGACAAACCTTGGTCAACCATTATTCTGAGCTTCTGCACCGTGGAGACATTACCACACACCCTGTAGAGACCATCAAATGACAGACCTGGAGGAAAAATCAGGTAGACATCACTATGGCTACCATGCAATCAAATTGTCTCACATAGGCAGACATCATTTAATCAAATTGAACACTCGTTTCAAGAAGCATGCAGTGCTATTTATTTACTCTTCAAACTTTCACTGATGTTTGGACTTGTTCTTACCAGTGACCATCAATTAGCTTTCAGTCACTCATTCAGTCATACTAAGATGTGGTGATGTAAAAAAAAAAAACTGATAAAAATTCAAGAAACTCTGTCAAAGATGCAAAAGGTAAAGAGGTCACAAATCACTTTAAGCAAAACATACCTCTCTTCTCAATAGCAGCAATGCATGAGCTAACAAATACAGGAACTGTTGTTTTCTGTCTTTCACAAAGATGTGCAATGTGGCAGCCAAATACACTTTCTGAAAATGAAATCACACGAGGCTTAACACTTTACACCCTAACACTAGTATACATATTCTCCAAATTGTTCATTATACATTTCCTTAAGTGCTGACAAGGAGAATTTATTAAACAGTCAACAGCTTCTTTAGTTGGTGATCATTTCCTTTATGCCGATGACCTCAATGCCTTACTGCAGTGTTTAACGGCATCATGTTAAATTTGTTTACCTTTAATAATTCCTTTCTTTTCCAGCTCCTCTATTGGAGGTCGTTTAGTGAGAAATTTCCTCAGCTTTTCTCTCATGTTCCTTTTGTCCTCTCGGTCAACACCTGAAATTAAAAGAAGGTTCTTATCATGGAATTTTTATTTTAATTAAATAAACTGTCAACCTCAATGTGATGCTACAATCTTATGAAAAGTCAATACAACATTTAAAAGATGAACCTGGCAAAAGCAAAAGAACAACCTCACTGAGCTGGTTAAATATAGGCCTTTCAACTGAATACAAACTGGTGACCATTGCAGAGAAATTACCTTTCTACTAAGTTCCTAAGAGTTCTACTTTACACCTTGGTTTTCCTTTCAACTGATCATTCACATTTAATTGAAATCTATTATGAGGTGTTGTTTGTCACTGATGGAGTCAGAAATGTTTGAGTAGAAGTGATTTCACCCTATGGTTTACCTCTTTTATGAATGCTTGGAATTCGGACCAGATCAACAGGCTGCAAAGAAATTGGGGTCCCAGGTTCTTGTGAGACGACATCATTGTCAGCTCCTTAACAGAATGAAAAATGTAGTGAATAAAACAAGTACAAATCTGATTAGTTCCTGTGTTGATTCTATAACTTCTCCCTGTCCAAATCATAACTATCCATAATCCAGGCTAGGAGATAAAGGAAATTGAAAATCAATACAAGGAAAAATGTTTCTCTTTGATTACAATGCACACACTAACATGTAGCCAAATAACCTCCACAGGATAGATAAGGTTAATTGCATGCTCTTAACACATTGTGTGTGGAGAGAAGTGACCTCAGTGGAAGGGCACCTGGTGCACAAACACTTGCGCATGTTTTCATAATGCAAGAATTGGGTGGACTTGGGCTTAGAAGCAGCCACAAAAAAGACAAATAAGTTGTTAACACATGAATTTGAGGAAAACTCCAGGATTCAATGGGTTTATATGCCAGTAAATTAAAACCAAAATAAAACCTCGTTGTGGTTGATCTTGCACAGGAGTTTGTGGTGGTAATGGCTCTTCCTCATTCTGAAAAAAGACAGAAGAAGAATCATACATGTATATAATAAATGCATCTTATTAGATGTTTTGGTGTGTAGTATTGCTGAGTATTTTTACAAGTTGTGCCATATTTTGATGAGCCCATAAGGCAAGTCAAAATAAAAACACTGAGTACAAATACTCAGCAATACTATAAGATATTTATTATCCAACTGCTTTTTGTCCTGCTAAGTCTTTCTGTTTATTTCTCATAAGGCAGGAAAAGCAAAGCGAATAGAGACAGGTAGCACACAGCCGACTGGTAGAACAGGTTTTTAACAGTACAAAATAACCAACTGTTCAAATAAATGTACAATATTGCAGGATACTTGTACTCTATTTGTATGTTATGTGTACTCTACTTTGTGCAGTTGGATAATAATTAATAGTATTACAATTAAGTAACAATACTAACACAAACTGTAAAAACAAGAAGTCTCCAGGAGACCATAATGACAACAACAACATAATCACTGGTGCCAGAGTTGACATTCACTACTCACCAGTTTCTTGATAACACCAGAGATGGCACTAAACCAGTTTGTGGCCTCCACTTGGTGATCATGTTGAAGGAGATACACTGCTCCGGAAAATGCTTTGATCTGAAAGAACACACCAAAACTTTTCAATTTCAAATCATAAAAGAGATGAATCATGACATAAACGCACAGAAGGAGCTACAACATTTACAGGTTTGGAGTAACTTCTACACTGTAAATTATCTACATTGCAAATGACATAACAAAGGTGCATATTACCTGGAATGCATTTTTCTTTTTGGTAGAAGAGCTCCCCCACTCAAGTGTTGCACCTTGCAAAGGACAACAACTCTGTGGTTTCCCCTGGGGGTGACCAGGTTTCTAGGAATGGAAAATGAACACAGTATTATGAGTTTGTTTTAAATCTTAATATTTAACATCCTCTGTAGTTTTTTAGCCCAGTTTTTTTGTTTTCCAAGTGCAGAAAATCCTCACCAGGATGAACATGACCAAGCCAAGAGCATTGGAGGGTGGGTGGTGTAAAAGCAGTATTGTTGAGGGGTAGCAATTTCCTGTGTCGTGAGGAGGTTACCATAATAACCAAGAGAGCATTTTTTTGTAATTAGTTTTTGATACTGATTTTTTAATTAGGTAAATAATTGACTGTTAAAGACTTTGACATTCTGAAGCAGCTTACATTAGGGAATCCTGTACTCTGTTTTAAGCTGTCCTCAAATTCATGAGATTGACTTGTGCAACATAATGTAATTTGGAATTTGTCTTCAAGATTAAAGATAAAAGCACCTTTGTACAATACAATGAGGAAGTTGTGTATGGAATGAATATCCATCAAAAAATGGGGGGGGGGGAAACTTTGCTGAAGCCCTCCACATGACACAGCAAGAATGGTCACATTTCAGTTATTTTAAACTTGGCAAAATTACATATCTTAACAACTTGGCCAAAATTTCAGTTAGTGCTATCAAAAGGCACCTGAGCTGCTGCTTTCTGGTCCTTGTAAAAAACCAAATTTGCTGAAAAGAGTATTACAAATGTTGGTGTCCATGACATCTTTCTGCAAAAGAAATGTGACAACTTTCTCATTTTTGGATACAGATAACAAGCTAAAAATAAGGAGGTGTGTTTCCAAGAACTACATTGTTATGTAACAAAGAAATGCCTTCTTTTCATTGGCAATATTGTTATCTTACTTCTCAAAAATAATTAATTTCCAACACATTATCTGGTTTATAAAATATCTAACACACAGAAAGTTCTTGTTCTTTAGAATATTGGTACAAGCTGCCCTTAAATGAAAATATTCTGGACTGAGTGTTTGATAAACTGACTCAAAGATATCAAATTCCAGATTCAGTTTAAAAGCTATGCTGACTGTAGTTTCTTCAATAAAGGCTTTCAGAGAGATAAAACTAAACAAAAAGTTTGCTCAAACCAAGTTCTATGCAAACAAGAAATATTGAAATCAAGATAACATGTTAATCTTACATAAGTGCAATCCACCTATCACACAACTGACACCCAATTTTTAACAAGAAACCTCTCCATTTCTGTATTTAGGTCATACTTACTTGACCTTCTTTCCACCTCCTTCCACTAATTTCTTGCAGTTCAGCATCCCTTGTTTTTCAATTGCCTGAAACTATCACCAAACAAAAGATGGAATTGATATCACTTATAGTTTTTACTCTGGCTTGTGTAACTCTATTTGGCTTTGACTATTATGACATACACAAGTAAAATGAAGGGGACATCAAAGGGACTCACACTAGAGTCTGCTTAATACAAGGTGTGAGTTAGATGGGCTTTCATAAATTAATAGTCTACAGTACACATGTGTTTCAAAATGGCAATGACTGACTAAGTCCATCAGCATGATTGTTCAGTATTGAAGGTTTGTGTTCAAAGCATAAAAATCCTAGAAAAGCAAAAAATATATATATATTTGTGCCAGTCAAGCACTTTTCTTTCTCAGTTTTCAGGGTAGGTCTCCTCTGATGGCCAAAGGTTTCAAATCCTGCACAGGCCAGAATTTTTTTCTGGCATTATTTTCACTACTTCTTATAAATAAGTAGTGTTTATTACTCTGAAGATCACTTTCATATTCATAATATGATTTTCATATATTTTCATTAATTTATTCATCATTTCATGGGTTTATTTGGAACCAACACAATGACCAGCTCTGCACCTTCATGCTAAGATTCTTGAGCTCTTTCTTAACATAATTTGCTGATTCATGGAATCGAACAATGGATATTGTACACCAACAATTCTTGAAGGTGTTAATGGTAGAATTTACCAGGCCTTATTTAAGCCGTGCGAAAACTTTCTTTAGGCGATCACACTCATCAGAGAAATGGGCCCAGGAGGAAGATAATCGGTGTGCGCGATCCAGCATAGTTTTCAGCAAGCTCCGTTTGTAGCGATTGTGCAATCATCGATCATCATCAATCAATCATCAATCGCTACAAACGGAGCTTTCATATTCACGATTATCTTCCTCCTGGGCCCATTTCTCTGATTTATCTGTAAATTCTACCAGTTCACATCAAGATTTTCGCCCAAAGAACCAATATCCATTGTTCGTGTGGTCATACCTTTCAAAGATCAAGAATCAGCAAATTATGTTAAGAAAGAGCTCAAGAATCTTAGCATTGCAGACAACTGTCCAGCCAGTATTTGTGAGCCGCAAAGTAAGCCAAGATCTTAAAGTACGAGAAATCAAGCCACAGATTGTCAACCAACAACGCGTCGTTTATCAATTTCAATGTGACCTGTGTGATGCGGGTTATGTGGGCTATACACGCGGACACTTACACACACGCGTGGATGGACATAAACGAAAGGCATCTTCAATATATAAACACTACCACGAACAGCACAGCGAAGTCCCGAAAGACCTACTGAAACGTTTTAGCATTCTGAAAAAGTGTAGTAACAAGTTCGATTGTTTGGTGCAGCTTTTCATCAGAGACTTAAAACCCACTCTGAACGTGCAAAGCGATTCAATTCGCGCAAAAGTATTTGTTTAATTAGCTCGTAACATATTTATGCTAATTTAATGTTACACTTTGCCACAAACTTCATTTTTTATTTCTCCTTGACAATGGCGTCATGATGACACCGAAACGTCGGTTTTTATCGTTAGTTTTTGCTAGTCTTTGCATTTCTAAATCCTTATTGATAAGAATCTTCTAAATAAGTAGTGTTTATTACTCTGAAGATCAATTTCATATTCATAATATGATTTTCATATATTTTCATTAATTTATTCATCATTTCATGGGTTTATTTGGAACCAACACAATGACCAGCTCTGCAGAGGTCATGGATTCAAATCCTGTGCAGGCCTGAATTTTTTTCAGGCCTTATTTCACTACTGTGAAGATCACACTCATATTCACTTTTTTATCTGCAGTTCACATGATTTACATAGATTCACATTCATTTATTTATCACTTCAAAAGTTTACTTGTAACTAACATAACAACCAGCTCCCTGTTGGCTCTGACTCAGTTGGTAGAGTTGCAGTGGTATTGCAGATGTCATGGGTTCAAATCCTTGACAGGCCTGAATTTTTTTCAGGCCTCATTTTCACTACTGCTCAAGTAGTGTTTATTACTGCAGAGATCACTTTTGTTTTCAAAGGTCTCTTTGTTTTCATTCACAGGAATTTGACAGGAATATTAAGGAACTATTAACCTGTACTGTTCTGAAAGAGTTGAAGCTTACAAAGTTCTACATTAAGCGGTAATAGAAACAGGTTTTCCTTTGTATCCCCATTATCTAAGAAAGAGAGGAAGGGTGGTGCTTTTTAAAAAGGGGCACTTGTTTGATATCATGGCTTAAGGGTACTAAATTGTGGAAGAGTGCTTATAAGAGCGGGAGCACTCATTTGATGAAATATGATGTTTTTCCTAACTTAAAACCTGCCAGGTATGTAACTGTTATTCCAGAATTTTGATAGGCTTGAAGGCCATGGTGTCTGAGCTATTAAACCATTCATTGCATATGATAGGTTTAGGAAAAGGCTTTTGCAATGTTTGAAGCAGATTATGAGATATCATTTATTATTTTATCAGTCAGGAGTGTTTTTCATAAAAAATCAGACAACTTTCATCACTCTCACACCTTTTGATTATCAGATAGTCCAAGCTTACTTAACTGAAATTATGGAAATTTATCATCTCATTTTCAATGCAGGACTATTGGCCTACCATATTATTCAAAACACTGATTAAGTTATTACTTACAAAATCAACAAAATCTGTTGAAGGAGTTGGAGGTGTTGGCCATTCATCTGCTGAGGACACACTCTCTCGAGACTGTACAGATGCAGATCTTTTGGCAACCTAATTGACAAGATCGTAGAAAATAAAAACCCTGAGAAGTTATTATTATCCTAAATCTTTAGATTTTTATGGATGCATATGTAAATGCTTTTTCTCACAAAAGGATAATCTTACACTGCATGAAGCATGGACCTACTGATGTACCAAAGATTCAAAAACTTAATAAAATGAAAACATTTGATAAAACAACTATCTGCAACTAAACATTCTCTTCTTGTTTCTGTAAATGCAAGTTCAAGATTAATGCTACAGAATTTCTCAGTGAATGGTGCTGATCACTCATAAGTGCTGCAACAAAAATTTCCCCATGAATAACTTAGTGGAAAAAAGCAGTGACTTTTCCTACAGTAGGCTACATGATTTTACACACTTTTCATCTTTTGTCTCCTCAGTTTCTGATTTAATGATAAGGAATGCACAGCAAAGACAAAAATAAACAAACAAACAAGAAGAGATTTTTATAATTAAAAAACAACCCGAACACATATAGTTTGACTTTTTGACTAATTATCTTCAACTTGTCTTAGCTTTTTCAAGTTTCTGCTGCATTTGCTCTCATTTGAGTAATGGGACTAAAAGACAATATTTAAAACAGGAGTACAAGACTACAAGATTTCCCTTTTCCTTTAATCACTATATTAACCCTTTAACTCCCACGTGTGACTAAGACATAATTTCTCCTTACAATATCAATACAATATCAACCAGATAGGTGATGAGAATAAAGAGAAATATCAATTTGGGGATAATTAGTCAATCCAATACTAAATCCTCTGAACTAACATTATGAGAATTATATGGTGGACAGTAAGGAGAATTACAAACTTGATCTGGGAGTTAAAGGGTTAAAGAGAGTTTCCCAGTAAGCCTTGACTTTATCTATTAGATCCAGATGTGGGTCCTGATATCTATATAGGCCACTAGAAAATCTTACAATGAGGAAGTAATATCTTAATGATATCAGACTTACCATGTAATAGCAAAATAAATAAATAAACCAATAAATGGAGGATAAAATGTTAATTGGCACAGTTTTGATAAGAAACCATTTTTGGTTAGCTGATGTGGTAAGATAGTTATATAGTTTTGTTATCAATTCACAAAAAATGGTGACCACACCAAACATGGAGGTTGCATGAAGTGTGTCTGTTAGGATGATAAAGAATTATTTGAGAACCACTGAGTGCACATGAAAATCAGGTGCAAGGCAATGGAATTAAGGAATTTGTCACAGGGAATAATTAGAAGGCATTAAGGAGAAAGATAAGCAGGTAGATGACCAGAAGTATGATGATTTTTAGTGACTGTGTGAATTGTTAAAACAATCAAACATCCATAGTGATGCCAGATGCCACAATATTGTCACCTTGAGGGATGAACGCAGCTCAGAACCAACCAAGGGTGGTGGTGGGGGAAAGCCATGAACAGCAGCAGCAGACATAGAGGGGGGAGGAAAGGTAAGATTTGCTTGAGAGTTTCGTGGGCTTGATGTCAGCAGAGACTGACACTTTGAGGTTCTAAGACTGAGATTTGGTGAGCGTCGTCTGTATGTGACATCCAGTGCTTCAAAAGACTGCCGGGCAGGTTCAAGCTGTAGAAAGCCAGTGGTGTGAATACAACTTACATTTAACAGTCTAGTCTACTAAAAGGAAGAGGCTCAAAAAGATATATGGGAATACATCAGAGAGTTTCCTGGCATGAAAATTCAGTAAATGCAACATAAAGATCAACAACAAATTTCGTATCAAAGAGAGGGGAAAAGCTGACATTCAGCAGATTACTGGACAGCTGTGAATACTGACTATGTCCATATTTAATGTCACAATATTAAATGCTTAAAGAACCCAACTGCCTTGTAATTCCTTGCTCAAGTAAATAAACAGATAAATCAGAAAAAAAAAATCTGACATAGTACTGGAGCAATTCCCAAACCCCAATTCTAAAAGTGAAAAAAATGCTTTCCAATGAAAATATACACACATATGTACAAAAGGGAGGCAATTTTTCAGGCACAGAAGTTTGTCAGAATTTCACTGTTCTATCACAATGGCTTTACAGTTGATACCTCTTTTGATATCAAAGCCTACAAGAAGCTGTTTCCCTCCCTATCTGGCTACCATCTTTGCATAAAAAGTTTCTGTGCTTATAAAGACCCTGTCTTTTTTTTTCTTTTCAAAGCCCCTGACCTTAAAAAAGTGTTAAGATTAATTAAGTACCTCAGGAAGTTCCCAAGATGTACGTGCAGTGTTTCCATTGACGAGGTAATAATAATCTCTTCCTTCCTCATCTTTTGAAGGCATCCACTTTAAAATTAAACAAAGAACTGCAAGTTATCTTTTAGTCACTGTAACTGGAGTATGTTACATTGCTTTCTTATAAAAATATTGTTTAGAGTATCACAATTATCAGGAGTTAAAAATACTGAATGTTGCGAGCTCTTTTGATAAAAAGTTTCTCAGTTTGGGTCCATTGTGATGTTGCTTTAAAAATTGCAGGATCTGCCAAAGTCAAGAGCTAATGATACAACTACAATGCAGCTCAAAGATATGGGGTAGTACTATACATGAGTCTTGCATCTATGTGTATTCTGACATAATAGTATAAAATGCATTTGAACAAGTTTTACATGCCATTGTCATTTCTTGCCATACTTTTACTTTGCGTTCCACCACAAAAACATTAATAATGTAAAAGTGCTCACCCACAGAGCATGACATTAGCAAAACAGTTGGGAAAACATAAACAAAAGCTACTGGATGCCAACTGTTGAACAAACAGCACATTAATTTGGCATCTGTGAGAGGAATTCCCCTTATAATCACATGAAATGCTTTTATTCATTATGAAAACTGCCTGCTAAAAATACAAACCTCTTCATCATTGAAATCATTGACATACACCAATTCATCAGTTGAACCACTGCGTGAGATTCGCCATCCTAATGGTGGTGTCTGCCACTGTTTGAAACAACAATAACAACAACAAAAAACAGTTACCCAAGGTTGTGTAAAGTCCCTTTCATGAGAACTTTTCCATTTGTACACCTTTAAAAAAATGAAATCTGTATCTTCTAATACCCTCCACCAAAACAACTCCACTTTTTTTTTAAGAAACATACTCCTTCTATCAATCCATTATCCAGAAAACTAGCCATTAAGCTGTCTTTCTCCTTTATCAAACTGCTCTACACCATCCTTCACTGAAAAGACCTCAAGTAAAGCATTTACCCCATTTGGTGGGGGAGTCCTGGATTGTGATATCCTTGGTGGTTTCCAGCTTCTTTCCTCAGTATGTGTGTTGTAATAACACAATCTACCACTTGCTTCATCAGTTACTTGAACCCAACCCGTGGGTAGTGACTGCGATTTAGGTCTCTCTTTTCTAGGTGATGAGAAGTTTCCAGACTAAAAAACAATCACAGTTGAATCAGTTACAGGTGCAGATTAAGCTCATTTTCCAACAGTTTCTTGGCATAATAGTTAAATTAACCTTGTTATATCTCTCAGTAGTATGTGCTTGGGCCAAAAATGCAAGCAGAAAAAACTGGCAGGAAAAACCTAGTTTGTAATGTAAAGTACAGAACATGGACTTGCTTAGATCAAGATAATATTAATTACCCCAAAAATCTTGGACTTAATTTGCTGTACTAACTTTCCTGCATTTCTTATCATTTTTCCCTGAAATTTTTTTCAATCCAAAACAAACTAATTTCCTTGGGTGGAAATTTTTCTTTCTTCTCATCACCATTTTGTTTGGGAAGTTATCAATATTTCAGGAAAAAGTACGTTTATCATCATTTCTGTTAGTGAAGGGGTTTACAAAGCAACAAAGCCAGCAAAAAGTGCAAAAGCATGATATACAACTGTGGGCAGTTTTCATGACTTTCTGTTGAAATACATACTGAAAATAATTTATTTCGTCAAGAATTAAAAGACATCAAGAAGGCCAATACCCTGTTACTCTGTACAGTACATTTATTACCCACAATACAAGACCAAATGAACACTGAAACAGGAATGCAGTATTATAATAGTAGTGTAATAATAGATGATGCAGTCCACAGTGTTTCAGGCTCCTACCATTTTGGTCCTCATGGTGAGTGGGAGAATTTTGGCAATCAAATTTGAAGGCGAAGTCACCAGTTTGGTACAGTCGAACCTCGATTATCCGGACTCATCGGGACCTCGGTAAATAGTCCAGATAATCAAGAGTCCGGATAATCGAAAATATGAATATTAATGAGATAGAAATGTGAAATAATTATCTGCTTATCTTTAATCAATAGAACGGCAAGCTTTCACTTTGTAGGCATGTTTTTTATTTGAGTTTACGATCGATTGCTCGTGTGTTTACAGAACTCACGCAGAAGGAACTAATCAAGCATGAAATTCCCTTGGCAACAAAACAATTGAGCTAACCATATATCAGCTAAACACATCAGAATACTTCTTTGACTTGTCGCACTTTCGAATTTTGAAAAGCGCATAGGACAATACGCTGTTTCAACAGTCTTTTGAAAGGATTATTGGGCTTTTTGAGACTTTGAGTTTTCAAGATCACAACTAATTAATATTCATGGGAAAATTGGGACCAGAGAAGAAAGTCCGGATAATCGAATAGTCCGGATAATCTGAGTCTGGATAATTGAGGTTCGACTGTAACTTGTTTTCAGCCTGGCTATCATAGTAAAAACATTCTATTATGTTGCAAAAAAATATATATTTCCTTTTTCCTGTCAAAGAAAATTTTGTTTCTGGCAACCTTAACATAATTTTAGGCAGATGAAACCTGGATGAAAGCCAAACAGGTAGCCCTGGGCTAATGATTAAGCTAGGATTAAAAAAAAAATTCAAATCACAGATAACTAGCCAGAGAATGAAAGATGCTAGGTAATGGCCACCACATCTTTCTCTATTCAGTGCAAAAACAACAACTAAAATAGTAACCTAAATTTATAAAAATATTTTCTGATGGAGCAAGTTTAACTTTCACTTTCTTGGAGAAATTTGTTTTCAGTTCACTTCTAGGCTAACAAAATCTTGGAACTTTCACAGTAATGTGCTTGAATCAAAATTAATACAAAAACTTAAGTAAAAATTTTACATTGCTGCTTATTTAAGTTACTACCAACAGCAAAAAAAAATCACAAGAGGTATAAACAGAACACTTTGAATCCAACTTACAACTTCTCAACTTTGCACAAAGAGCAAAAAAGTGTCAATAATAATTTTGGGAACAAAACTAACCTTGAAATCAAATTAAAAAGTTTCAATTTTAAAATACAGATCAAAGACCAGTTGAAATCAGATAATAAACTGCAAAATCAGAAACAAACACACAAACAAACATTTTTTTAACCGAGTACATGGCTTATGTGTCAAAAGTATCCAGTTTGCTAACCACTAACTTCAGAAAACACTTATGAATCATATTAATGTAAGACATAGCTAAGGAGATAAAATTATCTGTGAATACTTCCTTCTCAATTAAAGGGCCTACAAGGCACCCACAGGACCCACAACAACATTTACCAAGCGGATGAAAAGTTTTCTTTTCGTTGTTTGACTGTAAAAGATGGAAAGATCTCGTTTGTGCTAATTCTTGTTCGTAACCATGATAAGCGCGGTTTGAAATAAATCCTCTTCGGTAAGAAGGTTCTAGATGGATGCATGTTTTTTCTCACAAATGACGAAAGTTATGGGTGACCACTATCTTTAAAAATCCCTCACGACAAAGTATACAAAAAGCGTTTTTTTCCTTTGATATCCGAAACTTTCTTGCCAAAGGCAAATGTAACCAGTAGTACCTTGATCAATTATCACGATGGTTCTTACTTTGTTTTCGTATTGTTTATTGTAAACAATCACTTGTTTCTTTCCCCGAAAAAGAAAACTTGATGTAATTTAAGTTTCTCTCAACAACAGAGAATTAACTCTGACTAGATTTAATCAATTATGCAACACGATTTATCATGCCATCCAAAAAAAAGATTACGGGGTACTCTTGTATTCCTAAAGAGTGCTTACTCTCGTTTTCGCTGATGAGATGACAATTAGAGAAAATTGCTTCGCGATTGACAAGATAATATTATAAACGACTTGGAGCTGGCTGCATGCATACACTTACCGATTCCAGAGATTTTGCCAATGGGTTGACCCTTGAAGAACCATTTGTAACACCATTAAAATCGTTTAAAGCTCTAGAGGCGTTACTTGCATTTTCGTCTCCAGTTCCGTTGTTGCAAGCTGGATAATCGGAACAATTGGCATCGTTTGAAACTTGTGAGTTCCCTGTGATCGAATGGCAACTACGCATATCGCTCGTCGAGACATTCTCTTTGCTACCTGCTCCATTACAAGTCTCATGATGATCAAACTTTTCCACGTTTTCGTAAATCGGATCTCTTCTTCCTGGGGTAATTTCTTTCATATAAGACGCGGGAACGTACATAGGTTTTTCCTCAGTAGTATCCTTCCTCGTAACTTGCCACCAATCGACGTTGGTCTTGTTGAGCAATGTAAACCGATCTCCTGTTTCAAATTCGATGACTCTTCCATCGCCAGCTTGGTAAGAATAAGGAAATACGGCTTCTACAGTTCCATCTCCCATATCGAGAGCTTAGGGTGAGTGTTTAAAACCGCAGCGAAGAAATAAAATCTCACTTCAGAGTTTTGTAAACGAAGACATCTCTCATGTTATTGAAGATACAGGCGCCATAATGACATAGCATTTCCACAGAATAATATCGACAATATATATATAACGTCCGATTTTGATGTATAAATGGGATGAAGTAAAGAGAGTTTGATTTACTCAAAAAGATACACCAACCACTAATGAACCTTGAATACGATAAAAGTGAACTTCAGACATTCGACTTCCAAGGAAGCATTTCCATGTTTTCCAACTTTCGAGCGCAATATACCGCGCAAAGATGTCACTTCAATACGTCAAAACCCACGCACATCAGTTTTGGTTTCAGCTTTGCACAAACAAGGTACTACCACTGCCGAAATTTCCGCAATTACAGCAATAGAAACTGTGGTATCCGTCCAAAATATAAGTGAAGCTTATATTTCACTTAGCAAATTTGATTGACTCGTTTGCAAGTAAAATTCAGAGGCGAGAGGACTGAAAACTAGTAACTACCATCGGAAAGCGAAAATTACTCCGAATGTGTTACGAACTGACCCGGAAAAAAATGAACCAATAATAAGCCCATAGGAAGCAGGCAAAATCAATCCTCCGAACGAACGATTTCCCGCGATTCTTGGAAAAGCAACCGGAAGTTTTAACTTTACAGGAATTGTGTTTGAATGGGAGAAATCCCTTGATTTATTTTCGGCTTTTGACGATTTTTAAAGTGCTATTTCTACCAGTGTGTGGGCTAGGTGCTTGCTTAGTTTTCTTGACTGCGTGGGCTGAGGACGGATCGATCGATACCATTTGGGTAATTGTAGCAATCTTCTCTGTACTGGTAGGCCTAACATGGATGCAATCCACAAGAAAGTGTTGGCTAGCAAGACAACTGTTATCATGAATAGCATTACCAGCCCAACACTGATTGCCGCACAACTCGGCTCAGTTTTCTGCCCTTCAGATAAAGAGGAAATAAAGGCTACGGAAAACAGATTGGGTTCCATTCACGCGTCACAAACATTGCTAAGTTTGTTGGAGAAGAGAGGACCGAAAGCTTTTGATAAGTTTTTAACAGTCCTGAAAAATCCAGACAATCGTTTGACTCACTTAGCAGACGAACTCTTAGAAGCAGAGAGAGAACTGCGTGGAGAACAAGGTCAGTGAGCTGTTTTCGCCTCATTTAATTCGCTTAAAAATTTATCGGAGTTACAAAGCATAATATTAGCCAATTTCCAGGATTTATCCTTAGTCGTTTCAAAATTATAGAATCCCCGAGTTTTACAACAAAAGACAATTTTTTCCTTTCCAGTTAACTGATTTTAGTTCAATTACACGCTGGTCGTAGCTTTTATGACAAATGCTCGACAAGTTTACCACGGTTTTGGTTTTCAGTTAATATTTCTTTTTTCACACACACACAAAAAAAATTACTCTATGTTAGCGTGTAGAGTAGTATGTTCCTTGCACCAATCAGATCGCCCCATTTGGGTATGTATCTCAGTCATGACAAACCATCTGCACTTGTAAAATGTTGGTGATGACAGAAAATTTATCTAAATAAACAAGTAAGTTGATCAGTCTGTTGGTGAGTCAGTTAGTCAATGAGTCAGTGAGTAAGCCAGAGACTGACCTAGTGAGTCAGTCAGTTAGTGAGTTAGTCAGTCAATGGGTCAGTGGGTCAATGAGTCAGTCAGTCAAGTGGTCAGTTAGTAAGTCAGTTAGTCAGTGAATCAATTAATGAGTTACTCAGTGAATTAGTGAGTGAGTGAGTCAGTGAGTCAGTGAGTCAATGAGTCAGTCAGTTAATCAGTTAGTAAGTCAGTGAGTTAGTGAATCAGTGAGTCAGTGAATCAGTTAATGAATCAGTCAGTGAATTAGAGAGTGGGTCAGTCAGTGAGTCAATGAGTCAGTCAGTGAGTGAGTGAGAGAGGTAGTCAGTCAGTCAATTGGTCAGTAAGTGAGTCAGTTAGTCAGTGAATCAGTTAATGAGTCAGTCAGTGGTTGAGTCAGTCAGTCAGTCAAGTGGTCAGTTAGTAAGTCAGTTAGTCAGTAAATCAGTTATTGAGTTAGTCAGTGAATTAGTGAGTCAGTCAGTCAGACAGTCAGTGAGTCAATGAGTCAGTCAGTGTGTTGGAGAGTCAGTCAGTTAATCAATTAGTAAGTCAGTGAGTCAGTAAATTAGTTAATGAGTCAGTCAGTGAATTAGAGAGTGAGTGAGTCAGTGAGTGAGTGAGAGAGGCAGCTCAGTTATACCCTCTGGAATTTCTAAGGGAGTCAGCATCATGACTCATAATTACTCTCTGAGAGAAGAAACTATATGGTCTCAGGGACAGACTTCTCATTTACATTTGACGTCTTAGAGCAATCAAGTGATGGGCCTTCCTTTTTTTTACTTCGGGTCAGGGGTTGGTGAAAAGTAATGAAAATTACTCACTGATATGGTGAAACAACATGAGCATGAAAATCCTGACAAATAATTATTGTTGACTCTTTATCATCAAAAGCTCCAGGACTGCCAACACCAGCAAGCCCTGATACTCCTTCTGAAGATGTAAACTTTGATGATCAACCTAAAGAAAAAAGAGAGGTGAACCCACCTTCTCTTGACTCAGGGTCTACAGAACAATTCAGTCATCAAGAAAGTGACAGTAGATTGAAAAACTTGTACCAAGGCCATGGCCAAGGTCAAGCTTTTGCTAGCAACCAGTCCTCCAGTGCTGATATGAAAAATAATGTGCTCAGTTTAGGTAAGTCTAGATGAAAATTTTTGATGAATTCCCATTTGAGAGGAATTTAATAACAAGCATAGCATAGCATAGCTATAGCATAGCTCCTTTTTTGTATAGGTAATCACATGATTTCAAGTGCAATTGGAATAAATAAGCATGAGTAAATTTTTTCAAAGACTAACAAAATTACATGAGCTTGCAGAGCAAGTGCAATTTCTGGTCTTTGAAAAAATTTACAGGTGCTTATTTATTCCAAATTGTACGAGGAAAATCATGTGATTACGTATTAATAATATACATGAAAAAATATGAAACAGTTTATCATAATTAAGCAGAAGCAAAGTGGGCACATCAAGTGCAAAAATAATTTATTCAAACCCTGCAAGTGACATTGTGCATTCGGTCAAAACAACCACATACGATTAAAACAATTAAATATACAATAATATTTTCACATCTTTACGGTGCAAAAAAGATTACCTGGAAACTACATTTATCTTAACCAATCAGAACTGAGTAATTTTTTCATGTATCTTATTATGCATAAAAATACACACAGCCCACAATTCCTCCAATTGCTCTGACAAAGGGCTAACACTTGAAATGTCAGCTTTTAACCCTTTCACTCCCACAAGTGACCAAGACAGAATTTCTCCTTACAATATAAATACAATATAAAGCAGGCAGGTGATGAGAATAGAGAAGAATATCAATCATGGGATTATTAGTTGATCCAATACCAAATTCTCTGAACTAACATCATAAGAATTGTATGGCAGATAGTAAGGAGAATTACTAATCAGATCTTGGGAGTGAAAGGGTTAAACTCTTCACAGTGGCCAATTTACATTATCAACTCAGTATACTCTCCCACTGACACAGCACCACAGTTTCTTTATAAACTTACCCCCTTTATTTATTTATCTTGAACTCTCTCTCCCACATTCTGAGAAATGTGTTGGCTAATGAGATAACACAGGGATTTAAATCCTGGTTGTGTGAACCATTGTGACATGTTCTTGGACAGGTAACTTAAGTATTGCCTCACTCAATCTTGGAAAGTAAATGAATACTGGTGAACTTTTAGGGAAAGTTTATAAATCCCTGTGGGAGTGAAGTATCCTATGATCATTGCTTTTCCCACTGGGTATTCCTCTTGACCATCTAAAGGATGTAAATTGATGCCATAATCCCTTGAATAGGAGCCTGGGCACTCATCTAAAATTTTGGCAAAAGTAGAGGGTGCATTTGTTGGAGAGAGGGTGCTTAATTGAGGGGGGGAACTTATCTTTCTCTTTGTACTGATTCTGCTGTAAGTGCAGCTTAAAAAGTTATAAATAAAGTGGCAATAGAAACAGGTTTTCCTTGTTTCCCTATTTTTAAAGAAAGTGAGGGAGGAGGGGGTGCTTATTTCAGGGGGGGGGCTCATGTTTGACATTTTTGCCTATGGGATGGGTGCTTATTCAGGGAGGGTGCTTATTTCTGAAGGGCACTTATTAAGGCATGTGCATTCATTTGAGGAATACAATATTTAGGTTGGCTTGACAATGACAAATTACAGGAACTTTTATTTAGTTGGTTTATTTTTTTCTCAAAATTGGCATAGATTTGTTCACAGCTCTTTGTTTTTCTTTCATCCAGATACACTTATCAAAGACATCCCCTACAAACTCCAGTTGCAGATTGTGAAGTTAATGGATCCATCAGATGCCAATCATCATGACTGGCGGGGGATAGCCAGTGTAATGAATTTAAGTGCTGATGATGTAAGACAATTAGAGAATGCTCAAGACCATGGAAAAATGAAAGGACTGATTGACAAGATGATTCAACTCAAAAAGAATGTGAATGATCTCCTTGGTTGGTTAAGGAATCCTAACGTAGCCAGATGGGATGTTATTGATGAAATCAAAAATTTTTCTTTCAATATTCCCCTTAAGTTTCTGTCACCTGAGACAGAAAGCTCAGAAGACCAATCATCAGGTGTGTTTCTTGGTTTGCTTTTTAAAATCAACTCATGTCTGATTTAATTATCACACCACTAATTTTGTAGGCCTCAATTATAGCTATCATAATGTAACTCATGAAAATGTGGGTTCAAATTCCAGAAAGATCAAAGAACTCTTTGGGGGAACTGGGGGCAAGATAACACACTCCATCAGAATAGCCAAACAACAAAACTTAATTCTCATTGACTGCAGTGATCATAATTCCATAAGATTGCAAGGCTTTTTATGTTTTCTCTCTTTTTAATAACAGCCTCTCTTTTAAATGCTGATTAAAGTAATTTTTATTGCTCCCATGATTATTACCAAAGTTCATACCCCAATTTTTTCTCAGATTCAGCAAGTACTGTAACATTTGGAGAAAGCTTTCTCCCAGAGCCAAAATCTGAATTGAAAGCAGTACCTATACAAGAACACAGTCCAGAGCTTGATGAAAAACCTGATGCTCGAATTCCAACACAAGAAGAGGATTCTAAAGACTATCAACAAAAACGTAACTGTAAGACAAGTGCTAATCCAGTTCATGAAACTCTCAGGAAAGGGTCCAATTCTAAATTGCATGCAGTACCAGCACAAGAACAGAGTCAAGAGCCTGATGAAAAACCTAATGCTCAAATTCCCACACAAGAAGAGGAATCTGAAGGCTATCAAAAGAAGGATGGCAGTAAAAATAATTTGTCTACACCAACTCAGGAAGAAGGCAAAGATGAAAAAGAATTCGACAACAAATCTGATGATCAGACGCCTACCCAAGAGGAACAAACCAATAGTATCTCTTCTGTTGAAGATGACGATGTGTTTGAAAATTCAGGTATTCGTCATTCTTTAACTCTTTGGAGTGATATTTTCTATTAAAATCTGAACTATCCCTGGTAATGATTTGTTGTCAGACCAAAAAGCAATAAGTATCAAGAAAATTATTAACCAGGGAATTTAACATTAAGGTAGCTCAAAAGATAATTTATACATTTTGTTGTTGACTGATGAAGATGATGTTACCTGTCTTGAGTGTTCTGTTGCACTGTAACGAGAAAATTCACTTTTTAAATATTAAATCAAAAATAGAGAATAATTGAGTATGTGACAAAAGTGGAATTCTTGAGTACTGTTCTAACTCTGTTCGGTTTCAATGACATCTGGATATTAACTCATGCCAAACCAGAAACTATAGTAGTTTGATCATTTCCCAAAATTTATATCAATTTTTGGAATATCTTGGAAGTTTGGAGTCAGAGCATTTGTAGTAGTCCTGAAGAGGCACTTATATTACTGGGTCATTTTTAGTAACCTATGAGTAGCATGGAGAGAAAACCTTAAACCCTCACACCTCAACATCAGTATGCATATTCTCCATACTGTTTTCTATACATTACCTAAGGTGCTGATAAGGAGAATTTGTTTATTAGTCACAAAAATATTTAGTTGGTGATCATTCCCTTTACTCTTGTGACCTTACTGTGTGATGCAGGGGTTATACTGTTGGAAAAAATAAGATGCCAATCACTCTCCAGGGATGAAGGGTCAATTCTTCCCAAGTTAAGCAGCATAGTGAAAGTTGGTCAAGGTTTGCTTACATTTTTAAGAGTTAACTGGTTTTCCTGATGTGTTTAATGAAGGACTGTTTTTCTTGACAGATGATGGCAAAAAGGAATTCCGTCCTCTCTTAATAAGTTGCTGTGGAAATGAGGAACAGGACCATGAAAAAAAGCTAAGGGAGCTGCGTGAAATCCTTGAAGAGTGTTGGGAGGATACAGGTATAGTCTAATGTTAACATTGTTTACATTTAATGTTGTTGTACATTTGGGGCAGATCCAGGAATGATTTGGGTGGTTCCGTCAACCCCCCTAAAATAAACATCACTGACAAATACTATGCATTTGCTTTCAAAAAAAAAAGAAAAAAAGATAAACCAACTTAAAAGGGGAAAAGATAACATTGATGGAAGAGAGTCTTTACTTTTCCTAGCATGATTTTTAAGACCACTTAGCAAGTACAAATACATTACTGCAACTTACGTTTCATTTTCTGTATTAGTTTCAATTACTGTAAATACTTAAGAATGGTAATTTTGTTAAATAATTCAAAACAGAGATGGTTGCACAGGTTTCAAATAACCTACACTCATCCCTCAAAATGTTGTAAATCATGTTTCTGAAGACCTACTTTTCAAAATATCCCAAGGAAGCATGCCTCCAGAAACCTCTAGAAGGGTCCACCCTTAGCAGAAAATTTTCTGAATCCCCTTTGACTAAATCCTGGAATTGCCCCAACATAGTCTAGTTCTGTTTATTTGGCATAATAAATGGTATGCATTTATATGTATTTTTATTTTCAGATGTCCAATTTAAAAAGAAGGTCAAAGAGCAAGATTTGAGCAAAACAATCCATTCATTTATAAAAGCCAGTGAGTCTGGGGCAAGAAAAAGTGTTTACTTTGCTTATTTGGTTGGACCCACAGTTCAGGTGTGTTCCTTTTTGTTTAAAGATATTCCAAATTCCATACAAGCTGGACTTTCATTTCTTTCACCTTTTTCGGTGGCATGATTTTGGAGACTTATTTTATGTAAATTAGCATTTTTTTCTGATTGTGACCAGAAATACTTGGTTTACAATTTTCACTCTTTTATAAATATTAATGTCAATAAATTAATGTCCATCTTGCAGATAAATGGGGAAAACTACCTTCTTCCAATTGATCTAAAGAGTCCTTCCTCGCGAGCTGACCTTATTCACAGTTCATTGAATATCAACTGGCTGGTTAAGCAACTGAGCAAGAAATATGTGTGTTTTTTTGTTTCTGATCTTTATGATATTTTCTATTTAAATTTAAAATTGAAGGAGGAGTATGTATCTACTTACATAACTTCATGACAGTATTTGAAGCAAAAGAAATTTCAAATTCACAATAATACTTTTTAAAGTCATGTTTTGGCATATACTATTTCCTCTAATGAGTATCCAAAATGAGCGCCTTCTCCTGAATAAGTGGCTACCCCTTAGGCCAAAATTTCAAAGGGCCCCCCCCTCCCCTGCAAATAAGCACCCTCCATCCCTCACTTTCTCAAAGTAAGTCTAATGTATAACTATGAGAATTATTATACATTACACTTACTATGAAAAATTAGATTGGTAGAGAGCAAAATCATTGAAGTAATCGTTTGTGTTTCTGCTTTCTCAGATGCAAGTAGTGATAGTCGATGGAGCTTATGAGAATCCTGTCGTGAAAGATTGTTTAAAATTAAATGGAGTTCTACCAGGATTGGCCCCGATTCAGCCACCGCCAAATGCATTCATTGCATTCCCATGCCACCCAGGAATTGTAAGAAAAGGAGAAGAAGAACGACTGTAAGTTTTATGATAAGCAGATTTATTCATGTACTTTGAACATCAGTGACACACTTTGACAAGAAATTGAGTTTGATCAAAATACTGTCAAACTTAATTGACAAAAAACGCGAAAATGCCAAAATATTTCCCACTCATAGTCGGGCTGGGCGATCGGAAAGGAATCTTCTTGTACTTGTGAAGTTCTTTGTGTATCGCTTTATCATTCTGTGTGGGATAACTCTAACATTTTTTTCTTCAATCCTCTTTTCCATTCACGACTGACTCAAAGGGTCCTTGATTTATATTCAGAGCCTTCATTACAAGCCTTGTAAAAAAGTTGGAAGGCGAACCAAACGTGATGCTGGCAGATCTTTTTGACCAAGTGAGAGCAGACTTAGAGCGCAAATCTCTCAGTCCTTCAGTGGAATTCTCCTTAATCTCGTCTCCACTACCAATCTGCATCAATTCGGAAGCAAGTCAAGGTTTGTTCAGTGGAGAGAAACAAAAATGGTTTATTGTTAATCTTTGTTTTTGTGGTATTTTAAAACGTATAAAAGTAAGCTATAGTAGTTCATCTATTGCTTAAGTTGTGAAATGAAAATTGGAAATCAACTCCTTGCTATGGAATGTCGGGGCCTGAATATCAAAAAGGATCGGCTGGTGATTAAATTGTGCCTGTGCCGTTTGTTGAACTGAACCGCGGTAGAAATTTTCAAATAGATCTCCGGATGTAAGCAAAAGATAGGAGAAAGATATTAAGCTAAGGTTGAAACTGCCTAAGATTTGACGTTAGGCTGTAGTGCTCTCCGTGCCATAAGAGTCGCAGTCATGAAAGAAATGTCAATTTTTTATTCTTTCCGCAGAAATTCAAGTAAATTCTCCAGTTGAGATGAAACGCCATGCCATATTAGTTTCAAACTTCAGTGGGCCAACTGCTGAGGCGAGCACAGATCGTTGTCTCAAGCGGGACCGTGAACAACTTCGAATGGCCCTGTTAAAATCTGGATGGGAATGTGGTATGTTGTAGAAACTCAAAAGATCTTACTGTGTAACTTAACTAGAGTTGATAGTTAAGGCGTCTTATGAGTATGGTGTATGGAATATCGCATCAACACACTGTGGATAAAGCAGAAGAAGAAGAGGAGGAAAGCATGTATTCAAAATCAACTCCTTACTAAGAATCACGGGAACCGAGATTCATAAGGAACCATTCGTTATTTACCGCCAAGGGTGGGGAGAGGATTTTGGGGATCACATGGTTTTCAGGAGGAACGGAAGGAGGGGGGATCAGTCGCCGCCAACTGACTGTACAGGGGGGACTATAGGAAATTGTCTGTCAATTAATGATCAATGAGGAGGGAATATGACAGAGCCTGATCGGGAAATCAGGTACATTAGTTTTATTGTGACACAAGCAAAATCCTCCACCACAACCCCCCCCTCCCTCCTCCCTTCTCATGACCCCAGGTTATGCTTAATACTTTAACCTTTAGGAGTGACTGGCGTCTAATTTCTACTAACAATATCACCCTTGAATCACACATTAAGGTCGTGAGAATAAAGGAAATGATCACAACTAAGGAAGCTCCTGATTGTTAAACAAATTCTCCTCGTTAGCACCTTAGGAAATATATAATGAAAATGCATAATGATTATAGGGTGTAAAGGGTTAATTACTGGTGATCTCTTGTCGGTTCCTAAAAGGAAAGAAGATGAGAAAAAGGGGGCAGTGAAGATTGCGTTTCGTGGTTAACCTGCCTTGGTTCCTCCAAGAAGGGCCGGACATTATCCCCTATAGCTCTTCTAGTTTTAAGCTAGGTTAACTGAAGGATGAAGGTAGAAAGGTCATTCTTCATTCGTATTCAGAAATCGGTCCGAAATATACTTTTATCATAAACAGGAGGCCAAATTCGTCTATCTATCTTGCTTTACATACCCCCTTTCTGCCCCCAAAAACACATTCATAAGCCTGAGAATAAACACGCGGAACATTACGAGAACAAAGATCTCGAAACGGATTTAAGCCCATACGAAATGTCCCCGTAAGTTTGTAGGCTGCTTACGAAACACGTACATTGTTGGAGAAGGGGAGGAATATGCGAATACGCAAAAAGTGGCGTGTCATGGACGAACGAAGAAGTTCTTGAGCTCTTGGGATAAAATTATACTCTGTATTTTTAGTGTCTTGCAGTTCTAAAGGTTTTTTTTTCTATTTCAATAGAGGATTTTTGTGACAAGTTTGCTAAGGATGTCAAAGAAAATCTAAGGAGGACATTGACCAAGCTGGCTGATGGTGAAAAGAAAGAAGTTATGCTCTATTTCATGGGACACACCAAAATGGTATATGAACTATAATCAGATGCATTATAGCGTAGAAACTGTATAAATGCTTTTTTTTCTTCTTCATTCCTTAACCATAACAACGGAATCGAAAAGGTCGAACCAGACCTTTATACAATGGCGATGTTAAATGATATACGATCGAACCTCGATTATCCAGACTCGTAGGGACTGGGCTCAATAGTCCGGATAATGGAGAGTGCGAATTATCGAAATATATAAATGTAATGTTCGTAGATAATGGGATCAAAGAAACATGTCCGGATAATCTAAAAATCCGGATAATCGAGGTCCGGATAATCGAGTTTCGGATATCGAGATTTGACTGTACTTGCTTCCGTTTCATTCATTCGTCAAAACTATGCCAATTACTTCTTTGCACTGGTTTTTTTTTCCATGTATATCACTCAATCATGTCTCTGATGGTCCTTTGTATCGATTGCTCAGTGTGTGGTCGACTCTACACAACGATACATTTTTAGAGAGACCTTATATGCGATGCTGGGGAATACATTGTTCTAGAGGACATTGCACCAATGTTCGTTTCAAACACTACAACAAAACCAAAGGAAAAATCTTCAGGAGCAGTTTACGAGTAGAATTGCCATTTGCCTCTTTAAACCATTTAGTGTCAGTTTTTAATCTCCTTTTCTTGCCCCTCGTATATTTGTTACAATTTGTGAATCAATGTCAGTATCTGAGCGGCAGTCCACCTACTCCTCCCTAAACCAACAAAAGTCAACTGATAACAAGTCAGGGTTAATGTTGGATTAGGGGAGGGGTACTGATATCCATCCCATATGGTAAAATATCTCAGAGATATTTTACCAATTTTCTTTCTGTTTTATCATTCTTATGGAAGCAGCTTTTTCGGGACAGATTCTGTTTACTTTAAATCTGGTTTTTTTTCATTTTCTTTATTATTTATTTTTTTTCTTTTGTAGATAATAGACTGTAACTATTTTTACGGAGGGGATATAGAGGCTCTTTTAGAAGATCCATACCGCTCGGGTGTATCGCTTCAATGGGTGTTGGATCTCATGTGTGAAAAAATTCATGGAGTAAGTAATTCATACTTTTCTGTGAAAGATATTGGCTATTTGGTGCGAAAAGCTGACTTTGCCTAAGGGTTCGCTACCGTAACTTACACCCTCCGCCTTCACGATGAAACAAAAATGGTTTGTTTGCGGCTGTAAACGAAAAACTTGCTTGGCTGCCACAATATTCGCCGGCCGTAAGGGCGTGTGTCTGTTAACCCTATACACCCGTTGGTGATCACTTACCATATTCTCATGACTTAAATGTTTGATTGAGCAGTTGTGCTGTGAGAAGAAATTAGATTTTAGTCAGTGGTGAGTTGACATTTGCCGTCACAGTTCAACAACTGACTGCGCACTTGTTTCATTATGCAGCCAAAACTATTGGTAGTAGATGACGTGGGCTCAAACCCCAACAACCCAGAAGAACTGGCGGAGATGTCCGTACCTTTCGATGTTATGATCAGTTTACCACGAAAAGACAGGTTTGTGATCTTTCTCTCCATTCTTCTTCGTTTCTTTTTCCTTCTTTTCCCTTTTTTTTTTAATTAATTATTTTTTTGGGGGGGAGGGGTGTGGGAGAGTAACTTTTAAGGCCTTAAATGCTTTCGCGATGGCGGAACGGGGGGTGGGTTAGTTCAGCAAATGAGCCCTTACTGGGTGTTATGTTTTTGTACAAGACACTAGTCTCTACCTAGGATCTAATCTCGTTCCCAGGTCTTTTTAATAAAAGACGGGTCAAGATGTTGACTGCCTACAAGACGTACGCTGTTGTTTCCATTTGCACTGAAGTTCGATTACATTTCCATAGAGTGTCGTAATAGCGAAAGGATCGCAAAGGCCAATCAGAGCTAAGGAAGATTTCACAAAAATCCAATAAGAACTCAAAGTAGATTCAAGTAAATTTTTACAAAGGGCGGGAAATGCGAATGATCTTGTCGCGATTGGCTTTAGTTTTACATTTGATTGGTTGATTGGTTTTACTTTTGAAAATGATTGGTTGATTGGTTTTGATTTTGCATCTCATTGGTTGAGAAGGGGTGCAAGTTTTCTAGTCCAATCACAAAGTGAAGTTAAGAAATGCTGATTCAATTCAGAATCACCTTGGTTACTTAACCCTTTAACTCCCATGAGTGACCAAGACAGAATTTCCCCTTACAATATCAATACAATATCAACCAGATAAGTGATGAGAATAAAGAAAAATATCATTTTGGGGATAATTAATGGATCCAATACTAAATTCTCTGAACTAACATTACAAGAACTGTATGGTTGAGAGTAAGGAGAATTACAAATTTGATCTGGGAGTTAGGAGGGTTAATTGGAAACTACTTCGTAAGAAGACTAAAAGCTTTAATTTCGCTCTGTGAATGAACTGTTACAATTCTTTCATTATTTTCTTCTTTACTTCATCTTTCAGGCCGCGTGCAAGGAGTTTCACCAACAATTTTGCGCGTCTGCTGGGTGAAAACTCAACGAAGTTGTCTTTGAAGGACAAGTTGGAAAAAGCTGCGATGAAGGACCCTCACCGGCTCAACTCAAATTTATTAGAACCCAGATAAGATAGTTGCATCAAAAAAAAAATTTACATAGTGTAGCTTTAAAAGCCAATTTTTATTAATATTTATTGAATTCACAGAGTGAAGTGGAGTATGGTAGAGTAGAATATCGATTGGACGCATTTAACCACGAAGCAGTCAAAGTATAAAATATTCTGATTATAAGCTGATCCTCTCATTGATGAAAGCGATGTTCTTGAATTATTTTGACGACTAGTTTTAAATGTGCACTTTTATGAAAGGTAGCGTGTGACATTTATAATCAATTCGCGATGCGATCATATTTAACTAATCATTTTAAGCCGAGCACGAAAGTTTTTGCCGCGTCAGCAAGTACTCACGTGTTATCTTTCCCAAAGTGCATTATTGGCAGAAGCTGCCTTAAGTGACGCCTGTGTTTTAGCGAATACAGAGGTTTATCTTGGAATAGCGAAAGCGGAATGCACGAAAATTAAGATTCAGTAAATTTATTGTCTCGGAATCAGCTTAGTTTCATGCATGGAAACTGAAAATCATCTTATCTCATAGTTATAGGGGTACTTTTTTTTTTAATTGTGCAGTTTCGTTGTTGTTTTTGATTTTTATAATACTTCAATTCATATTAAAAGGGGACAATATTGGTAACCTTTTCCAGTTCACTTGCAGAAATATACGTTTTGTTAAGCTGGGGAACTTAATAGAAAGAAGGAACATTATAATATTTTAACATACATTTCTTCCCTTCCTTTGTAATTTTCGTTAAGTGGAAGAAAACAGTTTTCAATTATTGCTTGCTGGAGTAGACAAACTCCACATAGTCCTGAATAGTCTGAGATAGAACAAGAGTTTTTAAGGATAGGTAATATTAAAACGGATTGCAAACCTTGATCTACTAAAGGCAGCCGGAATGGTCAATGTGATTAGGGCAGTTTTTGAGTGTCGATAACGAAAAGTTAAGTAATTCCAGAACAATAACCATAACATACATATGTTCCAGAAATTCGTTTTCTGTGCGTGGTACTGTTTTCAGTTTCATCCTTTGGGCTTTCAATTCACAAATGATAAACTGAATTCTTCCGCGGACCTTTTTTTAATGAGCCTGACAGCCTCATTAGGTGGCTAATAAAAAAAATCCGTTTAATAGGGAAAACCAAATGAAATCGTTGGTTTTTTATCAGGTTTGATTTACGCATCACAATTTTTATTTAGTCTACGATTTACTGTTTCTCACGTGTTTGAATTTTAATTATATGCTCGAAACTGTGTTAAACAGTTTCTATCATGGGGGATTACTAACCAGTAAACATTACAATTCCTTAGAACATACCTTATAAGAATTAAACTGGCACATCTTTATCACAGTATCTGTGACTGTTTCTTGTGTGAGTAACTAACATCAGGAGTCCAGTTTACGAACTCTTTTGAAAACCTTCAACAGGGTGGTTTTATCAGGGCGAGAACTTCAATTGCGTGGACTTTAACTGCTCTTTGTTCGCAAATTACTGCAAAAAAGATACCCTGCTGCTGAAGGGGAACCGAACTCTCTCCTCAAGCTGAAGTGAAAAATGACTCTTAAGGTTACACACTAAGCTTTCTTTCCTGTGACATCCTAAAGAAATTGACTCTAAAATCTCAAAATGATGCTTCCTTTGGAAGGGTTAGCGCGACCGACGTGATCATGGCTCTTTGCTTGTGTGGGGAGACTGACGTCATTCGACGAGAGATCGCATATTTTACGGTGCAACCGGCGGCAACTACACTCGAACTTTGTTCCAACATGTTAAATCTACCTAGAAATATGACGTCGTCAGCTCCGCAACTCGACAAGTGCAATATTGAAACGTCCACCGCGGCTTGGCGTGATTTTCAAGGACCTTGATCAGCTCAGCTGCTCTGGTGACAAGTCAGGCCACCAGAGAATGTGGACTGAAAATAAATTAAACTGTGTCTCACCCAAAACTACACGCTCGCGACTGCAGCTATAGAATGATTTTGCACCAACGTACGAAGGTCAAGTCATTTGCTTTGCCCACCGATAGTCGTGAATAAAGATCTGTGCGGCGGTCAGAAATCGAAAATACAATGTGCCTCTGTGTAATAAACACATGATCACAGGTTACGTTCAACCGTATCATCTAAAATGTATTATGCGATCAAAAAGCTTCACTACACTAATTTTTAATTAGTTTTCAGAAATATAATTTTTTAAAAGGACTTCTTAAAAGCCATTCACTTGCAAAAATTAATCGAAAATGTACTTTTTCATCCTTAATCTGACCATATCATATCAATTGGCTCAATAATAATTAAAACTCGCTATTCACATTGCATCAATTTTGCCAATTTGTCATTTGCATTAATCTATCAATTTGTAAATATCATGGCCAAAGAGGAATTTAATATTTTATCTTGTTTTGTCGAGAATTCCGAGAGACAGGGAGAATGTCAAAAATATACCAATAAACGTTGCGACAGTGAGAGCCAAAGTCGCGCGGGCGACAACTCGCGTTCTGATTGGTTCATTTTTGGCTCGAGATGTCATATGATTTCTACCTTTGCCCACCAGATATTTGGAGCGCTGTGATTGGCTTATACTCATCAGGCCACTCACAGCCCATCAACGGCAGTTTATCGTAAGGTTTTTGCATGTATAAATTCTACGGACTTTTTAAAAGGAATTCTTTCGTTATATCGCTCGATGGGATTCACAATGCACTGTCTACTTTGTGGTAGGCGCTCCTCGTCGAGTGGGAAATACTTCTTGAACTTATTTCGCAAAATCGCACCGTCAGTTGTAAACGTTTGCGTGCGCGGCGTTGTGTTGTTCATCCTCGGAACTTTCTTTGCAATGGTTCTTTTCACGTTTTCTGTTTTACCAGAAGTACGTAGAAAGAGAATCCAAGATATAGGTATAATTGCAAAGCTCTTCAGTGCTGTGTGGTGGATCGCTCCGTCCTCTGGCACTGCTGCTGCAGTTGTGGGTTTGATTTATCCTTGTTCTGACATTCGCCTTGGAAAACCGCACAAACTAGAAAGAGAATGGTCTAGCGTTTTTAAATGCGTGGTGTTATTCCTTGGAATAAGTCATGCATGTGCCGTATCCTTTCCACTGTTGTGTCCTTTGGGTTTTAAAGTAATTTAATGTGAGTTGCTACGAAAGTTTGCGGAAACTTAGAAGCTAATTTCTAGCGTGATAGTGCAGTCAACGAAATTGACATAGGCGACTAGTTTATTTCCGGTCTGTGTAAAGCAGTCGTCCGAAAACGAAAAAGAACGCGATAAAAGCAGAAATACAACGTATATTTGTGAAAAAATCGCAGTGCATAACAAGAATAGCAAACTCTGTTTTGAAATAAGCCTCATTCAGTTACAAAACTTTAAAATCAGGGCAACGAAACCCGAAGATTGTTAAAACGTGTTTTTAATTGTTATGTATCGCGTTTTGAATCGAAATACGTAATTTAGTATCTTTCTTAAGAAATGTGAGCTATGCAGGACTATTCATCATTTGCTGATACATAGGAAATTTCCATCAACAAATTTATGAAACGCCGGTTGTTTTTCAAGGTATCAAGTTACGCCTAAAATTTCCGGGACTGGCGTTGATTTGATGATCAAGTCGTTTAATGTGTTTATGTGACGGCAGTTTTTTGTGTATGTATTGTGTGCAAAGAAATTAAACTGGTAAAAGATTTTTGATTGAATATTAAAAAAAAAATGTTAATCAATCTTTGTTGTTCAGCCTGAAATATAATTCTAGGAATTTTTGTTTGATACCCTTGTCATGATTTGTATTGTTGTAGTTATGGTTTATATTTTTGTTCTCTTTCATGTATCGGTTGTTTTTCGTCTTCAACAGAATTAATTTAATTATACAAGGCATCATGTCTTACACACATCATTGACCTGTTGCATTCAGAAAGCAAATAGGGTGACAAGCTCAGTAAGCAATTTAATTCAGTGGGATTCATTGCTATGGATAATTCTTGAGATTACCATTTTCCAGTCGTTTTTCAAAGTCAACATTTTTATTTACAAAAAATATGATGATCCTACCAAAAACTACAAAAACAAGGAAAGAAATCCCATTATAGACCATTGGTCCAGCTGAACAAACTTGCCTTAAGTTCAAACTTTTTCCTTGCTAATGTGAATATGCTTATCATTCTTATCCAAACTATGTTTTTTTTAGTTAGCCATTCTTTTTTACTTCATGATTATCTGTGGACAGTAAATAGTTTTTAGGAGTTTCGTATTGTTTATAACTTCTTAAGTAGAAAAAGTAATGTTTTGTCACCTTAACATTTTTGTAGAAAATCACTTTTAACAGTCCAATGCACATCTTCCTCTTTATGGCTATTAGCTCACTGACCTTGTGGTGGTTATTTGACCGATCAAAAAATGGTCTTGGACTGGCTGTGCTGGTAACAATGTGTGCCTGTATTCTTCTACAATGTTTGATATACTTGGGAGTTTACAGGTAAAAAAAAAAAATAATTTTTAGACATCAGTAAAATACTAGGATGGACTCCACTTCCTAGATCTGATATATTCTCCTTATTCTCTGAAAATAATGGCTTGTGTCTTTCAATTGGGAATATACTGATGTTGTCAGAATTGCCAGGTCAAATCGAAGAGAAATGCAATAATTGTTTGCTTAATCTTTAATTGTTTGACCAGACCCACCTAACGCATGAGTGATCCTGCAGTTTTATTTCAAAAAATCATGTTTGATTTTTACACCTCAATACTTGAACATCTGGACTAGGTTGTTCAAAGCTAGGTTAAGATAACACAGGGTTAATGTGAAATCTGATTTCAGATCTGATAGCTTTAAAAGAAAATTTAGTCAAGTTCTTTTTGTCTAGAATATGACTATTTAATGCTCTAAAAAAGAACTCGGGAAATTATCCCAAAAAGGCTTTTGAATAAAGGAATAAAGAAACCTAGATTAAAATTTAACCTTGGGTTAGTGCTTATTGGCCTTGGAACAAGTGAGCCCTGGTCTTTTATACTTGTATACTGTACAGGTTTTACCTTCTAAAGCTGAGATAGAAACTGAAAGATAAAAATTGGTATGCAGTTCTGTAATCACTTCTATTCACATCTCATTATTAATGTGCTATCAAGTTGGTGGCCTCTCCACCATAGCTCCTGAAGGACAGAAACCAACCAATGACAAAACAAATTGATTTTTTTTTTGCAAATCATTTATCTCTGTCCTTTCAGAAATGGTGAGCCAGATTTCCTCTATGCAAGATCTTGGCTGCCATGGTTCTTTTTTTCTGGTGTTGTAACATTTGGATCCATTGGAAGACAGCTTGCTATGGTATGTTTCTGCTCATGAAGTGAACCTCAATTTTTCATCAAAAATACTGTTTACACTTGAAAGGAATGGTGCCAATACAGTGCCTATAAGATCTGATGACACTAATGTTCCATTTTTTTTTTTCAAATAAGTTCCATCGAATGACTTTTTCCACAAATTTTTGTGCTTACATCATGAGACTGGGAAAAGGTTTTTAAAATAGGTTTTTACTGAGATCTGTGATGCCTCCTCACAAATTGATACTTGCTTGTCTCAGCACAGCTTTCCTTTCCAGCCACTAGCCCAAACATGTTTCACCAAAAATTCTGGAAGGTTATTTTGGCATATGAAACATTTATCCCTTTACACCCTAACATCAGTATGCATTTTCTCCTCACTGTTCTTTATACATTTCCAAAGGTGCTGACAAGGAAAATTTGTTTGCCAATTAAAAGGTTCCTTCTCTAGTGACCATTTTTTTTTATTCTCATGACCTTAATGTATGATTGAAGAGTGATATTGTAAGGAGAAAGTAGAAGCCAATCAATCTTAGGGTTTAACCCTTTCACTCCCACAAGTGACCAAGACAGAATTTCTCCTTACAATATCAATACAATATCAAGCAGGCAGGTGATGAGAATAGAAAAGAATATAAATCATGGGATTATTAGTTGATCCAATACCAAATTCTCTGAACTAACATCATAAGAATTGTATGGCAGATAGTAAGGAGAATTACTAATTAGATCTTGGGAGTGAAAGGGTTAAAGGGTTGGGCAACTACTCTGAAATGCTTTAAGGAATGTTAAGATTCCATTTTGGTTCAGCGATATCTGATCTATTTTTTCTTTTTGGTTTTTTCAGACTGAATACAACTTTGGGAGAGGAAAAGAACATGTAGATTAAATGTTGCACCAATTTAAATGCTTTTAACATGCCATAAGAGCTTAACACTACCTGTGAATAGCCTGCTTGAACAATGGAAAGTATCCAAAGTTTAGAACAGTTGTAAAATTTTTTATTGAAACTTGGTTTTGGCCATGTCATGACAATAGTTGTTAAATATTGTGGATTATTGTTGATGTGGGAAAATTTAAGATGAAAATTACATTCTTCAAATTTTAATAAGAGAGGGGGAAAAATTTGGTACTTTCAGTGATATAAGAACAAAAGGAGGCATTATTTATTTTGCCACTTGGCTAATCATTAATAAGTACAACAAAATATTTCTTAAACGTTTTGTACATATTGGCTAAAAATGGAGCACAATCCTGAGTTATGACCAAAATTACAGCATGGTTCCTAAAGAACTTGATTGCTATGTTAAAGTTATTGGTAGATAGATAAACAATAGCATCCATTTGGCTCCAAAATATACGCACATATTTGTCTGCATACTCAATCTTTTTAGACATAAGAGCAGTTTTCTGATTGCAAAGCTTGATGAAAACTGAGCTATAAAGAATAGATCACACTCAAGGAAAATATCCCTGCATCTTTTTGCGCAATATGGAGGCTGTTGTGTTTAGTATCCTAATTCAAATATTTTTGCAATGTGCAGGAAAGATGTTAACAAACGACTTACTGTTAGATTTGTGGGATGATTACTTTTCAGAGTTCTCTGGTACAACTTTACACACAAGAAACATGTCCCTTCTTTATCACCACTTCACTGTGTTCTCTTGTCTTGAATATAATTTTAAACAAAGGGTTTTCTGTATTGGACAAAAGTTTTGAAAATTGGGGAAGATCAGGGGGTATATCCTTGAATATCCTCCAATCTTTACTGGGGCATATTCAGTCACATGATGCATTTAGACCAATTGTACACAGCCAAAAATATTCAATGGATTGTTATGTCTGCTATTTATGTAACATATGGTTAAGTTCCTAATGGTACTTTCTAAATAGTATGACCATAGAGGTTTGCACTTGTTAGATGGTTAGATTAAATCATACTAATCAGAAATTGAGTTATTTAATATCATTAAGATCACATATCTTACATGCTGTTCAAGATGAGGTGGATATAACTGTTAAAATGTTTTTATTCCATATTTTACAAAGAAATACACATATGTATCGCTAAGGAGACGTTTGGTGGGCAAAAACCTTGAGAATTTGTTTTAATCAGCATAATTATATTCATTATTGAAAAGATTCCAGAATAATAAGGAAAAATATTAATAAGGCTGCTCTTACATGATAAATATTTTTTTGGCAGGTTCCAGGAAATTTCTTAGTGACAGGAGTACACATATGTATAGACATGTGTTCTTTAGGCTTAATTTCTTGCTGGCGAGAGATTTAAGTTTCTATAACCAATTTTCCTGTATTTCCAAATAAAAAAAAATTAACTGAATTCTTTGACTGAATATTATGAATTGCTTGTCAAATATTGTTTTTTTGTTGTTGTTTTTGTTTTGTTTGTTTTGTTTTTAACAAAATCACTTTCAGTGGCTGATAAAAAACTCAATGTTAGCACAGGAATTTGTAAACTGTAATCAAAGGCAAAAAAATGGCCTATCTCTTTGAGTCAGGTTACAAAAAACTTCATCCAAGTGTGGTCATGTTTTTAACATGGAAATAATTAATTTATTGGCTCTAAGAAATTTTACTTATTGTGAATAATCCTTTTAACTGAATTAATTTATTCAGAATTAAACACCAACTGAGAACTTTTTCTCATAAGGGTAGCCATATTAATATTTTGAAAAGAATCTCACTGGATGCTAAAATGGTTATTTGTAAAGATGTTAATGCTTTCATGCTTTGTTCTCACCTTCTGTATATATTTGAAATAAAAGACGACAAAACTTAATGAGTTGTTAATGTGTGCCTTGATTAGATTGAATAATGATTTCAGAAGGCAAGTTCTGAAGAGATTAAGGGCAAGCTTGAGAACCTGTTCATCTCTCTCTTGTTGCATTTGATAGTTTTGGATGGTTCCTTGTACAAAATTCATTTAGCATGCATTTCTGCATGATTGAATTTACAAGGCAGTAGTTTCCTCCAACTGTGGAGACCCAAAAGGAAACAAAAAATGGTTTGAGTCAGCAGAGGTTTGGGTTAGCAGACAGTAAATGGCCCAAAAAAATGGGTCAAGAGAAATCTTGTCTTGCTCAAGTTGGGTCAACTGGGTACCCACCTTTCACTTAAATACAAAGGCCACTGCAAAAATTTTGTCACTTTTGTTAGTGGTGAAGTCTGAATAGCTTCTTTGATTTTAAGTTGAAAAGTTGTGGAAGCAGGTGAAACCTCTCAGCATTTATCCACATGTGTGCAGGAGCACTTGGTCAGTGATAGGAACTCTCACATTTTCAAATATACACAATTCTCGTTGCACTCTATGTTCTGCGTACATTCTTCTGTTACTATTGTTTGTTTTGTTCAATCAGCATTTCCTTATACACTTAACATTTTTTTGTACTTTGTACCAACCTGAACTAAAGATGACAGAAGAACTGTTGAAACATGTTTTAAAAAAGTGTTGTTTATTTTCTTAAATTTGTTACACATCTTCTCCTTCCCAGACCTTACTAAAGGAAATGATCACCAGTGAAGGAACCTTTTGATTGGCAAACAAATTCTCCTTGTCAGCACCTGAGGAAATGTATAAAGAACAGTGTGGAGAATATGCATACTGATATAAGGGTAGAAAGGGCTAAAACTTGAAATATGTTGGGGTCAGAGTATTTCTTGAATGCCTGTTCAGATTTTGAAAACATTGTGTTATTTCCACTACTGCTCAATTAGTGTTCATTACTGCATAGATCACTTTCATATCCACTTCTTTTTTCACAGTTCACACATATGATTTTGATATATTCACAGACATTTATTCATCACTTCACGGTTTATAATTAATAGCTCCCAGTTGGCTTGACAGCTCAGTTGGTAGAGCACTGCACTGGTATCGCAGAGGTCATGGGTTCAGATCTTGTACAGACCTGAATTTATTTCAGGCCTAATTTTCACAACTGCTCAAGTAGTGTTCATTACTGCAAAGATTGCCTCCACATTCACTGCAAAGATCTCTTATAAATTCATGTTGTAGTGTTAAAAAACCTCTCTTTCTTCTTTAACCCTTCAACCCCTTAAAAAGACAAATTATAAAGGAAATGATTGCAAACAAAAGCTCTTGATTATTAAGTAAATTCTCCTTGTCAGTTCCTCAAAAGATCTATAGAAAACAGTTTAGAGAATATGCATACCAATGTTAGAATGTAAGGGTTAACCCCTCAGAGTGACCAGTAAAATTTCAGGACAACTGTCATACTAAAAGAAATGTTTATTAAGATTTAAGAAGCACTTACAAGCATCAGAAATTGTTTTTTTGTACATTTTAACAAATATTTCAACAATAGGAAATTCCCTTTTGATGATGCATACAGTACTGCTTGAAGTTTACCAGTTAAAAAGTTAATTTTATCAAGATCAAAACATCCAGTGAATAAATATATTTTGAAACCTTAAAAAGACCAAGGAACACTGAGTTTCAAAACCAAAGAAAGAGTGGTTTATTAAAAAACATCAGAATAGGGGCTCTCAAATACGTTGGTGTCAAGTTACACAATTTTTTTCTAAACCGAAACATGAAGGACAAAATATTATAGTTAAAATCTTAACATTAAGAAAAAGGCTTAAATACTGGCTAGCAAGTGCCTGAAATGTAAAACCTGCGCTAGAGTCATTGTAAATGTACTAGTAGGTCATATTCTCACTGAAATGGGAAAATAAATTAACCTCAGATTAAGGGAAACCCTGCAAATGTCTTCTGTGTACGATTGTGCCAAGGCCATAATAAACTTGAAATTGAAATATTTAGTATAAAAAGAGAAAAATACCCAAATTAACCTGTAGAGATTAAAGAGAGCTGAAAAAGGCAACTGATCATTTTAAAATTTAGATATTTTCATCTAGTCTTTTCATCCAGAATGTTCAGTGTAAAATAATTTGGGAGAAATAAATTAGTTGGGATAACACACATTTCATTAAAGAAAGGTTAGAGATATATCAGATAAAATTATAGTGGTACACTGACACAAGTCCATAAGACCCCCTCAAGTTTTAACAATTGCAATCTATTGCTCCCCTACCTCCCCCTTGCACCAAAACCACTGCAGCTTCTTTTAAGAAACTGCACTTGAAGCAAACCTGCTCCAGTAGGCATTAAAGTTGGCTGGTCAAGAAAAGAAACTCATCTATAACTGATTTAAACTTGAGACTTAACTTGTGTTGTGATCACCCTTAAATTAACTGTATTTGGATCTTGGGAAAATTCCTCCTCCCACGTAGGAAAACAGATTGTTTCATCATTGGATCAAAACAATATAACCTCCATAGGTGAATAAATTAAGAAAACTAACGCAATCCTTAAAACATTTTGGCAGGAGTATGTTAACTCATATGTGTCACATGAAAAAAATTATTCACCATTCTTTGCATTTAGTAGAACAACTACTTCTGACTGAGATAAAATTTTTCCTAGCAGATAAAAGTAATGATTTTATTAACAATCTACTTCTAACTAAGTGAAAATGCCAATGCTAAAACCAGTTGTTACAGAAGGGGTCAAATAACAGCTAGAAAATATAATAAACCCCCTCCCAACTACATTATGAAAGGATTGTTTTAGTTAACAATTTTAAAGGTGTCAAAAGAAAAACAACAAAATACTAGATGTAATCTGAATATGAAAATTAATATTTGCAACTGTGATAAGTCATAAAATTAAAAATAACAATTAAATTTAATTTTTACATTTTGGAGCTTTGGATTTCAAAGGGTTGACAATGCTAGTGATTGACTAGTTGATTGTACATTTGTGTACGTACTGCATATTTTTGCTTAAAAATTACTCTTAATACATCTATTCGAATATTCTCTCCATTAACTCCAGGAATCTCCTTGCATAATTTTCCGGTTTTATTGTAGAAATTTCTGCTCCTGCCTAGGATGTAAAAAAATATCTGTTTTCAGAGCTGCATACAGTTAGTTTGTGAAATTATTATGAGGATCAGTATATTGCAAGGTAATACAATGTTCAAGGAAGTGTTTGACTAGCATTTATAACACCAACACCCAAGAAAATCTTAACAAAGACCATCCCCACATCACCCAAGTGTCAAGCAAAGATGACAAGGGAGTATGGAAGAGATTAAGGGTACCACTGAAAACACCTTTCAAGAAAAATTATATTCACAGCTGGATCCGACAACAAGAGGTAATAAAGCTAACCAATGAATTTTATCAAGTGGATACTGCCATCCAACCTATGAGCAGAAGGTAAGTCTGCATCCAAGCCTTAGTTGCATAGCTACTAGAACTTATACTGGTTTCCAGAGCATGAAACAGTTAGCAACATAGGCATTTCCCATGGAAAAGGATGCCAGTTCATCACAGGTTACCTCCCCCCCCCCCCCCCCCCCCTTGCAGTTTTCCTGTCTCCCTGACGGTTTACCAGTTACAATTACTACTCTTGGGTGGGAAGGGGACTGACAGAGACTGCTTTGTGCAAGAACTAAACCCAATGATGCTGGCTAGAGCTGTGACCTCAACCTTTTGGTCCAGTCCAGCAAGCTAACCATTCTGTCATCATGACATAAACCTGACAAACAGTAAAAAAAAAAATGTTTACACTAGTTCTGCCATCAACATGATAGCTGTGTATCATTGCTTTTTGAGACCACTTCTTTAAATTAAAAGAAAAAGGTTTTAATCCTCTATGGAAGGGAAGGAATTTAAAAGTACCCCAAAACACTGACAGGTGAAAATATGTCTGTAAAGGCCTGTTAAAGAAAAATAGTTTATACTTGAGTTGTATATATCCAATTGTTCACTTGAAGCTTGTTTCAATGACAGTAAAAAAAAAATGTGTTTAAGTCTTACAAATTTAAAATAGAGTCAAAAAGAATTGTTTGAGGAAGTTTAGCTAGTTATCTTTTAGTGAAGTTCAATTGTCATCAAATAACATTGTCAGAAACTTTAAAATTACAGCTATTTTCTTAGAAAAAGGTTAACCATTAACAGTTGCTCATAAATTAGCAAAGAGTAAAAAGTTATCATGTTTACAGATTTTCAATGCCAAAATCAGTATTAAGATGAGTATTTTAAGTAAGATAATTAAGATGTGGAAAGAGGTCAAGTTACCCTAGGAGATGTTAGCCAGAAGTTTTCACGTTGCTCGCCATTTGCCCTCATTTGCCTCACACTAGCTCGCCACTGAACTGCAGCAATCTAAGGCAGGGAATGTCACTGATCATGACACTGACTCAAACCCAATAGAAAAAAGCATTACCACTGCTGTAAATTAAGGCAGATCAAAAACTTAACCTGCAGCCAAATCTTTAAGTGCCAGCTCTCTGAAACTTGGCATTTCAGATCTATGCTATTCTAGGTTTACAAATAAGGCAATTAGATAAAGTGAGACAATTTTGAACAAAACTGAAAAAAACAGAAGTAATTTTTGTGACCAACGAAGTTACAAAATACCAGTAAAAGTAAATTTTCAGTGACAGTCAATTCTATGACAATTTAGATTCTGAAAGTTTTTTCACTCTCTTCTCATTTCTCTCCAATATTCATTAAATTCATTTTACATTTTTTTAGCTCAGTCTTAATGTTTCCTAAAGAGAAGAACTTTTTACTTAAATTATATTATTACTTGTGGATCAAGGAGTCAAAGTCAAAATTAGTTTTATATGAGAATATCTTTCCAAGCCTACATTATGTCAAAGTTTTAAATTAGTCTATCAAGCTTACAAAAAATTACTCTAAGAGTTGGTACAAATCATCAACTTTCAGAGTGAACTTTTAACTTCATAAAGAGATCATTTTTCTAATTTAACTACAAGTTACAAAATCTTGAAATTTTTTCTGAGAATCTGGACCTTAGAGACATCACTTGAGACAGTATGAGAACACTATCACTGTTGTAAAGTAAAAGTGTGAGTGGAGGGGGGAGGGGGGGGGGGTAATTTACTACCTTAGCTAATGTTGAGCAAATTTAAGGGCTGCTTACAGAATGAAAAGTTCTGTATGAACCCCCATACACCTAGTGAGATTAGAATAACAAGCACCACAGAGGTTCCAAATGGGAATAAATTATAAAATAAGGAATGAAGTGCCAACTGCCAAAAATAAGTAAACATTAATTTTCTAAGAGATACCTTTATGCACAAAACACTCAAAAGGATACACTTATCTCCCTCTTGAAAAACTTGGCATGAATATGTGACCAAGAAATACAATCCTTGTTTAAAACAAGGTATATTTTGAAAGGGGCACGGCTATTTCTGATATTCAAGGCAATTGTGACATCAAAATTCCCTCTTGTATACATTTATATATAACATCATACAGCTAAAACTTTTTTTTTTTACCAAGGACACAACAGGACTTGCAGATATCTGAGTATCAGTGAGCCACCTACTATGTTACATGTACCTATGTCCCACACTTCCCAAATCTCTTTCAATAAACATAAAATAAAACATGCTACAAAAATGCATTCAGGATGTTTTTCATACTGTTTGCCAAAGTGTGCCAGATGGATTTTGTGTCAACCTTGTGGGAAATATCATCTGATGAGTAGACCATGGGTGTTTTCACTGCCTAATTACATAAACAGTGACCTCAAATACAAATTTCAGTTAGCTAGGCAAGCATTTACTCACCCCATGTTTAACAGTTTTCGCAGCATGAGCAGCCTTTTTTCCAGCACCATAAAATGTTAGCACATCTATGATACCAAGGTAATAACACTCGCGTCTGTTTTCTATAAAAAGAGAGTGAATTTAAGAGCATTCTTCTATTTGTGTCCAGTGGAATTTTAGAGAATTCTTCAGTTGAAAACCTTAATTAATCTGGACACTAGATAAGATTGTCAGGTAAGAGGGTTTGTTGACGTGAAAAAACACTGAAATCTCAACACCAAACATCAAAGAAACATATGATAAATGGTTTGGAGATTTGGATCTCAGGTGTTTGACTGACCCTTTGCATCTCATTTTCTCAATCACTGCTTCTGTTTTAAAACCCTTTAATGTGTACTCATATACCTCAACATTCCACTTCAAGTGTTTGTTACTAGTCTAAGATGTTCATAGCAACACATACCATCTACACTTTGAAAGCCCTCTGTGTCATCCTCATCCTCTCTCATATCAAGATCAGTGCTTCCATAGCTGATATTTCTCTCTCTGTGATCATCACAGTTAGCAGGAGGAGTTGTTGGAGGTGTATCAGAGTACAGCATCTCTGCCTCACCCGGGGAGTCAGATTCCTGGGGTGAGTCACCTTCACGAGGAGACTCTGGCTCGCTATCTTCATTACTGTCTACACCCCCCAGAAAATCATCCACATCATTTCCTGCCTCCGCAAGATCAGCATCATGAATTCCTACCAGCAAGCTATAGTCCATGATGTTAAGACTTGTCAAAAACTGCATGAAAGGAAAATACTAATTCTTAGGTGAAAGATTTCACTTCATTTCATTTGTTTTTTGTTTGAAATCTTTACCATCATTTGCATCAACTATTATTTGCTACCCAATGGATAAATCACTATCCAGTGGATAAGTCATGGCAAAACATATATTGTTATCTACTGGATAAAGATTTATTCAGTGGATAGTGTTATCTGACCTTTCAACAACTGGGGCCAGTACAATAATATATACTTCCTGAGGGAAACAGTTAGTTTTGTTTTCCCGAGAGTCCTGAAGTTTCCCCAGACATAGTCTTGGGAAACATCAGGACTCATGGGAAAATGGAACTAACTAGTTTCCCAAGGGACCACACATTAAGTACTTTGTTGTTTGTTTTGCTGCTAAGGTGAAACTGCAGAAGAGATTAATGGGTAACTCCTTTTGACATTACCAATACATTCTCCTGCAATAAAGTGACAACAATGCTTATTCTGATAAAACATCAAATTCTCCATCAGATTTAGGAGGAAATGTGTAGCAGCTAGAAAGGAGAGCTAGTTATCAGATATGGGGAGTTAAAGGGGGCAATGAAGAATCCCAAACCATGCAGAAAGGATAAACTAGAAGTCTCACCTCAACATCATCCTTGACTCTTTGTAGTAAGTCTTTCTTCACTTCATCCCCAATACGAAGCTTTGCATTATCTTTTGTGAAATCATTGTCCTTGAATGTAGGATTTTCTTTTGTCTGGAAAACCAATAATATCCTCTTGAAAAAAAATGTCTAAAATGTACATGTATATCTACATCATCTTGATGGTTTTAGTGTCTCTTTTAGCACACTTAGGGACACAACCTCACAAACCTGTGAGGATGTTACTGGAAATTACATCATAGCCCTCTTAACATGAACTTGAGAGCTTACTAGTTGTTATCATAAATATTAAAATACAAAACATAGCAAGTACTGTTACCTTTTCTTTAGTACTTGCTTGTCTGTCAACTGTAGAACCTTTTAAGTCATACTTCTTGTGAATTTTAAACTTAGAACTAAACACACTCTTCATTACTAAAAGGTAGGTCTCCTTGTTATCCACTGTGATCCGGTACACAGCCAAGTACTGGGGCAACAGTGTTTTGGCATGTTTCTCAACAATATACTGCAAAAGATTTGTAAAGGAAAATATGTGTGGTTATTATTGAAAAGGTGTAGTAAATGTGCATTTACAATACTACTCAAAAGCTGATTGACAGTGTGGACATTTTTGAGAATTAAGGATGGAGAATCTAGGATCAAGAATCAAGCCTTGTGGAGAGAGAATTGAGAATTAATTATTGAGGATCAAGGATCAATTTTTTGGGAAAATTATTGGTAATAATGATAACACTTCTCTGGAAACTGCCGTACTCACATGATGGTACTGTGGAAGAATGTTGTGAAGTCTTTCAATATCTTCACTCTCTATTGTTTTCACATAGAACCTTTTGTCTTTGGAAATAAAGAATTTGGCACCACTTCGACCAGGTGAGGGCATGACTAAGGGAGGACTCTGAAAGGAAGCCTGGAAGATACAAATTAAACAAAATTGTTTCACAAATCTGAAGCTTGTAAGTGCATACCTGTATGTATTTTGCCATAGAAAGCCAAGATTGGAGACAAAAGTCAACTACTTACGGCATAATGGCTGTCATCAATACCAAAACGTTCCCGAAGCTGTCTGAAGACTAAAGGACAGTATTCTTTGAACTTGAAATGGCTTGGAAAATTTTCTCTGCAAAGAAATATGTGAGACATGGATTAAAACCTATCTTGTTTTTCACAAGACAATCCAGAGAAAAAGAGTTCTAGAATTTGAAGAGGGATGGTTGAGGCAAATAACAAACTCATACAAAGATTAGGTACATGCATGTTTCCTTACATATCAAATGGGCTATCTTGAAAAATCAGTACCCCTCAGTTTAACGCTTTCTCATTTGCAATATGTGCTAAGCTCTGCCAATGTCCACAATCCTTGACTACCTTCGAGTTTAATCCAACCACTTTGGCATTTGTTTCTCCCAGAAAGCAGTTTTTTTAGGGTTGTATTCTTTGTACATGTAAGACTTGCATAGGCAGTTGAGAAGGGGATGCAGAAAGCCTGTGCTCCACCCCAAACCCTCCCACTCTTTCCACTGTAAGTTTTTAAATTAGTGCAAAAATACTCCCAAGCTCAGCATAAATTGGCTGGGAACAATGTTCTTACAGTATATTCCTCTTTTTCATAAATCACTTCATCACGATTATATTTAGTGGATTATAATAATGTTCTGAGACTTTTTTGTAACAATGCATAAGTTGATTTTCTCATTATATCTTAGCTATATAGGATGTTTATTTAAAAAATTTGTTTGTAAAGATATTGTAGTTCAATTAGATCCTTGGTTCAATTTTTGCAATCTTATTTGTTTCAAATCAATCATCATAGGTCACTAAATACAAAGCTAAATATGCATGAAAATAAAATTTGAATGAAAAGTTTATGAAGTTGAGTGTATCTTTCCTACCATTAATCCCTATGACCTTCTAGTGTCTGCATTAGGTATAATTTTTTAAAGAAACAGTTTCACAAATGTGATTAAGATAACCACAGAATATTTTAACCTCAATGGCACATGTGCCAATACTTACACTTTTGCGTGCATAAACTATCATGATGCTACATCAGATGTAAAACCCTGCTGTAGCATTTTACTTGAAAAACTACCAAAACATGAATAACAGCTGGAATTCTAAAGAAAACTCATCTTGCATATTTTCTTTTATAACCAATTATTGGCCAAAGTTTCATTATTTTGACTATGTTATTTGTTGTGGTTGTTATTTCCAGCAGGCTACCTTACACAAAACCCTGGATGCTTCTCCCCTTATATGAACAGAGTCCAAATTTACCAAAACTAACTGCAAATGCAACAGAATACCAAAAGTTGGTCAGCAGAATTTTAAGGCTTCTCCCCATCAGATGCCTAACTTTGCTTCTCACCAATTTTTTAGCTTGTGCTTAAGAAACTGAGATTTCCTCCAATCAAATCATTATCGTATACAATTTACCTCCTGTATTAGAGGGATTTCCTATAATCATCCCTGAGTAGGCAAATGCATTCTCTGTGATAATTCCTTTGCTACCTAATGCAGTCCTACAATAAATTGATCTAAGTGCTTTTTATATGGGATTTAAAAATAGTTTGAGCTGTTTGGTCAGACAAGACATTGGCTCTCTGCCAAAGGGAATTTTTCATAGCTTATATTATTTTTCACATCTAGAAAAGTCTCTGGCGATGATTCCTTGGATGACTACTTGTCATCAACACATTCACACATCATACCCACTTCCTCATTGCATCTAACAGTTCTAATTATACTTTGATTAAAAGACTGTCACAAAATATCTTTTACCAACCTATGATGCTTGTTTTATTTAATTTCATGGCCAAAAGAGGCAAAAGTAGCTAACTATACTTCATGTTTCTGCCTTTAAAATGTCCCTCCTCAGAAAGATAGCCAAACAAACCAAGGTTAGGAGAGAGTCAGTTGGACACAAGGAGTGATAATTTTTAACATATCTGTTGGTTAACATAGAGTACCTCACTCGAGTGTCACTTGGCTTATCTGAACATTCCTTCTTGGTTTAGGGTGAAAATTTAAGAAGATCGATTGTAAAAGTCTTATTTATTTTTGCTTTCTCATTTCACCATTTTATAGCTATAGCATGTGAAAAAAATCACTTCTACTTCATCAGTAAATCTTGTACTTTGTTCAATTTTTCCTTTTGTTCTTTCTAAATGATGAGTTTGAAAAAAGACAAATTTTATTTTTCAAAGCCAGATTTGAACCATGTTCTTTCCTTTAGATGGTATCTCTAGCCAAAGTGACAAAGATGCATTTAAAAAATGGAACATCACTTGGCCTGTATAGGATTACTGTATGTCGAGGACATACAATCATAAGTGATCAAATTAACACAGAAAAAAAAACAACAGATGTGCCCAGACAAATTTTGAAAAATATGTAAATAATCAAACAAACTTCACGAATTGAGAGATTTACTGCCTTAAATAGAAAAGAAAACTCTGAAATTGCTTCTCATTGTTGCTTTAATTTAATAATATACTATAAAACCAATCATTTCTTATTATGACACCATGTATAAAGGTTGTTTCAAAGGGTACGCACCAAAAACATTAGCTATGTGTAATTACAATAAAACTCAGACAGCCAAAGGCATATTTATGAATCAAGTGAGAAATCAAACTCCGATTTCTTAAAGTTTCCTTCTGATCACATAAACATACAAGAAATAAAAGAAATCTTGAATTCTTTTACAGGTAGCTGTATAAGCTATCTAAAACACATCACTAACTATGCACAAATACACTGCGATTCTATAGAACAATGCTTCTACCTGATTAATCAATCATTTCGAATTGTTTGTAGTGATAAATAAACAGCAAGGCTGTGCTCCAGTTTCAATGAGCTCTAGCTTATCAAATTTTTTTCAGATTATGTGAGTTTGCCAAGCTTAAACTGTATGTCAAAAAAATTAACCAGACAAAACCAAATAATCAGACTATTCTTCCAATAAACTAATTCAGCCATAAAATTGACTTAATTGTGCTCCTTATCATCTCATAACAGTATGAGGTCCTTAGGGGAAAATATAAAAGAGTGCATCAATCAAATGCACGAATGTAAAATGATGAAAATAACATTCTTTCCTAACTAAAATTCAGCCTCAAGTTTGCTCACCCAATAACATTATTCAGTAATATCTTCACATATGCACATTTACGCAAGCTACTCTTAATAAGGAAAAAATATGACTTCTGAAATTAATCCTGACTAGAGCTGAAATTAAGAAGACGTCTATATTTAAAAATTTAGACATTTTCCTCGCAGGGGGAAATCAAAACCGCACGTAAATTATTAAGCAATTTGATACAGAGAATAAAAATACAATAAATGCTGAATAGCTGGCTACACCGACCATTCTGTCGATAAGGCTGCAATGTGCGAAAAGGAGGTGTTGTTTACGAAATAAATCAGCTTTCAAGATGGGTATATGCCTTTGCGGTAACGATTCCATGGGAAAAGGCTTTGAAAGTCCAAATACGCTCGCACGATTGTCTAGATAATGAATTCAAGTCTTGCAGGTGACAAGTGCCCAGACCGAATTAAATGAAGAACCTATTCGATCGACGGTTTAACTTTGAAAACGCTGATACACATGTAAAACCTTGTCATGTTTCAGGAACCCAATCAACAATACAAAGAAAAAATTGATATCTTCCGTAACAACGGGAAAAAAACCTAAGGAAGGTTAGGAAAATCTTAAGTTTACTGAAAGCTTCACAGTTCTCGCATAAACATGCTTGGCAGAGACGCTTGGATTTATTCCGATTTTCCGGACCAAACTTAACTTCGTGTCAAATCATGAAAACGAAACAGAAACACAAGAAATAAACTCCGAACAACGCCAAGCAGATTTAAAACTCATTCACAATAAATAATAATTCTAGAATATAACAGGACTCAAATAAACACACTGGCCTTCATGGCACTTACTTGTTGAAGAGGTGATTGTCCACGCGAAGTTTTGTGAACGCTTTAAAATCGTCTGGCATTAGCATGGCTGGATTATTCACATGCGAGAGTTCGTTGATCTAAAAAAATCATAATACAAGCATCAGCCTCATATAAACACCGTTTTAGGAGAAAAACGACGAGATCATGCTTACCGAATGACTGACTCCCCACATCAAAACACTGAGAAGCGGATTTTTGGAGCGAAAGACTTTAACTTTCTGGCTCATAACCCTGAACTTCTTCTTCTTCTTCATCTTAGCATGACTAGACATCTTGGACAGTAGTTTTCCTCAGCTAACGACGACTTGTTTTTGTTTAAACCATACTTACTAATGGTAAAAAAAATTCCCACATTCTACAGTCCGCAGCACAGTTCTAATTTTGGATCGGACAATAAATATTCCCACCTGACTCCCATGATGCTTAGCTACTTGTGAAGGAAAGAAGCTTCGGGTGGGGGAGGGGTGCGGCGAGTTGATGGCTTTCCGGCCTTTGGAGGTCACGAATTTCTAAGATGGACATGGCCTACTTTTTAATTCGATTTTGTAAAGTGTTCTTGTCATTTTTAATCTTCTCACCCGTGAAATACTTAACGAGTTGAAGCGGCCACAAGGAAAACGCAATCAAGATGAACAAAAAAAAAAAAAAGCAGCATCTAAGACAAGTCCATGATGAATTATTGAACAAAAATTTCTAAAGTAGATCAGTTAATTTGAATGACATGGAAAAAATAACGATAAAATTTCTCCTTCTTTCGACATCCTTTTCGTTTCCCGATTCAGGGCAGAGTGGAGGAAAAGCTTAAGATAGAGGATAAAATTGCAAACTTCGGTCGAAATTCCGTCCTGGGATAATAGGCGAGTAAACCCCGTTTCGACATTTCTTTGACAATTCTTGAAGGTTTTTCTGTCCAATAAGTACTTAGAAATTTATACGGCTGGTGTTTTGATTCTCCCTTTTGAGTCTAGCATAATTATAGTTTTCGAGAGCTATCCAGGTAATGTCGCGGTTTACTCAGCCATTTAAAAATTATAATGAGCTCAAATCCCGGTTCGGGGAATTATTTGTGGAGACAGATTAGAGTCGCAGCGAACTCACCTCATCGAAATTGTTCAAATAACGTTTTAATTCCGCTTAGCCCATTTTTCAATAAGATATTCCATAAATAACGGGGCATTCGGTCAACTTCCGCGATTTTTCGAACACCGGTAGGGAGAAACGAGGAAAAAACTTGAAGTTTGCAAAACCCCTCCCTAAAATGGAATCTCTCCGCCGATGATCAAAGAACGCTTTCATCACCATCGACAGTCCTAAAATATTTTCGTTCGAAAAGAAACGCCTTCTCTATGGCTGTCCTCTAATATGTCGTAAATGATCTCGCGACAAAGAGTCCCACTGATTTGATGTACATCATTTTCTTCTCCTTCGGCTTACTCACTATTAACTCCGATCTCACAGTCAATCAACCTAAATCACCTATCATGTTTCTGTACTTCCGTCACGAACCTATCAACGCTCCGGTCACGACAAATAATTCATTGGTAAAAAATGCTGATACACAAGCTAAATTTGAACTGGTTTTTCCTTTTGAATAAAAAAAACGCAGATAAGAATACGAAACGTCCAAAGTTCACCATCATCAAGTGAATATGGAGACCCTTAAATTTTCTGAAGAAACGTGATGCAGAAATCTGGAAACACCATAATTAAAGACAACCGTGACACTTATCTTTAAAATTTGTGCCAGTTTTCTTCTTATCATGTTTCTCTTGGAAAATGTTCTGATGAGCACATAGGATTCTTCCCTCAATAGGATCTTAAGCTTCGATCGTGAATAGTTTTTCATAAACTTAGCAACATGACATTAAAGGTGCATCAAAATATGTCATGACTACGAACGCAGATTTGGTCTCGCTATCAGTCTATTTTTCCACGAAGGAACTGACGTTTGAGATTTATCAAAGTGAAAAAATATTGTTGCAGCCAGAGAGTACATGTTACCATTAACAAGTACTGTAAATTTAACATCAGTACAACTTCGTTTCGTTCTCTCCAGCGTGTGCAGCCCGTCTTGAATCAAACATTGTCAGCGGTAAAGTGGACTACAGAAAGAGTAGAAGAGTCGCTCTAAGACTGGAAGTGACCAAAGATGAAGGAAACGTAACAAATTCTTACTTCATCTACCTTTAATTAAGATTCGGTGGTAATCAAAAATCAAACCAAACGAACTTTGCGTTTTCTCCAGGCTTAAGGTTGTCGAGCAAAGTACTCCATCAACGTGGACTGAAGCGAACGCCATACAATTAAATAATCTTTCACATTATTAGGGGCCCTAACTACATCTAACGTACCATACACTGTTAGCTAGTTTGTTAGCATGCTAAACTTTAACTTGGTCGTTGAAGGTCTGGGCACGAGACTAGCACGCAATAGTCATTGAAAGCTCCTCTACTTTAATAACTAAGGTATCAGTCAAAAAGACGTATGAACGAATGGCAGATCAATTGTTTGTCTTTGTCTATGTCTTAAAACAAAGTTATATATAAGCCCTATAACGGCTTTTTAGAAATACGGTTATAAAAATCACGTATAAATGCGGTTAAAATAGTACTTTAACAAGTTAATGATTAAAATCGATGAGGAATTCTTGTAAAAATAATGATATCTACTTATGTACCAGGATTTGGCACTTAATGAACATGTTTATACAGTCTAAGTTTTCCAAGTTTTGCGTCGAAAGTCTGACGTTTGCAAGAGGAGAGCACGCTGGAAGACTTAATCTACATTTGCTGTGTTTAGTTTCCTGGGTTATTTTAAGATCCCTCTAACCTCGTTTCCAGGGGCTCTCCTCTTTTGAGGACGAGGTTGACACAGTCCCATTCCCAAGTGGATCTAAAAAACACTCACCTAGTGTCCACAGCGCTTTCAGACTAAGTATCGTGAAAACGAAAATCAAAGTAATGTAACCAGCCTATCAGAACGAGTATAATATCACAAGGATAACGTGGGTGGCCAGGTCGCATTTAGTTTTAGTCTTATAACTCATTTGTTGAGAGCATGACACGAATTATCTCGACCAATCACAGAGCAAAGTGAAGCAAAATCGAAGCATCCCATTTTCCTCTCTAAATTTAATTGAAAACCGCTCTACTCCTCAAGTTATCTCTCCCGTGATCTTATTGAAACGCTGGATCGTTAGATACACCTTACGTGCATCATGGATGCTTTGATGGAGAATGAGCACTCATTCTGTTGGTTTTCCAAGTGAGTCAAATCTGTGACACCAGCTGATTAGTTTTTTCAACATCCCCTTAGGTTTTTGGAAATAGTGAGTGAACTAAGAAAAAAAAAACGCGAGAGAAACTCTCACGGTAATCTCTTTCTGATACTCTCCTGCTCGAAAACGATCCGAAATAACGTGGCATTCGCAAGTTAGCGCAGTTATTGCTTCTCATTGACTGAGGACCAAAAATAACAACTAGACCAAAATACTTGAAAAAAACAAATAAAATCAAAGTAAAAAGTTAGACGTGGGCAAAAATAATAAAAGCAGACGAGCTAGTCTACGAATGTCCTTTACGAACTACGCCGAAGTTTTTCGCGCAATCTTTGGAAAAACTTTGTTTGTTAGTTAACTAATAATAGTAATATTGTGGTACCCAAACTATTTCAGCGGCCGGTTGTTGAGGCATGGGGATTCCCTGTACCACAGGCCAAGTCCTTGAAGATGAAAGCTGTAGTTGTGGCAACTGAGGTGCCTGTGTATGGAAATATGAAATCTGTTTGCAAAAACATTTAAAGTTGTTAGTGTGGGCAGCGGGGTCGGATACGGCGGAGGGGCATACGAGATTGACATTGATCAGCTCTACAAGTTATCAGAACAGGAGGCATATTGTATCTGTAGAAGTTATTAGAGTTAAAAAAAAAAAAAGGTGTGTAAGTGACGAAACTTGGTAATTTTCTTCTGAAACGTGGCTCCTACGTACGAGTTTACATAACTCCTTCAACAAAACAAACCTGCTGGTTCATGGCTGTGTAATACACAGGTGCAGTTGATGAGGGAGAGGTCCAAGTGGTAGGGGCTGCAAGAGAACAAGAAAAAAGGGGCCCTTCAAGGTACCAGTCAGTACTTAACAGAGTGCTTAAAGCTCAACAAGAAAGCAGCGAACCTTCCTGCATAAAAAGATAAATATTATAGGAAAATAATTGATACCAGCCACAGGCACAGTTACCAAATCCATCGCTGCTTGTTGATTGACCTTGAAAATAATAAAAAGAAATCGTTATGTTTCTCTAATAAATACGAAGACCTACGTCTTCTTCTCTACGTCTTCTTCTCTACGTCTTCCTGTAATTTAAACACCACGGAAACGACAGCAGCAATCTGATCACTTTTGTTGTGGTCGCTTCGATGTTGCAACGCACTTATAATTAGGAGTTACACCACTATACTTACTCTCTCGTGATTTCAGAGGGATAAACAGACAATCGGCGAAGCAGCTGTCACTATTCTTCGGAACTACGAAAGACACCGCGCGGAAACCGAGTGTTCTCAAATATTTTTGATTAGCATTGCCTGTCAAAAGTGCCGCTTTCGTCCCCAGCAAAATAAACGTGTTTTACTTACGAGCTGCGGTTTCCTAAATGCCTCAGAGATATTGAGTCGTTTCTCTTTGAAGAAGATTGTTCCCTGTGGGATATTTAGAAAATACAAAGCTGTTCAGTAATAAAGGGATATTTACAGATAAGTTCCAAATTAGTTAGTAAACAAAAAAATCAATAAATAGATAAAAGGCCGCCAACAATAAAAAAAAGAAGGGAAAAAAAAGAACCAAATTTGTGACTTTGTATTTCACCAATCAGATGAGTTTTAGTGTCACAAACAAATGAAAGACTGAAATTCTCAATGCTTGGACAAGCCGTCCTCAAAATCAGACATGCCCATCGGCGTGGTCATCAAAGTGCTTTTTAACCTCAAAACAGCCTTCACAATAGAGATAAGAATTATCTCGGAACAAAGATGTAAGGGGTAAGGATTCAATTTACAACGTTTACAGCAGTGACACACACGGCTGCGCCTCTAGTGTAACTTTTAATTTTTGTTTTTCACCACATTTGACTTCATCTGTGATCTACAGTCTTGTATTTCAACAAGCGCAAGTTAACATGGAATCTGTTCATCATATAGACGATGGAAAATTGTGGTAGATTTTTTAAGTAAACAGGGGTATGTCCTCACCATGTTCATGACTTTCTGGGCATCTTCTTCTCGATAAAAAGTAACAAAACCGTACCTGCGATTATAAAATCATGACACATTCAAGCATTCTGTAAGTTTCCCCGGACTCCACTGAGCCGATTGCCATTTAAGGCAAAGGTGTAAACAGTTTAAGATGGCTTTTTTTCACACGTGTTGTTATAGTTGTTATTTTGTTCACCTTCAGACACTAAATCAAAACTTTTCGCGATGTCTGCACTAGAACGTACTACAATTTAATCCACTCAATTCTTCAGTGAGACTTAAACAAACTCTACGAGCCATAGCCCCAGCGCAAAATACATCCCTTTCTTTTTCCGCTTCAAACAAACTGAACCCGATGGAAATTTGAAAAGAGATAATAATAAATCAACTTGTTCCTTCAGTTAAAACTACGTTTTTCTTATTGCATGCGTAATCCCATGCAACACAACAGAACTCAGCTGTAAGCAACACACTTTAAAGTTTTCCATGAAGATTCTGTACAACCATCCAGAAACAGTACAACATTAACTTAACCTCCATTGTAAATCTCACCCTTTACTCAATCCCTCGCTGTCTTTTATGATTTTCGTGTCCCTCACTGCTCCATAATTACTGAAAAAGTCTTTCAGTTCTTCTTTAGTGGTCTTAAGAACAAATCAAAACACAAAAAAAAAGTTTAAGCGTGCATAATCGTTTCGTCAATTCGTTGTCAGTTTTTCATGTGTGGGATGGAGAAACGTTTGCCGATTACAAGTACATTCTCTATGACCACTGTATAATTAAGAAAAGCGCTTTACTCACATTGAAAGCTATACCGCCAACAAAGATGCGATAAGGGATTTTTATTGCCCCGTCATCGACTGCTCGCAACTGATTCATCGTGCCTGCATCTGACGAAACATATGCCTGCGTTTGAGGTAAAACGTTGAGTAAGACATTTTTAACCATTTGAACTGCCTGTCTTAAACGTTGGATGATATAAAACGAGACGAGCACTGAGCCGTATTTAATAGCTAAGGTTTGTAATGCTCTTGATTCTATTCTGGTGAAAGCGAATTTAGAGCCATTACACGGTAAGGATAAATGTAATGATACAGCCAAGTTTTACAACCATGATCTAATTGGTTACAGTCCGCCCACGATGGAAAACTGTCACAGATCTAGGATTTTTAAGTAGTTGTTCATGGATCAAAGCAAGTCAAGTCACTTCACAGTAAAAAAAAAAAAGTATCACAAAATTAATTTGTGAAATACAAACCTTACCATTTCGATCTCGAGATATTTGAAACTTGTCGCCACTCCAATTTGCTACAACAGGAGTCGCACTAGCGATGCGTTGGTAACAAATGACCTCACTAGCAGTACATGGGGGGAGGGGTAAGGAAATGGTGAGAGAGAAACATTCCCACGCACTGCCACAGATAGCCGATTGGAAATTCTAATGTCTGAGGACTAATTTGTTATTTTCTGCTTTGATTGTCAATCGCAATCTCTGAGTAGTACCATCATCGAAAACTTCAAAAATTGCATAGCACTGCATCGGCGATTCGCTTTAAGAAAAACAACCAATAGTTTATTTTTCGTTCTTAGTTTTCTATTTTTTTTTGTTTTTTGTTTTGAAATAAATAATCCATGATTTCTACTTATCAGATCTACGTAGGCCTTTAGATAACGAACCTGCGAGACAGGACAAATGTAAAATGAGACGGAAACATGATCTTTTACTTGTCAAACATTATTACTTTGACATCGTGCTTTTAAGTCCAAGGATTTCAGGCGAAAGGTCCCCACTCAGAGAATGATAAACGAAAATGCATTTCTGTAGACTTTTTTAGGGCCTGTTTACATGGCGGTCCATATAATCTCTTGTTTTACCTTGATCACCTTTACATGATAGGTGGGGTGACCCGCCTGGACGGGTTGCCCGGTCTCCTGGGTAGGGTAACCCTGTCAGCTGGGGTGACGAGTTGTCATGTAAACGTCTCAAGATGAGTTGAAAAAAGCTCAAAAAGCAAAACGTGTGTTTGAAAACTTTGTACATTTCTTGGCCGTCTCATGGCAGAAATCACTAAAAATCGCAACGGACACACAAGGAGTGTAAAATGTTCACATTTCGGAATATTTAGCGTTGTAAATCGACCATGTTTGGTTTCCCAAACTATTCTGTATAACGTATTAAGTCAACGGTTTCTCGCGAAACCAAACACCGCGTAACAGAACGCGTGACGCTTTCACGAATAAATACATATGTGTCCGAGAATTAATCTTTCGTCTTTTTCGAGATGTGAGCTTGGGACGCCTCTGCTCAAACTTCTTAGGGCTGTTTACATGGAGGTGGGGGACCTCAGGTAGGTGAGGTAACCCGCCTGTCCATATAAATTCTTATTTTATTTTGATCACGTTTACATGATAGGTGGGGTAACCCGCCTAGCCGGGGTCGCGTTCATGGCAAAAAGCTCAAAAGCGAAACATACATGTTTTAGCCTTTGTACATTTCCTGGCCGTCTCATGGCAGAAATCACCAGAAACCACAACGGACATACGTTATAAATCGACCATATTTGGTTTCCCAAACTATTCCGTATAACGTATTAAGTCAACGGTTAATCGCGAAACCAAACACCGCGTAACACAGCGCGTGAAACCTTCATGAATAAATACATATGTGTCCGAGAATTAATCCTTCGTCTTTTTCGAGATGTGAGCTTGGGACGCCTCTCCTCAAGAAACCTCACCCCAGCACCCCGGGGTTGTAAGATTGCATGTACACGCGTTTTATTTTTCGACCACGGCTAGGTGGGTTACCTCACCTACCTGGGGTCCGCCACCTCCATGTAAACAGGCCCTAAGTTTATTCTGCTTGTACGTTCAAGTTTGAAAAAGAACAACATTAAGCACTCTTACCGAAGAAGACCACAGTATTACGCTAACTTACCTTCAGAGCAGTGTCCCAGAACACGTTTTCCATGCCTTTTTATATGTCACTTAGTGAAGTGATATCGATTTACAGATTTCAAACACAGCGTCATTTCCACGGAAACAAGAGCTTCTCTCGCCCTCGTCTGAAGTCTCTTCTTTTCAAAAACACGTCATTCTCAGAATTTAGATATAGCGCAGACCTTTCTTTAAGGATAATTTTCCAATCACACGAAATGAATTCAAATTAAAAGCGCCAACTCAGTCGACACCTTGTCAGTTAAAACTCATAAGACCCAATTAGAAGTATGGGAATTTTGATGTTTCAACAAGATAAGACTCCGTTGCTGATAAGCTTTTCTATTCTGTTTGCCGGAAAACAATGATATTGCGATCGCTAGGGAATTTATATATTTAACACGTCCAAGAGTTTTTTTTCTAACAGTCCGTTTGTTTCAAGCCACTGTTAGTCTGTTACGGTGGCTTTTCCTCCATTTCTCTTTTGCTTTAGATTATCTTTTTCGTTCCAGGATCTTCTACTCCACCATCACCGATGTTTGAAAAACGACCAACGTCGAGAGGAAACCAAGATATGAGGAACGTGGGTACTGTTATGAAATCAAAGGCAGGAAACATTGCGATAAGTGATCGCTGGTTAAAGGATCAAATATCAATGTTACTGATATATAATTTACACCATTTCGTGGACGGCGCACTTTGATTATCTGGCATAGCGTAAAAGTAAAAATTTCTACTAGACCAGTGGAACCTAAACTATGGTATTATATGGACTACTTGACGACCTGATTTCGCGAATATGTCGAAAGTGATGCTCTCACTACCCGGCGTTCATTATCTAACGTAACCACACTTGGATGAATATTTATACGCAATGTCATCAATATACTCCTTCGATTCTTTCTTTAAAAATTCTCTATTCCTCCCTGGTTGTCCTGGTGTTAAGACCTGGCATGAAATGTCGCTAGAACCTCCCAACATGATCAACAGCCACACACTTGATTTGTTTTTTTAAATTATTATTTTTTTATTCAGCTAGAGGTGACATTTGTTATGATCTTGGGTTTCCAAATGGTGATTATTAGCAACGTTAAACTTAAAGTCTTGTTCTCCTGCTGTGAGTTAGGTCGTTTCTCATGCCTTTGGAATGAAATATATAAAGTAAAATTTAAAAAAAACCTGAAAACAAATAAATCATTTTAAAAATTGAATGTTTCCCACATCTTTTTATTCTCAAGCCAAGAAACGAGCATAAAGAAGTAAATCGGAGAGACTGGCACTAGTTTACAGCTGGTAACCGCTGATTGGCTTAGCCGTAAAAACGTGGTCCAGCTTCCAAAATGGAGGTTGAACGGAGCAACGAAGCGTCTGGATCAAAAGAAGGGAAAATTACCTCTGCAGAGGCAAAAACACAGACGATAGGCTGGCAGTCCTTGCTTACTTTCACCATCCTTTCTTTAGCATGGCTGGTGGGTTTTGCGAGCCGGCTTTTCGCAGTGATACGGTTCGAGAGCATCATTCACGAGTTCGACCCGTGGTAAGATCAGAAGAAAGAATTTGTATTGAACAGTTTTTTTCGCTTCTTTTTAATTTCGATTTCCGAGATAAAAATTGAATTTTCCTCACGATTTCTTTTATTACCAAGTCTCGGGAGTGGATAAAACATGGCTCTGCGTGCATTTGACAAGCCGGTCTTTTGTTTTCAAATTTTTGACATTTTGATCAAAATTCAAATTTCAACTGAGTTTAAATTTATTCAATAACTATCATTAACCTAGCGTTATTCAGTCGGATGAGTTAACTTATAAGCGAATCAACCTTTTTGATCGGATTTTTGAGCTCGGTTTGGAAAGGTCAAAATCATTTCGTATTCCTCCTCAAATTTCGAATTCATTTAAGGGCAACAATTATTTTGGCCACTATTTCCGTCTTTTGTTGTCTTGGTTTTAATGGATCGGAAAGTGTCAGCTTGATAATAAGTATTTGAGAACATCTTAAAATACAGTGTAATGCTATAGCCGCGGTGGGGGGTAGTTCTTGTTTGTGGGGAATTTCAGGTATGAAAGTGCAAATATTATTTTGAAACACAACTGATATTTTTCCATCAAGGGAACACCTTTTTTTCCAGGGTTTGTTTTTTTATGTGACTTGGGCCTGGCTCCTGATTCTGTTCTAATCAATGGGATGATGATTCTGGATTTTGTGATACTACAAACAATCTTATCAGTGCATGCATTAAATTGATCAATTCTTGGGTTTTAATCTTGCATTTGTGCAAGACAGATCGAACGGATAAATAAATATGCATTTGTCAATAACACATCTAGTTTGAATATTTTCAATAAATAACTTTGAAAATATTTTTTTTTTACTAATTTATTTAGTCAGCTGCTCAACGTAAAGGACATGACCTTATTTTCTGTTTGTGAAATGGTTGCTTTGGATATTTTTGGCCTTTTTGAATTAGCATTTACATTTATTTAATGAGCGCTTAGAACAAGAGGAAGTGGTAGATGTAAAAACAGATGTTCTTGCGGTTTGTGTTTTGGCTTTGAAGGATGTGATAGAAGATAGATACAGATTGAATTAACCCTTTAACTCCCAGACCAAGTGTGTGATTCTCCTTACTGTTAACCATACTTTTCTTAAAATGTTGGTTCAGAGAATTTAGTATTGGATCAATTTACTATCCCCAATTGATATTTTTCTCTATTCTCATCACTTATCTGTTTGATATTGTATTGATATTGTAAGGAGAAATTCTGTCTTGGTCACTCGTGGAAGTTAAAGGGTTAAGAAACAACCTGAATAAAATACGAGAAAATTCATAGCTCTACAATATTATTTGTTTTGCTGGTAGCTTGTATTTAATTTTTATGCAAGCAAATTTTGCTAAAACATGGAAATTATGATAATTGTAACCACATACAAATTATCTTTGTTGACTACTTTTCTTGGATATCAGAATGAGCTTAAAAGCAAATAATTTCTGACCAAGGTTTGTTAAAAACCTACCTTTTATTTATGCTATCAAATTTAAAAGGGCAGGTGAAACCTTTTTTTTTATGTTAATTTTCCCTGTACAAGTAGGAAATTTATTAGAAAAGCCATTTTTTAAATAACTGAAATGTCTCACTCATACATATAGATGCACACTTCTTAAGTTCTGGGGTTTTAAAATAAGAGACCACAAAATAAAGTAACAGGTTTTAGGGGGTAGCCAGCTTTTTGACTTGTTGCAGGCTTGTTCCCTAAGAAAGTTCAATTTTTGTTTCAATTTTTGTAAGAGTTGTATTATGAAAGTTACATGCGCAGAAAAATGTTGGAGACCAAGTCTATGGACCTATCAGCTGGCTACATAGCTAGTTTATATCTGATTACAGGCTAGCTTAAAGTGACTCAAACTTATTATCTTTTTTCAATTAAACAGGTTCAATTATCGGTCTACACATCACCTTGTCACTAATGGGTTTTACAACTTTTTGAACTGGTTCGATGAAAGAGCTTGGTACCCACTGGGCAGGATTGTTGGAGGAACAGTAAGTAACACAATTGGCTCATTGATAGAATGCTCAGAAGATTTTTATATTCAATTGTCAGGGGTTTCAATGACGTTTCCCATTAGTGGCTGTGGAAAGTGTAGTAGGCAGCTGTGCCATGAAGGGATTAAACACAAGAGCCTGCCTGCAAGAAGTAGAACTTCTGTACAACCACTTAAAGCCCCAAGAGTGTCTTATAGGAGGCCTCAATCTAGAATTCAAAGCTAGTTCAGTTACTTGTAGTGGCCAATGTTCTAAGGTAAATGTGTGAGGGTGAGGGAAGGGGAGGGTAACCTTAGATGGAATAACACCTTATTATAGGAGAAGAAGTAGTATTCCTGGTCACATTAATGCGGCAGGGCCTGGCTTGACAAAAAAAGGGGGAGCTTTACCTGTTCCCAGTGCTTCAAGTACCTTTATTAGTTTAAACCATGTAAACTTATAGAGTTTTAGAACTGCCTTGGTGAGGTGTAGTTGCTCTTTGCATAGATTTATGCTGTTACACAAGAATGGTTTTTCATCAAGTTTGAAATGACAGAACTATTATACAGATTTTTACAGGTCAATGAAAGTTTTCTTTTTTCTTTTCAGGTTTACCCAGGTTTGATGTTGACTTCAGCATCTGTCCACTGGGCTCTTAACACACTTAACATCACCGTACATATCAGAGATGTGTGCGTTTTTCTGGCACCAATGTTTAGGTAATTTTATCTCAATGAATATAATGGGTATATAATGTTGACTTTTGCGAGACTCTGAGCATAAAGGAGTAACCACTCTTGCTCATTATTTTTATCCTATGTAATGGTTATGATGATACAAATGTTACTATTTTAAATGGTGACCAACAATGAATGATTATCTATGATATCCAAACATTTCGAGCTGAAAGGTAATAAGATGACAGGAGAATATCAAGAAAGGGATGCTACTTAAGTCAATATCAAATTCTCAGAACTACAATACTACAATTGTAAACAACATATGGGGGAAGGTGAAGTGAAATAACATTTAGATCTTAGTGATTGATATTTTCTTTGTCTTGTCTTCAGTGGTCTTACAGCAATAGCAACTTATCTCCTGACTAAGGAACTATGGAATGATCGTGCTGGCCTCTTTGCAGCTTGTTTTATAGCAATCGGTAAGTCACAATATTTTTGTTGGCTGGTTATAATACCTCTAGTGAGGAGTCAATAGTTATTAGAACAAGAGCTGTATGCATCAAATGTATTGTTTTAGTGTGGATGGAATGGCTTAGTCTCATTAACAAATTCATTCCATGTTAATGCGTGTCTGTTCAGTAATAGATCAGAGATAATATCAAAATGTAGTAAGAACAAAAAAGGGACAAACAAGGTGGAACCATTATGACACTGTTCTCCTTTTCAGGCGGTAACTGGTAAAATTTACCTCGTGTAGCAACTTTCATCACCATTAAATTTGCTTGTAATTCTTGTAATTCTTGTAAATTCAACTGGTAAAAGGATTGCTCTACCAGTTGGAAAATTTATTTTACCTGTCATGCTTACAAGAAGGAAGAACACTGTTATGATGCTTAGAAAAGCCAAAATACTTGTAAATAAGATTATAGTGGAATAATTAATCCCTCATAGTTTACATCTTTCCTTGTCCCTAACAGGCTTGAAAAAATACCATGTAACTCACAACATACCTGCCCCTATATTACAATATACCATTAAATAAGATGTATGAACATAACAGAATTCCACCAGTGATTTATTTGAATTTTTTTTTGCCTGTACATAACAATGTATCTCTCTTCTAGTTCCTGGGTACATTTCTCGCTCAGTGGCAGGATCTTATGACAATGAAGGCATAGCTATCTTTGCATTGCAGTTTACATATTTTCTATGGGTGAGTTTTATAACTTTTTGTATGGGTTCCATTTACCCCAGGCTTGAACAATTTTGAATTTTGATTTTAGCAGAGAAGCTTATTGTAAGTAAGTTTTGGTAACAAGGGTAATCCCCTGTGTATTATTTTTAAAAAATTTGAAGGAGGGTTCTGTATTTGATTTATGGTTTGCCACAGAGCAGAGCTGCCTTGTCGTTTTGTCTTTCAGAAAGTACCTCAGTATATTACATTTAGACTTTCAGAAAGTACCAAGTGTATTAGATTTAATATTTTTGGCTTGCATACTTTGCATGTGCTGCAAACTGCTGATGCAAAGTTCTTTTTTTCTTGTAGCTGCATTTACTGGCACATTTCATTTGCTGTAATGGAGTTTTAAGATTCTTTTTGCAAATGTGTCTTTTACAGGTTGTGAATTTGTGAGAAAATTTTGCACATTTTAATTTCCTTTGTTAAATTCACTCAGGTGAAGTCTGTTAAGACTGGTTCAGTATTCTGGGCAGCTTGCACAAGCCTGTCTTACTTCTACATGGTGAGTAAAATGATCAACCCTTTACACCCTAACATCAGTATGCATTCTCTATACATTTCCTATGGTGCTGACAAGGAGAATCTGTTTAACAATCGAGAGCTTCTCTAGTTGGTGATCATTTCCTTTATTCTCATGACCTTAATGTGTGATTCAGAGGTGATATTGTGAGAAGAAATTAGATGCTAGTGACTCTAAGAGTAAATAATCACTTTTTTATAGAGTAGGCAGATACCATGAAACTACCCCATTGTTATGGCCCCCTCCTCGTAACAACTTCCTTTTCAAATCCCAAATGAAGGCACAGTTATTTCTTTTTTACGTACTTGTTTTGTAAAACAGTTTGAATATGCTCAACTCTCAATAAACTACCTTTACGTAAAGTTAGTTAAGTTTTGTCATTGGCTGAACATCTCACCATTTCCCTCTTGGGTTGATTTTCTTTCTTTCTTTTTTAACAATTGCAATAACTAAGAAAACCTTCCTCTAATTGTTGCTGCAGTGATTACTACAATGTTTCATCACAGATTAAAAGAGTGGCACAGATTTATTGCTTTGCTAAAAGTTATGGCCATTTGGCAACAGCTCATGCACACAAAAATGACTATGTATTTTAATGCCTACTTGTCTGATCATCTGTCAGGTCTCTGCATGGGGTGGATATGTATTCATTATCAATCTGATTCCTCTTCACGTGTTCTTCCTTCTTCTGATGGGAAGATTTTCATTCAGGATCTATGTTGGTATGTTTATTGCTAATTGCTTATTTATACCTCACCCTGTCTCTCTAATGATGTAAACAAACATGCTCAAACTTCATTGTAGACAAAGACAGTTTTTTCTTCCTTTGGGTTTCCCTGATTGTTAAAGATAGCAGTTCCCTTTATTTAAGTAATCCCCCTTGATAAAGCTATGATGTTGTAGGTGCTTTTGGGGAAAATAATCTATGATGTGTTTAAATAATTTAAAAAAATAGATATTTTTAATTGAAAATCAATAACTGGAGAGTGAGTCAATCAGAAAAATGTGGAATGGGCCCCAATTTAATTACTACACCCACTCCCACTATCTTTTGTTCAAGTGTTTGTCTTAACCTTTTAACTCCTGTGAGTGATCAACACAGAATTTCTCCTTACAATATCAATACAATATCAACCAGATAAGTAATGAGAATAAAGAAAAATGCAAATTTGGGGATAATTAGTTGATCCAATACTAAATTCTCTGAATTAACATTATAAGAATTGCATGGTTGACAGTAAAGAGAATTACAAATTTGATCTGGGAGTTAAAGGGTCAAGGTGGTCTAAGCTCTGAAGCATTTTTGTTCTGACTCTGCCCTGTCTTTGGTGTTGAGTAGGATGGTGTGGTGCATCCAAGTAGATATTGAATCTCATTGCTTGGTAATGATATACCTTATAAAATTATTTTTATTAATTAGTTTCACTGTGTTATTTTTAGCATACACGACTTTCTTCATCATGGGTCTCCTCATGTCAATGCAAGTACCTTTTGTCGGCTTTCAGCCAATACGAACAAGTGAACACATGGCTGCAGCAGGTGTGTTATAGGTTAGAGGCTCAGAAAGCTGTCCAAAATTGTTGAGCAACACTCCATCTGTGGGGTCATTCCAAAAAAACATTACATCAAAACAATTGTTCCCACAGACAACAGCTTTCTAGCATCAGTTGTATTTTGGTTGAAGATCACCCTGAAAGAAATTATTCCAAATAAACAACTACAACAAAACAGTAAATATGATAAGAAAGTTGGTAAATTTTGAGCTCAGTCAGGAAATAGAGAAAGAGGTTTTTTCATCTTGTCATGAGTGTGAGACAAGAGCCTCAGACCTTCAGATTCCACCTTCCAATGCTCTACCACTGAATCAAAGAGACTGTATAGCAAGTAAGGCCATCAAGAAGTTCTTATATGACAGGCATCCTGCATACTGCTAGGATCAGCAATGTCATTAGTGTCATGTTTTGAAAATAGAAAAAGAAAGATGGTAAGTTTTGAGCTCAGTAAAGAAATAGAGAAAGATGTTTTTTCCTTGTCCAATGCTCGTGACAAGAAACTAGCAGTTATTGGGTCACTTGGCCTCTCTGACTTCAACCACACCCCCTCCCTCCATTTTATCTGTTATCTTCAATTAGCTTATTCCTTTTAATAAGAAACTGGTTTGTAAAAGAGAGGATCAACTTTTGTAAATTTCTATCACTGGAGAAAGTCAACAACATTACTGTTTTTAACTTTTACAGTGGACGAGAGATTTTTTTAGAAGACCAAAAAAAAATACTATTTGCAATATAGTATATACTAGGTCAATGATTTTTTAAAAGTATTTATTGTAGTTGTTGTTTTTTTTTCATTTAAATGATGGTTGGTTTTTCTAGGGACATTTGCTCTTCTCCAAGCCTATGCATTTTTGGTGTACGTTAGAAGCAAAGTATCATGGACTGACTTCAAGAACATATTTGTGTTTGCTGTGGTGGCTGTAGCAGGCTTGGTGTTTGTTGCAGTCATTTTTCTTACTTATGCTGGTATGTAGGCTTATAGTTTTCTGTTTACGTTGAGGAACAGATGAAGAATATGTTAAATTGCTTGCCTGATACATGTTTTAAATTTTAGTATGGGAGTTTTCTGTAACTTCCTGAGGATCACCAGTATATTTGAATCCAAATCAACTTGTTAACTTCTTCTTTCCACCAGGTTATGTAGCACCTTGGAGTGGACGTTTTTATTCTCTGTACGACACTGGGTAAGCCAGACTGAGAGTATACTGCGTAGCTTGAAAGTTTTGTGGGTTTTATGTTTTGCAGATTTTATAGATGGTCTTTGATTCTTTGAAAAAGTTTTCTTTATAAAAGAGTCAATGAAAATGAAAGAGCAAAGGCATAGAAAAAACCAATTAAAAATGTTTAAAAACATGCAAATGTACAAGAATAGCATAAAAAAAATTTTCTTCCTTGAGTTATATGCGAATATACAACATTTCATTAACAAGGCAATCAAATTTGCGTTTACAGTTCGGGTTGACGTTTATTTGCTCTTTCAAGGGTTCAGGCATTTCACTATTGTGCTGGAGGTGGTAGTTTTCACCTTGTTTCATTCTTGCTCAAAATATCTGGTTTTTTCAATGAAAATGAAATGCTGCCAAAAAATTTCTTCCTTGAGTTACATTAAAACTCTATAATTTAAACAAGTGCTAATCTGTTTTCTTCACCTTCATTCTTGCTCAAAATATCCATATAGAGGAGTTTCAAACAGTTTTTTCATAAGTGGCTGCCAGTGGTTTAACCTTTTAGCCCTTAAGAGTGGCTAGCTTCTAATCTCTCCTTAAAATGTCACCCCAAAATCTAACAGTAATGTCATGAGAATAAAGGAAATGATCACCAACTAAAGAAACTCCTGATTGTTAGACAAATTCTCCCAGTCATTACCTTAGTAATTGCACAGAGATAAGTATGGAGAATATGAATACCGATGTCAGGGTGTAAAGGTTTTGTGTCATAAGCCAAAACCCAAACACAAGAGCCTGCTTGAACTTTTTACTCTTTAACCCCTGAGAGTGACAAGCATCTAATTCCTCCTTACAATATCACCCCAAAATCACACAGAAAGGTCACAAGAAAAAAGGAAATGATCAGCAAGGGTAGAAGCTCTAGATTGTTAAACAAATTCTCCCTGCCAGCACCTTAGAAAATGTATTAAGAACAGTATTGAGAATATGTCTACTGATGTTAGAGTGTAAAGGGTTTACAAATGGTAGTGACAGGTCTTACAGAATGTGGTGGATCAACAGTAGCAGGCCCAGCATATAAACTCATCTACATATATTGTGAAGCCCTCCTCTGCAGAACTTAACAAATTAAAAAGTGCTTAAATGTCACTGAATTTCTTTCTTTGCTATTGTTCTACTATATGAATAGAAAGTAAAAAATAAACATTTTCAGCAGAAATTGAGTCTTTTCAAAGGGTGTTTGTAGTGATGAAAAGATTTTTAAATAATTTTCTCAATTTCAACTAGGTATGCAAAGATTCACATTCCAATTATTGCCTCTGTCTCTGAGCATCAGCCAACCACATGGGTGTCATTCTTCTTTGATCTCCATGTCTTAATCTGTACTTTTCCTGCTGGTCTCTGGTTTGTGGTCAAAAATATTAATGATGAAAGAGTCTTTGGTGAGTAAAACATTTTACTTTAACTGATGTCAAATCTTTAAGGATAGATCAATGCTGATTAATTATTTGTTCTATTTAAAATTGCAGTTTGACTGCTGGGAAACTTACTAACAGCATTGTTTTTGTTCTGGATTTTTTCATTGTTCGGCACAGTTCTGAAATATGCATCCTTTGAAAGACTTCAATTGCCTACATGCTGTTGTTAATACTTACCTTGGTGATTAAACAGAGATGTGTGGATTAGTGAGGCTACTGCATCAACAACACTAATTTAACTTTAAGACAAATCCCAGTTGATGATAATTTTGGAAGAAATCCATGACAAATGAAATGTGTCCAAGAAGAACCAAAACAAAAACTACCCTCTAGGGCTGATAAGATCCTGTAGACAAAGTCTACCATGCTTTTGTACAGTCTGTCAACATTTGTGAAACAGAGGGATGGCTGTCTTGTCCCACAAAAGCATTACACAGATATTACCCACAAAAGCACATAGAAATAATGGGCTACATGGCATTGGTTTGATTTTTTGCTCTAGTTAACCTTCATATGCACAATATTGCCAGCTTCATTCTCACTTATTTTAAGCATAGCAGCCAAAAGACATTTTCAAAGTGGTAGAGCACTCTTTTTACTGGTTTTTCAAGAATTCCATGTGATTTTAGGCAATAATAAGAGGTACTTCAGGCAGTAGATTTATTTATCGCCTGGAAAGGAAAACACTGTTTGTATTAATTTACTTATCTCTTTTATCGACTAATCTTTCTGTACTTTTTTTGTTTCAGTTTGCCTGTATGCTACAACAGCTGTGTACTTTGCTGGTGTAATGGTGCGTCTGATGTTGACCTTGACACCAGTAGTGTGCATCCTGGCAGCCATTGCTTTCTCTGTAACATTGGACAACTACCTGGTTGATGATCGCCCTTCAGAAAACAAAGATGCGACAGCTAAACCAACTGATGGAAATAGTAGCAGTGAAGAGAATGATAAGAAAAGGAAGAAAGATTTGTATGACAAGGTAAAATTTCTGTGTAAGAAATCCTCTGAAGCTGACTGGGATTTTTGACTTGAAGCTTTGCAGCCTGGTTTTCTGGCTCTGCTGCCCTTTTTCAGTCAATGAGAAATATTGCATGTGGGCTAAAATATTTTTAATTGTATTGATGTTTTTGTGTGAAGATTCTCTTTTGAACCTCTGCATCCTTTTGAGTATTTTGTGATGTGTAAAGGAGTATTTGATTGAACAAGGTTTTTTTCTTTTTTTATAGTTGTAGCATATGCTACCTGCATTATGCATACAGCTGTTGATGGGATAAAAACACATTTTGATGCAGTTTTAGATAATTTTCCCTTTCTTGATCATTGCATGATTGATGGGTTAGTGGGCCTTTCTTAACATAGTTGACTCTCCAATTTTGGTCACCTCTCTGAATAGGTCATTTTTCAGGGCATAGAGGTGGTGTGTTGTTGAGAGATTCATGTAAGTTAGATAAATGATTCCTTGAAACTGTGGAATCTTTACAATGTTCCTGCTTGGTTCATTCCATCTTTATCTCCAGCCCAAGAAGAAGTCTCATAGCAGCAAGACCAAGCAAGAAGAGAAGGAGAAGGATGAAGACGATGAGGCAATTGGTGCAAATCTGAAGGGAATGGTAGTGATGTGTACAGTGATGATGCTGATGATGTTTGCAGTGCATTGCACATGGGTGACCAGCAATGCCTATTCAAGTCCCTCTGTTGTGTTAGCCTCTACAAACTATGATGGGTAAGGCTTATTATTGTGGCTTTTTATTGTCCCTACCAACTGGTACCCATGTGGGAGGAGAGAGGCTAGTGTCTGACCCAATAACACTTTACAATGAACTGGCCAGTTCTTGAAATCTCACCATATGACTTGGGAGTCAAGCATATTAGCCCTTTAGCTCTCAGAAGTGGTTTACGTGTAACTTCTCCCAACTTCTCCCATACACTATCCAACAAACAGGTAATGAGATTACTCAAACTTATCATTTAGAGGTTGTTATCATGATATAACACCAAATTCTTGTAACTAAATTTTAAAGAAATGTGCAACAGCCAGATGGGAGAATTAATAATCAGATCTTGGGAGTTAAAAGGTTAACTGAGGTCTCCCATGTGTGTGGAGGGAGGCAAATTTTGGCATTCCTCTTGGACCCTATCACGGCCCTTTGCATCATATTTTTGTCTCAGACACCTTGGTCCCTCAACAGTTAGGATGATACAATCCTGGCCAAAAGTGCATGGAACACCTTTGAAAAACACACGCAAACTCTTTCCATGACCATGACAATTTCCTTTTGAAAGTGACCAACATCCTCTCCTCCAAAACAATATTGACAGCAAATTTAATAATCAACCAAGTTAACCCTTTAACCCCAAGGAGAATCTAGCATCTAACTTCTCCTTACAATATCACCCTTGAATCAAACATTAAGGTCATGAGAATAGAGGAGATGATCATCAACTAAAGTAGCTCTTGATTATTAGACAAATTCTCCTTGTCAGCACCTTGGGAAATGTATAGTGAACAGTATGGAGAATATGGATACTGATGTCAGGGTGTAAAGGGTTAAAAAGGTAAACTGTGCTAGGTAGTGGACAGATAGGACCACATGGCAGAAAGGATGTGTTATTTATGGGTGGTGTTGCAGAAGTGTTCCAAAATGTTTGTCCTTGATCAAAAGTTGTTAATTAACATTTAATTGTCTCTATTCAGGAGTCGAAACATTTTGGATGATTTCCGAGAGGCATATTTCTGGCTTAGACAAAACACAGATGACAATGCACGGTATGTTCTACCTTGGTCTCTTATTTTTATGATATCAAGAAGTTAGTTTTCCCACATTACGGCTATTTTGCTAAGGTACCTGACATTCAAGTGAAGCATACTTTCCTCGGAGGGGTGGAAAAGGACCAAAAATGACGATAACGCTCTTGGAAGTACTAGCATGATCATTTCAATTGTAATGCCTTCTCATCCCAAAGTTACTTTGTTTCTTTGCTACATTAGCGAACACTGAACTACTTTTCCATTTTGTGTAACTTGGTACTGTTCTTCTCTCAGGGTCATGTCTTGGTGGGACTACGGATATCAGATTGCTGGTATGGCAAATAGAACAACACTTGTGGACAATAACACTTGGAATAACAGCCATATAGCTCTGGTACAAGCTTATTATCATTATTAGTAGTAGTTTTATTATTGTTATTATTAAAAATATTTTGGAAATGAGTGATGAGTACTTCTTATGTTAACTTTTACTAGTAACCCTGTGACACCTATGAGTGACTCGCATTTAATTTCTCCTTACAATATCACCCCTGAATCACACATTAAGGTCATGAGAATATAGGAAATGATCACCAACTGGAGAAGCTGTTGATTGCTAAACAACTTCTCCTTGTTAGCACCTTTGGAAATGTGTGGAGAACAGTATGGAGAATTTGTATACTGATGTTAAGGTGTAAAAGGTTAAATTGATAACGGGTTTTTTTTCTGCATTTTGGGAATGAGGAATATTTGCTGAGCAATTTCGTTTCGTTTTAAGCTTGGAAGGAATTTTTGTTTTTCAAAATCCATCAAGCCTGTAGACCAGTTAACCCTTTCAGTCCTTGGAGTGATCAATAGACATTTTCTCGTTATGATATCAATACATAGCCAGGCTAAGAGGTAATGAGAAGAAAGAAAATATCAAGTATAAGATATAGCCAGATTGAACCCCAAATTCTCAGTCCTAAATTCATTAGAAATGTATGGCAGAAGTAAGGAGAATTGATGTGGGGATGTAGGGAGAGAAAGAATTAAACTTTGTTAAGAATTTTTTGTGTTCGTCCTCTGTCCTCATGGTCAGTTTTTTTAACGACTATTTCGTCTTGGTAGCGTTCATATCGCACGCCGAGCCAAAACCCTTGTCTCCTTAACTTTTTTAACTTTCGTTTGATTTTCTTTTGTTAAATTTCCAGGTAGGAAAGGCCATGTCATCCAACGAGACATCAGCGTATAAGATAATGAAGATGTTGGATGTGGATTATGTCTTGGTTATATTCGGTGGTGTGATTGGTTATTCTGGCGATGACATTAACAAGTTCCTTTGGATGGTCAGAATTGCCGAAGGCGAGCACCCTCAAGAAATCAAGGCTAGTCTGAATCTGAAATATTGGCAGTGGCTATCTTAAATTTCTTTGTTATTGCTTAGGAGAAGGAGGAACATTCGCCTTCAGATACCTTTTCTTTGACCTTTCAATTCCCAAAAGTGACAAACGTGTGACTTCTCCCCATATTTTATCCATACGTTACCCAGCAAACAGGTAATGAGAATACTCAAACTTATCAGGTAGATGTTGTTGTCTTGATCTAACACCAAGTGAGTTGCAGTGTCTGTTTGTTTGTTTGTTTTTTTTTTCGGAAGGGGGTGAACTGGACCCCATAACTCTCCTCTTTTACAAGCCCTTTCCCCCCCGTCCCTTCTCTTACAGGGCGTGAAATTGCGCCTAATACAGGCGCCAATGCGACTAAATTTTTCACTTTGGCGACCAAATCCTGAAAGTCTAGTCGCCAAATTGGCGACTAGAACGTTTCATCATAACCTTACCAAGAGATATAGTGAATTAAAAAGATTTGCAAAGATAAATCCGTGGCAAACTTCCTCGTTAAGTTTGTTTCCAAAACGTAGCACATGCATCTCGATCGATAACTAAACGCCATCTTGGATTTAGATGAGCTTTAATGTTGTATATCATCCATCCTAGTGTCCAATTTGTAGCACGTTAAGGATCTTTTCCCTAACTTAATTTTGGAGGGTCTCTCTAGAACGCTGACAGCGTAAAGAAAGATTTTGTTTGTCTTTGAAAATGGCGACCAACTTTTTTTGAATTGGCTACCACTTTGAAGAATTTAGGAGCCAAGTGGCTATCAGAATAAAAATAATTAATTTCACGCCCTGTCTTACTGCACTTCTACTACCCTCTCCTCTTTTTACTTGTTTCTTCGAGTTGATTTCTTGGTATGTTGGTTTATAGGAGTCAGATTACTTCACTCCACAAGGCGAGTTCCGGGTGGACTCGGCAGGGTCTCCAATCCTTCTCAACTGTCTCATGTACAAAATGTGTTATTATCGCTTTGGGGAGATGCAGGTAAACTGTTTAAATTTGTTGGTGTTGAACATGTACAGTTTAGCCATCTGTTGATTGACATTGCATAGTTTTCTACTTATAATATTCATAACCGCGAAGAAAGGGAACTTTTACCAAAATGTTGCGAATGCGTGACAGAATGCATTTGACAATCGCCAATATTGCAAGGATGCGATGGCCACCCCCTTTTTAAGATTGACAATTTTTTTTCTTTCTCTTGATCTCTAATTGGAAGAAACTCTTTTTACTATTTATATAACGCATTTCCTTTTTCTTCATTATTTTCAGTTGGACTTTCGGTCTCCGTCTGGTTTTGACAGGACTCGTAACGTAGAAATCGGAAACAAAAACTTTAATTTAGAACATTTAGAGGAAGCTTTCACTTCCGAGCATTGGTTAGTTAGGATTTACAAGTAAGTTGCTCCCAGGAAACACTGATCTGAAGTAAGATTTATCATTTTTATTTAGTTTCAAGTAATTTTCTTCTTCTCAAACTTCTTTCCAGCAAGTTTCAGACGTAGGTTCGGTTTTGTCAGGTTGATTCAGTTGAGCGTATTTCCACTGAGTGTGGTAAACAAAAACCATAGTAATCACAACAGCCAATTAGAGCATAGGAGAATATGACATGAAGCCAATTGAAATTTAAAACTAGCAAACTGAAAAACAAAACCGGGAAAACGCGGGTGATCAAGGCACAATTGGTCGTAGTTTTGCTTCTGATTGGTTGAGAAGGTGGCGCGTGTTGTCTACAGACCAATCACAGAGCGAAGTGAAGCAACACCAATCTAGTTCTCGATTAAATGTCTTTTAGTTGCCATGAAATTACTGTAGCCGTTGAGAGCCTTCAGTGAAGTTTGTTTTTTCCGTTTAAACTGATGTAAGTGTATGTCTCTTTACATCAAGTTGTATCTACTTAACTGAGTGATCACACAATTTTTTTTGGTATGACCAGGGTTAAAGATTATGCAAATCGAGTCAAGAGCAAAGTACCTCTGAGGACAACAAATTTAAAACCTAAAACCAAATATATTCCGAGAAGGGTAAGTGCTACTGACAGACCTTCCTATGGTTCATCTCGTGATAAATATTTTTCCAGATCTTTTCGAGATATGACGGTTCACACCCCTTTAGCCTTTGATATAATCTTTATGCGCATCGAGAAAGTCCTCTTCCTTTTTCTGCGGTTTTCATTGGTTTACTTCTTCTCACGGCTCTCGTTGACTTGTGAGTGACTCCGCTTTTACGTAGATATCAGCTAGTCCTTGAAGGATACCGGTCGCCTGTTCCTGCACAAAGAATTGGTACCAGTTCTCTCAAAAAATTTGCTTGTAAATCGGTCCTCGTAGCTCGCAGTTACTTCAAGCTTCGCTCTGAGAAAACTGCTACGCCTCTCGCAATAGTGAGTTCACGGAAAAATTTTCGAGCACTTGGAGATGTGTATTCTGCGAACGAGTAAACCGCAATACTGCACGGTTTTTCTGTAAGCACACTATACCACCTTGTTTTTTTCTTCTTCTTTTACAGAATAATAGGAAGGGACACATCAAAGATAAACTTAACGTAATTCAAGGAAAGAGAGTTCAACGAAAAGGGAAGAAGAAGACAAAAGTTAAGAAAGCCAAGAAGAGCACATGAGCGGCGAGTGACGACGTCATGTGAAACACAATAAACGTTCTCCGCCACGTGCAAGAATCATTGTGTTTATTCCATTCGTAGACAAACCTTTAGCAACTCCAGTTTTTCGAGTAGTTGAAATGTTTTAGGACTGATAACTGGAAGTCTTGTCTTTAAAGTCATTGGTTAATTTTTAAGTTTTTCCGAGATGAAGGTAATTTTTGACTGTGTAACTTAAACGTGTAAGGATTGTTCGCAGCTTCATTTGAAGGCATTGAGATTTGACACAAAAGCTACTAGTTCAAAGGTAACTGAACATAACTTGGTGGAGAACTGCTTTGACTTCGATACCTCCGTGTGCTTTACTTTTGGGTGTTTTCGTTCAAAAGTAGCAGCATTGTGATGCTAATGTTTTTAATTATTACTAGTTTTTCCAATTTAAAAAGTCCATCTCGTTTGCTCTTCGGTGAAATAAATTTAATTTGGAAATATCCCGTTAAACCAACCGTTGTAAAATAAAACAACCATTTCAACCGAATGACTTAAGTAATTTCTGAATTTCCTTTGCTTATTTTCCTTGGCCCCGTCCTCATTTCCCGGGAGAAGCACCTCTTCGTAATAGGCTCATAGGGATTTGTCCTTAGATGGGGTCACATTTTCACGAATTGATTACCACGTAACTTCTCCCCACGGTATTCATACATTATCCAGCAAACAGGTAGTGAGATTACTCAAACTCGTCGGGTAGAAGTAATTACCTTGATTGAACACTAAATTCTCACAATCAATTTAGAGTGAAATGTGTAGTAGTTAGAGGGGAGAATGGACAATTAGATCTTTGGAGTTGAAGGGTTAATTTGGCTGCCAAATCAATAGTGTACGAGGATGGGGTCGCACATTTTGGGGATTTTTGGGAATAAGAAAATTCGTATAAGGAGAGATTATTAAATGGGAAGATTCGCGGTTAAAAAGTTGTTAGCATATTACCAAACGTTATTAAGACGGGGTCTGTTATCGAACAAAGAACAGGTTATAATGGATTAGGAGTTCTGAGAAGCTAGCGGCACATACCTAGCTAAATTTTACCCAAGTACTCCTCTCCCCCGGGCCTCGCTTAACTGGATGAATTGAAAACCGCGTTTTCACGCAGCGGAAAATTCCGTTCATACCGAAAAAGAAAAAAATGTTTTCGATCCTCACAGCCATTATCAGAAACACTTCTTTGCACTTGCGCATAAGAGGGACTAAAAGAAAAATTTTGTTTTTAATCGCACGCAATCCAAAAATGATTTGTGAGATTTTTATCGTCTTCTGCTGTCTTCCGTAGTGTCAAGGTAAGAACTGAGAAAATAATGTGCCAGTGCCTATTAGCCAGAAATCGAAAAAGGAGAGAACTCAACTCTATATTGAGTGCGATTTCGAGCTACTAAGATGCTCCGAAAAAAACAACAAGTGGCCCGGGAAACATCAGGTTAAAATTGGGTCAAGATCGGAATTCTATTGTTGCACTCACTCACTCATCTCGACAACGTATGTGGCTTCGCCTCCTATAGGCAGCAGAGTAGCCACAAAAATTACATCTTCGGATCTGACGGGCTTAATTCGCTGATTCAAATGAAGATATTTTCTCTTTTCAAGGAAAAATCTTTTTCTCTTAGTTTCATGATGCGCCGATCACACTCATAAGATATTTCTGCAAAGCAAAGTTTTGTATTTTCACCCGCCTTCCGAAAATTATTGAGAGATGTTTATCGTCTTCTGTAGCACTCCGAAACAAACAATATGTCGCACTAGGAAACATCGCGTCAAAATTGGGTGAAGATCGGAATTCTACTGTTACACTCACTCACTCATTTCGACGACATACAGTACGTGGCTTTACCTTCAGTAGGAAGCGGTAGGCACAAAAATTATATCTTCGGATCAGTACTGGAAATAATTCGCTGACTCAAACATTAAAATGTTCTCTTCGAAGAAAAAAAATTCATCTACGCTTTTTATTAAGAGAAAATAAATCCAGATTTCTAGGATTTATTGTTAAGAAACGGAACACGAATCTGAACTGAACCTTGCGAACCTTAAGAATCAAATCTTGCAAACCTAAAGAACTCAACGCTGCGAACATTTATGTTACTTTTTAACTAGAACCTAGCATGAAACCGAATACTGATTATCTTATCAAATGGCGTGTTGTTGTCCCCGGGTGCAGATAGTTTCTTTTTGACGAGCTAGAACCTTAGAATCTTGTAAATCTAATTATCGGAAGATGTAACCAATAAAAACCTTAACAGTAGTTGTCTGAGTGAAATATTCAGTAAAGCCAGTGGAATACTGGTCTCACACTTGGGTTGTGTAGTCATTCACATGAAGCCAGTCGCCTTAGGAAGTGATTCCATACATCAGCGTTAATTTTTAATATATTAATCTCGACTAAATATAGCGGCATGGTCATAAAAGAAGGTAATTTCAGCCGTGACCAGTTTCCTTCCCCATAAACTGGTATCTCAGGATTTCAGGGACCGGGCGCAGTAAAAGAAAAACATGTTTTTTTTCCCAAAGAGCAATACCCCATCGAGCCCAAAAAATATTGGTCTTAACCAGTTTCCTTGTTTATAAACTGGATGTTAGTATTTTTAGGGCCAGGCGAGGAAAACGGAAGAAACATAATTTTTTCGAGGAGTACCCCCCACCGGCTACTTTCTGTACAAGTTATTTTGGAATCTGAGATCGACGGAAATATACATATTGAACAATTATGACGCAAACTGAACTTTGGTCAACTGCCCTCAGCAGTTTTTAACGAAGCAAAAATATTTGGTCTCTATTGTTTTTTTCGTCTATATTCCCACTAAATTCGACTGAATTTGAAGAAGTGTTTACAAATTAGTTAACTTAGTTAAGGTAATTCGTAGACTTGCTGATAATTTTTTTGGTACGGTTGGCAATAATTAATCTGCACGTGCGATACATTTTTTCTTGTACGCAAGGGATGACGGTCTTACTCGTCACAGCTCATAATGATTCTGACGTACTTCGTATTTGGGAAAGTACAAAGTACTAGTGCGTAGTAGATAGACAGTGAGCAACATAATTGAATTATTCAAACACTCGAGTTGCATAATTATCGAAAGGACGCCGTTTTTGCGTCAACTAAAGCTCATTTTAACACAGCCGGACTGAAAAACCTTTCATATTTATGTTAAAAACCGAACTGAGGTAGTTTCAAAAAGCTTCTTTTTAAGTCTTCTTGTTCTTTGTTCTGACGAATCTTGAGCTGTCCTAACGTATCGCCGATTCGCCGAGTTTCTCGTCGCGTGTCAATTCGAGATGGGAACCAGAGTCTTACAAAGTCCAAAATTATGCCGGTAAGTAGATCAGGGTCGTTGCTTCAGGCAAGAGTATACTTAGTGTGTTTTATTCTTTAGGGTTGAGGAATATCCTTCTCCGATATCCTCTAAATCTTCTTAATTCTTCTCTTTCGCTCAGCTGTCGACGTGACGCGTGCGACAAATTATTATCATTTAATTAGGTCCAAGACATGACGCTTTTTACATACATGAAATTAGATTACGCCTGTAATGCAATTTCAACGTGAGTTCATCGCTGAATTGATCTTTTGTGAAGGTATCTTTTGCCCAAGACCACTGAAAAAAAAATGTTAAGGATTTAAGTCAAATAATACACGATAAATGACAGATGAAATTGACATATAATCGAGACAGCTACGTGACCATTAAGTAACACTATGGCAATGCTCATGCGGTACACGTGATTATGTCAGGAGTCGAAACATCCGACAAGTGACAGAGATTTGCTTTTGTTTTCTGCTGAAGAAGGAAGTTAACCTTGGCAGTGTCCTTCGTTTTTTTTTTTTCCTTTAGAAACATCGATGTATTCCTTTCGAATATTTTCCAGCCTTCCCGTGAAATTGCGAAGCGACATAATATAATCTCGAAATTAACTCGACATGGTATGTGCCGGTTCAAATTTTTGGCAATATTTGTAGTTGTAGTGGTCAGCTAAATTTAGTTTTAGCCTTGCTCTTGACATGGAAATCAGGTTTTTCACAGGATAAATAATTTAAAGTTAAAATGAGAGACGAGATTCGACAGAGGTTTTACACCAGTATATCAGGTGCTGTAAATATGACGTCACGCGCCGTTGACGGCTGAAATAATTATTGATGCGTGTTTACTCAGAGTACGTTCTGGCCAGGTTATCTATTGGTAAAGTGAGTCGTCGCAGCTTTAAAACGTAAAAATACCACGCAGGATCGGCTGATATTTTTCTCTGCGTACTTCTTTGATTTGACAGCATTTTCTTTGGGGTCAAGTGAACCATAGCTGACTTTTCACGTCAGTCAGTTAACATGACGAACAAACGATCACTGGAGCGTCGTAGGTTAGTTTCAATTGATTTTACCCATCCAAGCGAAGTGAACGTCACTCGGTTGAAATTTACAGTTTCGGTGAGGGCTGCGGCATCGTTGAATACTTAAGTGTATTAATTTTTACGAGCAGATAAGCGAAACTGTCGATTAATATCGAATTTTTCGTTGTATCTTACGATTTCAAGAGTCCCCTGCAGAACGCTAAGGGCAGATTTGGTGTAGAGCGCAAGATCGCGCTTTTCTTGATCAGATGCTGTTTTCAAAATGGAAGTATCGTGTAATATTTTAAACTGAAAATTAACGTCAAGGACTGTTTCATCGGCAATTCTAGCTTTAGAACAGATATTATTAAAATTGCTTATCGTCCTTTGAAGATGAAATCGGAGAATTTACATACGTGATATTTTGCGAATGTAAACACTTTGACCGGCTTTCTTGCAAGGAATGAATTATTAAATACAGGAAATAAGCGAAGCGTGCTGACACAAAAGAACCGGAAATGAATACTACTTTTCGATTATTTTACTTAGAAGTGTTTAGCGACAGACGTAATCGACGATTGCCCGACCCAAGTGATTCCCTTTAGCCACCCAAGAGGCGCCCGAAACTGATATAATAGTTTTGAAATTAATAGTACCGGTTTGTACTGGATGTTGATTTGAAATGAAAGGTGCTTCAGGACTCATCGAAACTTCTTTGTCTCAACTCATAAGATTACTATGACCCTGGTATTAAACCGCACATCCTCGACATTCATTTATAAAATGAACACATTTCAAATCCCCCCTCCCTCCCCTTCCCTGTGCAGTGTTGGCACAGAAACGTTTCAGTTGTTTTCAAAATTGCTTTGCGGGGGAAAAGGGGGGGGATAGGGGGAGAGGGGAGCTTGGAACATTATTCTGAAAATAATTTTTACAACAGATAATCTGAGTAACACATATCAAACAAGGCTTTGTCAACAAATAATGAAAATGTTCCAACAAGTTTGACCAGGATTAACCTAAGTTGAAACAGGTAGCGTTTTTCTGCCATGATTTATTTTGTGCAAGGACCTTCTTCAATGAGCTCATCCAAACCTTTCTACACTAACACCAGTCACCATATTCTCTATACCATTTTCTCTGCGCTTCCTATGTTACTGACAAGGAAAATTTAAACCTGGCTAGTTTATCTGGCTCTAGCTTGTGCCCTTGATTGTGCTAGTTAAGCTCTATTAAAGGAACCACAAGCAAACTATGCCTATGAATAAAGTACTGAAAATTTGTATCTTTGACACACCCTAGCCTGAAAATCCCATTTAAGTGCACTGAAATGCCAGTGCCATTTGCCCTATTGAGTCATGCCCAATCTGTAGCATGAATCACCCCCACCCTTCAAAAAAGGGGGGGATGACAGTGACAATTTTCTGCTTAGCTCACTTAAAGTGGCTTAGAAAAGCCACTTTAAGTGCCTTTCCTTGTGTTTGATAGGGCTGGTATTCATGCAGTAAGAGGGAATAAAAAATGGAGTATCAAGAACTGGAAAATATTTATACCACATAGAATCTTCAAAGCCTCTTAAAGTACCATCATTTCCTTCTTTTGCTATTGGTTTTGGTAGCAGTAACTCTTACTGCAGAAAGGCTTCTCAGATAATGAATTTAGCAAAAAAAAACATAATCCCTTTATATGCCTTTTAAAGGATACTACTCTTTATATCTGTTGTAGCTGCACAGAGTATTTTGATGCTGCTGTGCTAGATGCATTTCCAAAGAAGAGGACATCAGTACGTATTCTGGATGCGGGCGCAGGACAAGGTTCAACCGCCTCTTACCTGCGTTCCTTGGGATACAACAACATTGATGCCTTGACAGTGTCTAAAGAGAGACTTGATCGTGCAGAAGCAAGTGGACTTTACAGAAACCTTCTTTACACTGCTCTGAAAGCAGAATCCACCTTGTGCGCCACTGGTGCGTTTGATGCCATGATCTGTGCAGACGGTGTTTTTCCAGATGAAGTGGACCCTGATGCAATGGATGAGATGTTACGCCTTGTCAAGCCAGGTAGCTATTTTATGTTTTCAAGAGTGAATCAAGTTTATGGATGATCTATGCTGAGCTAAAAGAAAAACAAATCTGGAAAATTGCCTCGCGTTTAGCATTGTTTAAGGGATGAAAGTAGTGACTGTACTATTAAGGTCATTTAGCAATAGGATGTTACAGCCGAGCAGGGTTACTGGGTCATGTTATTGGGTAAGGCTTAAACTATATCAGTGCCCCTCTCTTCTTACTAGTGATAACTGGTTCAAGCAAATTGCCATTAAAATGCTGAAAAATTTTGTTAGCATCCATTTCTTCAAGGAAGTGTAGATTATGAGCAGTCCCTGCTTATTTGCGGTTTTGTCATGCAAATAATAAAAAATCTTTAAAAAAAGGATGTTAGTGTGCCGTGTGGAACTCTAGATCTTTGATTAAGACTTTGCTGAAAAGCAGGGACTGCTGGTAGTCTTAAGGGGGTGTGTGAATTATCAAGTTTGGGCTTAGGTGCAATGGATCAAGAAATTATTAAAAATTATTTTTTCTCTCAACTGCTTCTGTTTCAGGTGGTATTGTGTGCTTCACAATGAATGCAGCACTATTTGACAGTGCCCATAACAGCTTCCGATTAAAATGTGAAGACTTCATCTCCAAGAGAAAATGGAAACTAATATCACAAGGGATTACTTCCCAACCCCAAGATTCAGAGAAAGACAACAATAATCATCAATGTGCTGAAAGAAACTCTTCAGACAGCTATGTTTTAGTTTTTGTGGTAATTGATAATTACTAAAACTTTGTATCTGTAAAGGGGGTAAGTTTCTAAAGAAACTGTGGTGCTGCATCGGTGGGAGAGTATAACAGGTAATTTAGTGTTAACAACTAAGTTGAAAACATAAATTAGCCACAGTAAAGGGTAAAAAATTATAATTGCTCTGATGAAGGGCTTATGCTCGAAATGTCAGCTTTTTTTATCCTTTATGGTGGCCAATTTATGCTTTCAACTTAGTTGTTAACACTAAATTACCTTTGCATCCATAGCCTGGCATAATGTCAGCTTTGAATATTAACATCAAGTGCGGTCATCTTACAGAGAATGGTGAAAATATTATTAAATTTATTTGGAGATGTTAACTCTTGAGGCCAATGGTACTACCCGACCCATATTTTTATTGCAAAAAAATTCACCAGCAAAACTTATTTGATCATATAAATACTATTACATTAAGCTCTTTATAGTAGTTTTCAATTGAAAATCAAATGTTTTGCCACAAAATTTATATGGCGTGCACTCAGATAAGTGCACATGGGCAATCTTTTTTTGTAGCCTTTATGCCTGTTTTCAACTCTTTTTTGAGGCAACCATGAGAATATAATGTTTTTTATCCATTCACTCTGTCAAGAAATATTGCATTTAAAAAAAGGCTACATAAGATTTTTTTTATCTAAAATTTTAAGATAGAACATAATTTAACACTAAACATTCATGAAAATTAATGAATAAATGGTATAGCAGTGCTTGTATTAAGGATTTATAAATTTACTGTAAATTATTTAAGAAGGAAAATTATTCTTTGATAAGAATTTGTGACTGTCACAGTTCAGGCCATCTGTCTTTGTAAAAATATTGAATATGGTCTTTTGAGTCAGTCTACTTAGTCTTTATTGTAACTATTTTGATTATGATCAGAAATTTAAATGTTATAAATAGCTTGTTTATTAACTATAATTTAAAACTGTTTGCTCTCTATGAAAGAGAATGCAATTGGGCCATCCACAAATGGTTTGGCTGTATGTTTTGTAGGATAAAAATAATATTCAGCTGTTGGAAACAATAAAACTTTGTAAATACAGCCCTTGCAGTTCTCTTTTTAGCCTTAATGTGCTGGTTAACTCAAAACTTTAACATCCCCCCTCCCCCACTCATGGGCAACCCACAGGCAATTGATTTTTGTCCGTTTCAGGGGAATGGAGAATTTGGAGCTTGCCTGGCTGGGTGGGTAATTGAACCGGGAGTGACAAGTCTTTCCAGCGGAAAGGGGGGATGTCTCAGGGCTGACGTATCAGATTTTTGAGTGGGGGAGGGGGGCTAAAGACGAACGCATAAGTTTCAGCCAATTATGGGTAAGGATGGGAGCATGCTCAGCAGGAGAAGCTTTTTTTAAAAAGTAGGGGGGCTAAGGCCTCCCCAGGCCCTCCCTATACGCGGTCCCTGTGTTGAAGGGTAAAGAGTTTACTTCGCGAGCAAATGGCTCAGAAAAAGAGGTCTTCAAGGTATCAAGCTTTGACTCTGAGTAAAGAGTCACGGTCGCTGAGTTTGCCTTTCACAAACAAATTGGCTATCTTGTAAATCCGCCTCTTGGGTTGGACATTTGAGCACAAATTTGGCTGCGGAGGTGGAAATTAGAACAAACTGATCTTCAAAAGTTCAAATACTAGTGAAAGGGGGCGGACGGGGGAATGCTAAGTTTCGATTTGATAGACGCGTAAGTCCGTCTGAGTTCAAACACTTCCTTGCGAATTCGCGCAGTTTTGTCTAATTACGATTTACGTTTACGAATTACTTTATGATTTACGTTTGATTTCAAAAGAGGTCATTAAGAAAAGAGTGACAGTCGCCCCGAATAACAGATTTTTGCTAATCAAACTTTTTGTGCCTCCCGTATGTGCGTGGTGTTCGAGCTAGTTTACTCCAGCAGCCCAACGAGGCATGGTGCGCAAACTTTCGGATATAATTTAACTGAACTTACAGGCCAGGCGGGAAGAACGTATGTGCTGTTCCAGCTGTGGAAAGCTTTCGGAAATAGAGTGTGCAGCCTAAGGCTTTTCCTATGTACGTAGTAAACCTAGAAATGGATGACTCGCCAAAATGGGTTCTTCTCCACATAGTAAGCGGTCAGATAGCAAGCGACACACCGTGGAAGTATGGTGAGGTATTTTTGTTGAGGATTTAACTGTGTTTATATTCCTTAGAGCTGTCATAAATATTCCCACGCAAACTCCTATAATCTCGCCATGACTCTTATTTTGCGAGATGATCATCTCACAGCTGGAGCTTGGGCCGCATTGGTTTGTTGAATGAACGATCGCGAGCTTCTTAGCGTTAACTCGCCCTAATAAGACACCTGCACTGCAGGCTAGGAAAGTACTGATGCCTTGAAAACTCCCTGTTCGCGTTAGACGGGCTTTTCAGCATGCAAAGGAACCAAATTTAAACAAAGGTTTGGAAAATCAACCTCGTTCGCAGTGTCCTCTCTCTTCCTTTCCTTTTCTCGAGGAAAGAAGACCCTAGGAACGAAATTTGCCTAAAACATCTATTAAATCGAAAGTAAAACCATGCAAGGTTCATTATTTTCGTACTGAAAGTACAAATTCTCATATTTTCGTTTCCCTTTTGATTTCTACACGGTATGATAAATCATTCCTGAGCACAGAAAAAACCTTCAGAGGTGGAGAGAAAGACTCCCATGAGCCCGCGAATTATAGTCTGGTTTCCGCCAATCAACGCATACTCAAAAGAAAGTTAAGAGAAAAAATCATGGCGGATGACAGGAGTGTTTAAGTTAAACTGGAACCTGAAGTGAATTGTCACTCCTAAGACGCTAGTTTCATCCCTTATGCAAAATTTAATGTAGGGTCTGACAGGAAGAAAAAAAAGGAGTATCATAAGAGAATTAATTTTTGATCAAACGCCGGGTGATTAGAGCTAAGAGTCCTGTGAGTTTAGACAAAACAAAAGCGGACACATGTCTATGCCAATAGGAGCTTCGCCGCGTGTCGCTCAAAATTTCCGACAGTTCAACCAGAGTCCATTATCACAGCCTTTCCAGGGTGGATCGGCAGCCGCTTTGGCTCAAGCAGGTAAGAGGCTTTTACGTGAAATTTGTGTAGATAGTTTCGGCCAAAGTATTTTCGCCTACTTCCAATAGTCTTGTTTAGGTCTACATGTACACTCACCAGGATCTGAGCCCTCCTTCGCAGTAATGCACGCATTAAAAAATTGTTGGTTCCTCACTGTACGGTGTAACAGTTTTAAGGTTTAGGGGTGCTTGTATCGTTAATATATTGATAATAGATGTATTAAGGAGTTATTTTTTCCTCTGGCTCACTGTACTTTTGCTAAACAAAACGAAACAAAATAAAACGAAATAAAAATCTGTAATTTGCGAAATGAAAATCTGTAATTTGAGAAATAAAAATCACTGGCATTAATATTGTACATCTGTAATTATCATTTGCTATGTCGCTTGTTCAATCCACACTGGTGGTGAACTGACCAATTCATCCCTCCAGCCACTGGAGTTTTCCTTGTGGAACTTTGTTCAGCAAATTACAAATTCCATATTGCAAATTACAGATTAAAAATGACAAATCTTCATGTTGCAAATAACAGATCTATTTTTCAATTTACTGATTTTGAGTTCATTTTATTTCATTTTGTTGGTTGCAAAAATTTCAGTTAGCTGCTTCTCTCAAGAGCAGTATGACTGATAGATAAGGGATCAGATTTCTGATATTTACTTAAGCCCAAACTACTGTAAATCATGGAAACAAGGTTCAGGACAGAGCCTAGTTCAATTGTAGTGCCCATTTAATTTGGCCCAGTATTCAATGTGATACTGATTTGTAGTACGTGGTTGGTAGTGTTCTTCAAAGGCATGAAATTGAGGAGGCTCAAAAAGGGTGAAGGATAAATTTTGTAACACTTTTTTTTGAGGACCCTGGGAAATATGTGAACAGAGAACAATGATTGTTAAAAGTCTTGGCACTTTCTACTACTTTTTAAATTTTTTTCTATAACTTTAATTTATCTTCCCCTACCCTCTTTTTCAATGGTGCCTGGTATCAACAAAAATGTTACTAATTCAGGCAACATTGTTCAGGGGAAAAGGAAAACTTTCAAGAAACATATTAGAGAGAAATTTCAGGATTTCTGTTTATTGTGTTAAGTGGAGGGTTGTCAACCACCTACTTATGGAGGCATGTCAACCACTTTTGCTTTTCTTTGCAATGTAGATTAATGCGCTAATTTTTTACAAATTAAAATTAGATGTCTATGTTGCCTTGTAATTTCCGGTGGACGTTGTTCTGGAACCATTTCAGGACCAGGAATGGGTTTTACTGCAACTTTGCCAACAAAGAAATGAATAATTGTTTTTGGCAATTTTGTGGAAAATGCACTAGTTCATGCTGTTGTTTGTAGACTTTCCAAAAGGCAATAGATTATGTTAAGTGCAGTCACACAAAACTCATTCATAAAAGTTTTTTATTCAACTTAAGTTCTTGTTATGTTGATAGAGATGCAAATCATTTGATCTGAATAATGAACTTGTATATCCCGTCATGTTTACATTTAAGACTTATTACATGTACTTATTACTATTTTTCACTCAACTTGGAACGTAAAAACAGGGATATACATTTCTTTATTTGCAAAATTTCTCTCTTTTTCCTACAGCAAGATTTCGACCTCCCTATCACCCTGGACCTCAGGCAATGATGGGACAGGTTTGTGTCTTAAATCTTTTGTGGTTTGACCTCTGTACCTGTCATATGTAAAAATCACTCTGGTTCAAAAATTAAAATGACAGTAGTTTCTTTTTGGAGGTTTTTGCATGCTTGATATATGCCTATTTTGGATCAGTGTCAGTGTCTGAGAAACTGTGTATCTACCCCTCCCCTAAACCAACATTAACCCTAACTTGTTATCAGTTGACTATGGTTGAGTTGGGGGAGGGGTACAGTATAGTTTTGCAGTTGCTCAGATACTGACATTGATCTACTATTTCTCACACTCTCAGAATTAAGGATACTTCCCTGCAACCCTTTCAGATTATTTGGAAAAGATGTTTTCCTCCCAAATATTTTACCACATATATCTGTATGTTCAGACACAATTTATACTAGTTACATGGAGATTCCCTGTCTATCTGATATTCTTACAAACTTACGAGCTTTACATGGAGTGTCTTATCAGAACAGTATTTGCAATTTGGGATGATAGGGTGATCAACAAGTAAATTTGCCACAGATTAGTGATTAGAAGAGAGTAAAATATCAACTAGGTGGCATTGTTTCTTTTAATGCCAATTTTCAGAAATAATATTGTAAGTAATGAATGACATGCATAGGAGAAATGAATGCTAAGATCTCTGGTGTGGAAAGATCTAACAGATGTTGAGTATCACATGGCTGGTCCTGAAAGTGGATGAAATGTTGGGACTGCTGTGCTGTAACTGATTTCCTTAAAAACAAGATGGGCCCATCATACATTGTACCTGCATGAAAATAGCTGTTGTGATCTCATAAAAAGGAGCACTTTTAGCTTGTTAACATAATTTAGAACATTTTGTTCCCAACAGAAATAGTGTCTCAAAAATTATGCCTTGAATGAACAGATCATTTGTGCTTTCATTCAATCCAGCAACTCTTGAGAGTAATGTCTGTGCCACATGACAAACCATTAATTGACCAAGCATGTACATTTAAAATTCTGTATGCTGGCTCCATTTGGTTTTGTTTTGTTTTTTTTGCCGACTCCCATTTTGTCTCAGTCCTATGGAATTAAAATGAAAAAGGACTTGGCCAAAACTCAGTTACTTTGATCAACAAACCTTGTCAGTGACCCATAAATGTTTTGTTATTTTCAGGCTCAAAACCAGTGGGGACAGATGAGTTATGGACAGCCCAGGTTTGCTACACAGAGATTAATCTCACAGGTGGGTGACTGTAGTTGTAAACTTGGAGTTGTATTTGAAGTAGTTTGATCTTTCCTTGGTTTGACATTCTTAAAATTAGTTAAAATTATAAATTTAGACCCTCTTAACCCTTTAACTCCCAAGATCTAGTAATTCTCCTTACTGTCTGCTATACAGTTCTTGTGATGTTAGTATGGAGAATTTGCTATTGGATCAACCTATAATCCCCTCATTGATATTTTTCTTTATTCTCATCACTTGTCTGCTTGATATTGTATTGATATTGTAAGGAGAAATTCTGTCCTGGTCATTTATGGGAGTTAAAGGGTTAATGTCATTCTTAGCTCTTTTCAAAAATAGGGGAGGGGGAGGGGGAGGGAGGCTAAAGCTCTCTGCATAATACTATGAACTTAATGGCATTGCCAGGGTTTCAATTACAGCCAACAATCAGTGAATTTCACTGTCTATTTCTCTGAACTTAACAACATAAGAGTAAAGGTCAAATTTATCAAGACCTCTGCATTACCTTGAATTATGAGGAGGGAATGTTTTGGGACAAACGTAGTATTTAATTATTCATGAACAAATCATATTACAAACAAGCTTTGGTGAAACCATTGATGAAAAATGTATTCCTTAACAGGCATCTGATATTCGTATTCCAAAACCACCAAAGCCTCCAGAGAAACCACTGATGCCTTATATGAGGTTCAGTAGAAAGGTGAGCTTTTAAATGCGTAAATATCAAATTTGTGATATGAACTTAACCAATAGTAGTGAATCAACATGCTACAAATAGCAACACATAAACAATTGACCTCAGTGCCTGATGAAGAGTAGCAGTATTGCAGTTGATATGTTGCAATCAACATCCATAGTGACTCCATCCTGAGACAAACAAATAAAGTTTATCTCCTATCTTACACCATGATGAACCATAAACTTACATTTTATTACATGAACTCAAGATGCTGTTGCAGATGTTTATTAAAGATCAGCTCATGGAGTCCTCTCTTCATATGAAAACTATTTTCATCTTCCTCAAACTTACTTCTTAGCAAAGAATACAATGTGACTAGCATTCCTGTTTTTTTTTTTCTTTGTAGGTTTGGGATCAAGTAAAACTCCAAAATCCAGAGTCAAAATTATGGGAAATTGGAAGAATTATCGGACAAATGTGGAGAGATCTTAGTGATCTGGAAAAACAGGTACACTGTGAGCAACTCATCCAAACATTTCTTCTTTATAAATTCATACCTTGTGGACCAGAGGCATTTTGTAGTCTGTTTGGTGTCAAAGACAAGACATCAGCACACAGTTGCTGAAGTCACTTTTTATTGTAAGCTAGCTTACCAGGCACAGTTGGGTAAGGAGAGTGTGCTTCTCTTACTTTGCCTCTATTTCTTTGGAGGTTTTAAGACCAAACCCCAGAATGAAAGGAGAGATTGAGCCAATTGTTATAGCCATTGATGAGAAAATGAAACACACCTGTACCAAGCTTGCAACAGCACAAAAATTGTCTTTCACCAGTTTTCATTAAAAGTTCAAAATTAGCCTATTTCTCATTTCATTTATGTGTATGCCACTTTCTATGTTGTTGATCCTCACAGTATGCAATACATGGGCTCAATAGAGTAGAGTCTCTGTGGCTCAGTGGTAGGGTATTGTAGCATGGAATCCGTTGTGTCAAAGATGGTACAATAGGAGGGGTGGTGGATGGTACATGTACCTTGAGAATCTTTGATCAGCAAACTTTTTTACTGATTTTGAAATCTTGTTGGTCTTTGGAATAAGTTTTAAATCTCACCGTTTTTCAAAATTCTCTGAATTTTTCCTTTAGCCAAGGGTCTCAGTCAATAGGTGGCTAGTGAGATTAGCTGAGAGTTATCACTGTGAGCAAAGAATGCCTGTGTATCTTGGCTGTTGATTGGAAGTGATGTAATGTATAAGATGCTATAGTATGGCACAAATGGGAATGCAAATGGGAGTAGTGCAACACTAATGCTAAATTTCAGCGGCCTCATGACAAATGACAATGACAATTTCTTCCCCTGTTACTAAGTAATTCAGTAGGTAGTCAAGATCTAATGGTATTACCATTTCTGTTCTTTACAGGAACACTTGGATGAATATGAAGTTGAAAAGGTAACTTTAGGCTTTTGGTAATTTCATAAAAAGAAAAAAAAAACATGATGTTTGTTTGATACCATGTCATAAAAAAAGGATGGCAGTCCTTTTAAAATGGAAAACAATGGTGTTAAGCAACAAAGAAATCAAACTGCAAAGCAAACGAAAAAGAAGATGACAAATTTTTTTAAAATGGAGAACAATGGTGTCTAGCAACCAAGAAATGGAAATGCAAAGCAAGCAAACTACCCCCTGCATTTGAAGGGACTGTTTTCCAGTTCTGTTAAGGTTGTAACAGTAATTTTTTATTTCAACTGAATAAAGTGTGTTTCTTTTTTTTTTTTCATTCTTGTAGCAAGAGTATAATGAAGCAATGAAGGCCTATCACAACTCTCCAGCTTATCAAGCATGGATTGTGGCCAAAGGAAGAGGTGATTGTCGATACAATATTCTTTTAGGTGGTTTGAACTCAGGATAACAAGTGGTTAAATGGTGTTATTGTTGGTGTGAATTGGCCAAGTGAGGATCATCCTGAATAGGTTTTTGCTCAATAGTGAAGACTAATGTTGTGATAAACAAAGATGAAGTTACATGTACAATCAAGGTCAATGAAACTACCTACAAAAAGACACAAGTAATGAATTACTGTAAACTTTATCTTGTGATGTCTTACAGCACAAGCTGCTCTTCAAGAGCAGCAAGCAATGGAGAGAGCTATGATGGGTTCCATGCCTTTTGGGGTAAGTTCTCTTGTCATGACATAAATGCAACCATGCATCAAATACCTACAGTGGTAGGCTACTTGGGTGTGTGTTTAAATGTCACAATAGTAATGGTAGTAGTGCTCCTAAATATTAATGACACTTCAATAAAGTTCTTATCTTATGCTCTACAACTGAGCTACAGGGAACTCTTTGGTGAGCTACATTGTAGGCAATCGCTAGACTCATATGTTAACGTTAATGGCATTCCTACATGTAGTAATTGTTTGGCTCATTGGCGAATTCTCTCTGTGGGAAGTCAGATCTGTTTTCTTTGATCCATGCTTGTCTTAAATTATTGATATCTGTCTTTCTTTGATGAGAGAGCTCACAATGTACCATAGGTATCATTTTATTTACTCACTGGGCAGTTACACTTTTCTTACTTGCTCTTCTTGATTGGATAGTGGTGACACACAAATAATCTACTGCTTTGAAAAGAAATTGTCTTCTAGAAACTTATTATAACTTTGTTTGTTGGTCAGAAAATGGATGAGGCAAGATTTGGCATTCAACCTGTGGATGATGATGATGGTAGGTTAAACTGTCAGTTGTGCTTGTGGCACATTTGAGGGCAAGAAAGTGGTAGGAAAATAAATTATTCAAAGTGACCCTTACAAATTTATCTTCCATCTTTCCTTGGATTTGTGTACGAAGTTTCTCCTTACGAATGGTTTCTTTTAAGATTAGTTTCAAGCTTTTGTTAGTGTTCATTGTGGGGGACATGTTTTCCTTTTCCAAAGGTGGAGCCTTAATCGAGTGCTGTCACAGTCCCCCACTATTTTAGGAGAGGGAGCTACTCGTAATAGGCTATGATCTCATTTTTACATTGGGGTTTGAGGGGGGGTGGAAGGAGGCAAAATAGCTAATAACCCCTCTTGACATGTTGCAAGTGGAGAAAGCTGAGACAGGCTCCATCTTGGCAAAGGAACATGGTCTGTTCGCTGTTGAGAGACTTCACCTTTACCTCTCTCTGTTTTCAGATGAAGATGACGCCTTCTCTGTCAAACACATATCCGCAGCTCGTTTTCATCGAAATCATAAGTTGATGTCAGAAATATTCAGCGACACAGTGGTCAGGGATGTACGAACAGGTCAGATTGCCAAAAAAAAAAAAAAAAAAAAGGAAGAAATGCTTAGACTTTGTCTTTTTTTGTTTTTAATATTTGGCTGTTTGCAACTTTTTTATAAAATTTTAGGTTGACTTATCAACTGTATTGGGCCTTTGAGTTTTTTTGTCTGATCTGATAATTTTTTTCATATTTCGTATTTTGTGTTGTTGACACCTATGGTGGTCAATGATATCAGTTGTGGAGTGTCTCAACACTTTCACACCATTGTCTCTAAGACGTATTCCTCAATTGTTGTCCTGTTTATTACTTTAGTTGTGACCAAGTCCCGTCTGGGAGTCCTCAAGCGTCAAGTCCAGTCCCTCATAGCCCATCAGGTAAGTCGTTTGCTCTTTGCTGAATACAAAGGCCTCACATAACAATTCTAGAGATTGTGTGGACGAAACAACTATTTCATTTGGCACGCGCTGTACTTTTTCTTTTTTATGTACAATAGTTTGTATGTTTTATAATGCTATCGATAAGCCTTTTGCCAAGCATGAAAAAAAATCTAAAATGGTAAACTATTGGAAATTGTGTTCTTTTTGCATCTTCTCCTCCTCCGATGCAATATTAGTTAAACATTATCTCACTTTAAAGCAAAGTGTGCCTCAAGTCTTAGTATTTTTCTGGTTACGGTACCTTGGCTAACTTATTTTTCTAATAACGATTCTCTCAGGGTGATAAAAATTTAATTCCAACCTGTTTCTTGTGTTATCTCTTGAGTAGAAAAAGCTGGAAAGTGAGTTGCAGCAAATCGAAGAAAAGTTTGAGGGTAAAAAACGAAAGTTTATTGATGACAGCGAAAAATTTAACGACGCCCTTAAGAAGGTAAAGAAGCTGGTATTTTTTTTGTTGTTGTTTAGTTTGTTCTTAAAGCGTTTACAACATGTGTCCTTCTTTTCGAACTAGCTTCTAAAGTGTGGACGAGTTCACTTCTTGTTTGAGTGAATTGACGGGTTACCATATCGAAAGAGAATTTTTCGCTTGTCAAAGCGTTATAGAACCTGTGCTTCAGATAGGGATAGTATTGGAAAATTAATTATGGCAAACATCTTTTCCAAAGAAGTGATCGAATGTTTATGTTTCTTGCAGCTTTGCGAACCTCTTAATGAAGGGGAGACAACCGGCGTGGTGGAGCTGAAAAAAGGCAAAGGCACCGATATAAGTTTGCCCCCGGAGGACCCTAAACCATCCACATCTTGACGAAATTAATACGTCTGTCCAACTGTAAAATAACACCTACCCGATTTTCTTTTGTATTTTATGTTTCGGAGTTGGTTCATCCAAAGGAAAGTTGTAGGGGGGAGGGGTTTGTCAATAAATGTACGAACTGTGGCATTTATTCTTAGGCAGACACAGAATATTGATAAGTAGAGTAAAAAATAAAGACTGTTTGTACCACGCATGAAGACTGCGTCCCTTAAACACCCTGTTCACGGCTTCTGCTTCTTACGGAGACCCTTTCCAAGAGGATAAATAGTAAAAAATTGCATACTTTGTTCGAGACCCTGAAAACCACAGTCGTTCAGGAGGAATACATGCGAAGTAGCCCTTGCCCCTCAACTCTTGGTCCGAAGTTGACTCCTTGAAGATATGTTAATGTGGTTATCACGTTCTTTAAAGGTCAATCTGTACTCGAGCCTAATGGCCTACACAGCCGGAGCTTATCCTGGTTTCCATACAGCTTGAAGCGACAATCCCCTTATCTCCCCCCCCCCCCCCAAAAAAAAAAAAAATAAAATAGAGCTCCTTGCGCTCTGTAAGCCGCGTCTTCCCTTTGCTCCCCTGAAAAACACAAAATGAAAAAAACTTGCTCTGTTTTCTGAGGGGCAAACTCGAGCCGTGATTCGTTTAGATACAAAACACAAGTACCAATGGCAAATTTACATTTGGCGACGAGGCGACGATGTAATCGAGCTGGTAGTATCCAAACCATCTGAAATTTCCCGCCGATATTGTTTTTTGCACTCTGACATGCGCGAGTTTACATCCGGGATTTTTCACCTCCCTGCGCAAGTCCTGGGTACTATCAGTTGTTTCCATGACGACCTTGCAACTCACAAGTGCGGCTCACCTGCAAAAGCAGGCCGTAGGACGGTCTTTCCCTCTTTCTTAATTATTTTTTCATCCTTTTTTTTTTCATTTTATTACCACTTTTCACTTAATTAGTTAAGCATCAGGCAGCATTTCCGTGTAACCCCATGATTCATTACGGAGACAGTCCTGTCTTTTACAAAGAAGACAATTGGCGCCACCTCAAAGGATTGGCGGGAATATTGAAACAGATAAACAACGAGGGAAAGACGACAAAGCGTTCACTTTTCTAGAGGTAAGCGGTAAACAGTTCGCTCTCAGATTCATGCTTTGACATAAAAAATGCGTGTATCATAGATGAAACATGCATGAACTTTGTATTTGTTCAAGAATAAGATCAAATACGCGCGGTTTGAATAGAGTGCTTAAGGCAGCAATGAGGAGACTTTCTTGCCCGATATTTTGACGTAATTTAGCCGAGATGTTCTCTTGAGCTTTACATGCTTGAAATTTATTGTTTGATGGCGAAGAAGTATCTCTCTTGCCAGTGGTGCGCAGAAAATAGCCAGTGGTACGCAGAAAATAGAATGCAGTACATCAAGAAATAACATGCCATCATGAGATATTTATAATTTCCCTATGGTGGCGTAAAATGGCTAAGATACCAAAGGCCATAAAGTAATTGAGAAATATTTTATATCGTAATAGTAAATTGAAAAGTGGAATAGTTTTCCCAGCTGTGTGGTACGAGATACGCAGATACTTTCACATGTATTTTGTAAAAACTCTAGAAAATTAAAATTGAAGAAATGCATTGAAACAGTCTGAACAGTCATGCAAGCATGCAACTGGGCCAGAGCTCCAAAATTTTGATTTTAACCACAAAATGTTTCAAACCAGAAAATAAGAATCAAGCATTGTCATGCAAATTATTGGTTAAAAAAAATTGAAACATTCATTGAAATCTGCAAAAGGTAACAAAGCCGGGAAAAACAAAAAAAAATTGAGACTTTTCTAAAGCAAAACTAATTGAATTACAGGTATCCTGTTTATTTACCATTTTATTTGGAGCTTTATCACAGCAAAACATACCCTTTTAACATTCCCTTTAAAACATAGTGACTTACTGGTTTTTTTATAACTTGTGTTGCAAAATGTGGTTCTTATAGTCTGAAAGTTTGCCTTGAGCATAGCTAATACAATATTAGCACATGTGTTCCCAACTCCATGAGACCTGTCACACCTTTTCTTTAGTCCTTCATACATATCAACCTTTTTTTCCTAGACATTGAGTGTAAATTTTCTTTTTGTTGCCAATATCCTGATATCTGATAAATGTGGTGAACAGATAGATATAAAATGAGAGAGACAAAAATAGTTGATGACTGTGTTTCAAGGCTAAAACTGTTCAATTACTTTTGGAAACCAGATCTAAAGATCTAGGCTCAAAGATTTTCAAACTGTTTTACTTCCACAATATAAGAGTATGAATGGAAGACATCTTTTGATCAAAAACATGTAGTTTATGGCTTCATTTATAGAAAATTTTCAATTTGGAAGCAGGTTGAGGGTCTGTAATTTTCCGCAAGGAAAAAGAATTAAAAAGTTCAAAGGTTACATTTGTCCTCCAGAGAGTTTGCATTGTAAATGTGAAGATTCTAGAGGTTGAAGCTCATTCAAATCTTCAAAAACTACAGGGTTGGTATGGTGTGAGGTGACAATAATTCAAACTCCACTTGGAAGATTTAGACTGATTCAATGACAGATCAAAGGTCTAGATCAATTGGTAGCGTTTGACATGAAGGGTCAAGAAGATAGCAATGATCAAAGATTGTTGGCCGTAGTCGCAGTAGCAGTAGAAAAAAGTTAAGTTGTAGGTTTGAACTGAAATACGATAATTAAAGATAGAATCTAACTTAGATAAGGCTAAAAAGAAACAATAGAATTTAAAGAGACAGAACTATAATAAACTAGCAAACTTCTAGCAGAAAATGAGTAGACATGATAATTCTCATGTCGTAAATTATGATCAAGCAAAGATAGAAACAACAGTATAGTACTTAAATAGAGTAACTAAATGAGCATAAAAGATTAACAGTTTGAAAAGAAACAAAAGACAATTTGTGAATAGGATTGTTTTGCTATCATACTGTAAAAATAAAATTTAATTGACTAAACAAGACATTCTAAGATCCAGAAAAGGCTGATGATTCTGTGACTTAGTTAATGCATACTAGTTTCATGTTTGATGACTTGGCTTGAAGATTTGCTATTATTTATTCATTTATTTTTGATGTTGTTACCTTAGGATTGATTTCAATATTTGCACAATTGAAATTAAAAAAAATAATAATAAGAATTATTAAGGAGTTCTTTTTGAAAGAATGCTTTGTTCCATCAACAAAAACAAATATGATATCACAAAAAAAAAATTCAGTGTTCCATGTTTCCATGTGTCTGTGCGGTAGTAGATCACATGTGACATCAAAATGTGTTAAGAAAGAAAAAGTGGCAAAATTCCACAGAGCATGAAGAAGTAACCTCTGCCACAGTGTTTGAAATTTCTTGTTTATTACCACCAAGTACAGAGTGCTCATACCAATAGACAAACAAACCACAGAAAACATTGAAAAAAACACAACATCAACAACAAAATGTACTGGAGGGGAGAGGGTGGGGGCAGAATGAGGATTCCTGCCTTTAAAAAGATGAGGAATTTTGAGTTTTCATAAGCTGTTGGATAACCAAGTAGTGAGCATGTGACGGAACAATGTTAAATTCAGTGTTTGCTATTATTCTAAAGAAAAGAGGAACGCAAGGATAATTACCAAGATTTTAATGATTGTTTTTCTATCAAGATTGGTCAAAGTCCCAAATATTCTGTGTAACCCTCTCTTTATGTACATATGTTATTAAAAACTAAAAAATATATGTTATTCGATTAGGCCTGGGTAACATGCGTTTGTCTTTACGAACGAGTTCCACTACAGTTGTATGTGAAAGAGATTTTACTGCAAAATTTTTAATATGTCAGTGGAGATATACATCTAGAACTTAATTTTAGTGAGTGAGAAAGTTAACTCAGCTGGGACGATTGAAAGCGTTTTCCTGGTCACAAAATCATCTACTGAACGTGAGCCATGTTTCTAAGACTTTTGATTACCTACATGCATTACGTCATTGTCGAAAGATCTTCGAGACAAATTATCATTACTATGGCAAATCACATTTTCCCGCCAAAATCAAAGACTCGCGGACGTCTTGTAAATTCGTTTCGCTGCGAGGCTAGACCTGCAAAGAAAAACTCTGCATTCCTAGGGAACCTTGGCTGCTGCGTAATTAATATGTAAACTTAGACGAAACTTTTGTCTTAATTGTTCAGAAGTTTAGCAGATTAATAGAAATTACTGCTTGCTAGCAAGCTGCATTGTTAAATCCGAGCCTTTTAATGCAATCGTTACGCGCCGCATTTTGGCACTCGATTATCAAAAGAGAATGCTTGCTTTAAAGTACACATGCAAATCTGGTACATGATTTTTGGTGATAAAGCCGGCGTCACAACTAAAGTAATCTCCGAGAACGTTCGTATAATTTTTCTTCTTGAAGCTATCCACTGTGTGGCTTTTCATGTCTTGTGTGCTATTCAAAGAAATCCCGCGTTAAGTCTTTCAGACGTGTGTCGTCTCAGTATTTCCGTTAAGAAAAGACTTCCTATCATTGTGATTCTTGTCGTCTGCTATGTAATCCTGCGGACTCCCACGTCTTGCGAGGTTAGCTTGGAAGAAGCTCGTTAATGAACTCTTTCTCCTCCTAAATGTCTGGTCTCGGCTTGAATCTTCACACAACGACCACATAATCTTCTTGAAAGCCCGGCGGTACTCGATGTTGAAGTAGGCATAAATGACAGGGTTACAAGCGCTATTTAAGTTCGGTAGTATGAAAAAGAAGAGAAAGTAGATCGCTGTTTGCACCTTCATTGGAAAGTGACGTAGGTAGTTAGGATTGTAGTAAGAAATAGTGAACATAATGAAAAAGGGCAACCAGCATACTGTGAATGTACCCAGCACAATGGCTAGTGTTTTGGTGGCTTTGAAGTCGCGCACGATACTTCTCTGCTTGCGCCTGTCCTCTTTACTGCTTGAGCCTACGATCATGTCCTTCATTTTGTTGAAATGGCTTAAGGCTGTGCGAAAAATTAAACTGTAACTGACGATCAACACAATGAGCGGAGAAAGGAAAGCAACTATGTTGGCCACAGTGTAAAACACTTTGTTGTCGTTGTAGCAGAGATCGTTTGAAATGTCTATTATTACCCCGTGTGCTCCAGGCCATTTGATTATGGCAAACGACGCCAATATGGGCGCGTACAGCCACACGCCGCCTATAGCCAAGAACGAACGTTTTTTCGTCATATGTCTATGGTAACTGAACGGTTTGGTTATTTTCAAGTATCTATCCACCGATATGACAGCTAAGTTAGCCATGGAGGCTGCGGCACAGACCATGTCCACCCATATCCAAAGATAACACAAGCTTAGATTCGTTAAGGCCGTCACATTCACCACGATTCGGAATGGCAGCCCCGCGAGCCCGTAAAACAAGTCACTGACCGCTAGTGACGCAATAAACCAATTGGTCGGACTACGCAACCGTTGGTCGATGTAGATGGCCAAACATACTAGCGTGTTTCCCACTACTGTGAAGAACAACACGATCACGTAAAATGACAAGAGAAGCTTCTTCTTTAACTCATCCTCTTGTCTATTTATATTTCCCGGTCCAGTTTCGTTATTTGTTGTGTTATTCATGTTGAAGTAAGCTCTCGGGGAAGGTTGCTCACTTGGCTCTTGCAAACTGAAGTGATCAGTTGTTTGTGTTGTATTGAATCCTCAAAGTCAGCTCACCCGCTTTTCTTGATATGTTTATCAATTAATGTTCAACAACTGCTTTTTCACCTTTTCTTGGTCACAGTCAATTGGGTTACCCAGTTCAAATGCGGCTAACGCCGTCAGTATGGTTTCGAGCGCTTCGTCTGGACATCAAATATAAGTGTTGAATTAAGATAGCCCAGGTTTCCCTTGTTCAAGAAGAAACTTGACGCGACCGCAAAAAGTCAGTAATTTTTCTGTGAAACTCGATGATTCGTTGGTGCCTTAAAACCCCAGGTGCTTCTAGTATAAATTAACACTTTCTTCCTGTTGCCTGTCGGGTCGCCTGCCCGGAGAAGAAAGAAAAAACACAGACATTTTGATTTTAAAACAAATCGTCACAATTTAAAAGCAATTACCGTTTCGTCACTTTTGATTTTTAGATTCTAGCTCAGACGTCCTTCTCCCAAAACTAAAATGTCTCTAAAAAACCAATCCCTGGTTCTCTTGAGGGTGTATCTTAATTATTAACTTGTCTGTTTTAAACATGTTTTCTCATGCATTTGGATGAGCAGTTTTAGCGTGGTAAGGCTATCTTAAGATTTAAACTAGGGCTCTTGTTTACGAACTTTTTAGTTTCCCAGATCCGTCATTTGTACTTGACAGGGTGCTTTGAATATCAGCTGTCATCGCTTTTTATCAATCCTCAGGTGTAATAAAAAAGAGTTTTATGGAAGATAGTTTTAGATCACCTGGTGGTAAGGATATTTAAAATCCCTAACGCAACTAACATTTTAGATTTCGACTGCAAACTTTCCTTTGTTCAAAGGGTCTCAATGTCGAGAACAATAAAGTAATATTTTGTTATACAACATGGAACATTATAAGTACAGATATATCTCCCAGGTGAAACGCTGTTGACTGTGTATGGCGCAAGCTTCAAACTTTGACAGTTTTCATTGTAGCCACAGGGGGCGCGTCGACACCCTACATTTGCCTTAGATACAGATGTTTTCGCGTAAACGTCAGCCTTTGATGAAACAGTAACAAAAATAGTTTCCATCTGACATAGACTGAAGTCTCAAACATGGCTTACTACAAAGGTGTCCGAGATTTTCTTCGAAATTGTGAATGAATGTATCCCAGTCACACCTGCGTTAATTGAAGGGATAACAATAGCTTTTAAACAGGGTTTAATAGGTTTTCAAGCGATAAGAGGAGGTCAAAAGGATTGTACGTGATGAAAAATGGGTGTTCTATTGATGTGTTCTATTATTTCGTATACAGTTATACAAATTTGTCTTTGAATCTTGTTCATACTAGTTCTATGTTTTCAAAATGCTTTGCGAGTTTAACACAGGAGACCTATAAGAAATGCGGTTTTTTTTCGCTTTTTCACTTGGTGGTTCTTTTTCGAAAACGTGCCTCATCTTACTCGTGTTCAAAATCATACTTTTCTATCGATTTTCAGTGAACTATGACCATTTCTTTATCATCTAATATTACCAAGCCATTACCAATCGGATAATTAAGTAAAACAGATCTAAATTCGACTTTTCATTACGCGATGCAAAAATTTCTAGTTGTCAACAAATTGTATTAGACTATTGAACAAGACCATTATTTCAAAATGGTTGTGTGCCACTGATAAACCTGTTTTGCGAATTCAAGGTGTAATTTGTATTAGAAAATATAATTTTGTAGAGCATAGGAGCGCCAATTGAAGCTTTTCACCGAAAGTTATTTTCCAACTTGAAGTTTTTTTTGACAGTTGACAGTTTTCTTAAAGCTAGCGTACAGATTTCGAAAAACCTCTTGAGTTGTTTTCAGTTTTTATGCGACGTTTTTTACGTTATGGCTTAGATATCCTCTAACAAATGATAATTAAAAATCTCATCCAGTCGTGGGTTATTGGAGTTTCTATGCATGCAAGGCAAATATTCCTGTTCAGGATTTGTTATTTCTGAGAGTGGATATTTGTCGCGCTGCTTTCTGATGAAGTTTTACTAAGAGAAATGTTTAGTTTTGTTATAAACGGTCGAACGACTCAGGCAGTTGAGAATTCACGAACAAACATCGGAGAGTGTGCTCGTACCCTTAAATGAAATAAGAAAACTATTAACACGAAAGAACAGTAAAAACAGTTGTTATGCCAATATTTACCTTACTCAATTCTTTAAAACCCACGATTGTTTCCTCCACATGAACGTTTAGAGAACAGTTTATAGGTGACCGAATTCACAGATTGACGGCGGCAAACTGATTTGGATCACTCAGTTAGCACGACTGGTGTTGAACTAGGGTGTTTTTAACCTCAATTGCTTAATGTCTTTTGTTTCGGATTGGAATAAATAAATAACTGTATCATTGTTTCTTCCGACCGTCACCTGTTTCTTTAGCCTACGGCTTAGCTTTGTCACAATAAGATTCAATCCTGCTCAATCCAACAGATTTACGTCCTACTTCTTCCTGTCGTTGAGATTTAGCACTTTTCATTTCGCAGCGCATTGTTTTAACGTACCCGGCGAAATATCGGCAAAGTACGCAGTTAAATTGAGCAAAACAATGAAATTATGAGGGAAACACAAAAGGAAAGTAGGAAATATGTGATTTGTATGGGAAGGTGCTAAAATATCAAATATTAACTACATTTAGCGGATTTTTTGTGTCGGTCTTTCAAAGTGTTCTAGTTCAGTCGGCGTTTACAACAAGGTTATTGTAGGGATTTACTTCTGAAAAGATTTTAAAATAAATGGAAGAAACTCCAGTTAAGCGTCGTAACGGAAGAATATCCACTCTTGTTCTACTGAAAAAAGATCTAGCTCGCATGTTATCGTCAAATAGCTCGTGCCATTTTGAAATTTAAGTTAAGTAAAATTTTCTTAAGGGAGTATTTCACAAGAGCTATCGCTGCATTCTGTTAATCTGCTAATAGATCGATAGCTTTTCATTATGCACGGATCTGCATGGCATGATTAAGCAAACACAAACCGGCGAGAGTCACCGTAAAATTTACTTTCAAACATCCGTTCAGATCAAGAGAGTTACTTTTCATTAGTTAATTCAAGAAATCAGATGCAGTTTACGAAGCTAAAATAAATCATGAAAATTGCACGCAAAAACAAAGCTACACTATCCACACTACGTCGTTGTTGTTTCAGGATACATAGGAGAATAACATCAAGTGATATACAGAAGAGCTAAAAAAGTGTGCGTTTTAGAGCTTTTTCGTTTGCGTGGGGCTTTTAACTTACTTATCTTTTCTAAATCGGTTATTGATTACATTGTTTTCGCGTACGCAGTCATTGAAATATGTTTTTTTTTTTTTCAATCGCATTTTTCTTTATCTATTAATCGCCACGAGGAGAACTCAAGCTGTGTTGTGTAGTGACAACAGTGATCTTCTATCACAATCTCCTTCCGTGCACACGTACACACGTTTGTAAACGACTATTTAATTGACGAAGATAGTTTGATTGATAAATATTAATTTCTCGCGCAGCGTCTCAACACTTGTGATATTCTTGCTAGACACGTTTTACATTTTGAAACTTGGAAAAATTAAACAATTCAAACGTCTTCCTCAGACAATACTTGTATGACTACAATGAAATAAATTTTGTATTTTGAGCAATTTGTACCTTGAGTTCGCATCTGGCTTACATTGTTCACAATATCTCTATTTTTTTTCGTCATTTTAAAGAGAGTAAAGTTTTGTGTATGTTTAAGTAGGGAGTGGAGAGCGCGAAGTGATGGTAGCACTGCTACCCTATTTCCATTCCTGTCAGTAGCTTTCAGTCCAATGCGTTCTGCCCGAAGCATTCAAATCACTGATAAAGTAAGAAGGACGAGACAGTGCTACTCATATCAATGGCGGATCTAGAGGGAGGGCCCCCGCCCTTATTTTGGGTTAAAAAATATAAAAATTAAAAAATTAAAAAAAGAATCGCAGAAGGAAGAAAAGCCAGCAGGGCAAGCGACAAAAAACCTTGTCGTTTTCCTCGTCATTTTAAATTGTTTTTTTTTTTTATAATCATCTGTTCTTCCTGTTTTTCTGTATCGTTGTAAGCCACAGAAAATCAATAACGCTACCTCAACGATACAAACTTTTGCAATCGACCTTTGAGTTTGATGTATGCTTCTTTAAAGATCACCTCTAACTCTCTGACTCCATATAACTTATAAAACTGCAAACCAGGAGAAAGAAGATTGAGTGACCACCACGAGCACGTAGCCACTGAAGTCAATCCTTACCGTGATTGGAAATACAAAATCGGTGGCGTATCAAGTTGAACATTCAAGCAGATAAGCTCTGTCGAAATCATCCTAGCCAAATCAGAAACCTGGAAACTCCAATTTTGGTAATGCTTTCGAAAACCCGCCCTCGCTTTGCATGGATGCAACAGTTAATTCATTCTCTTTTTCGTCATTTTCTTGCATTCAATGTATAACGTTCATCCAGATCCAATTTCGTTTCCTGTTTTTTCCTTTCATCGTAATTTTTCACTGCAAATTCAGCCAAATCGCGTCATATTATAGTGCTCCACATGGCATAAGTCCTTATGTTGTTTCAGTTTGCTGTAACCGTGTAGTAGAATTTTAGCGCGGTAAATTATTGTGGTGTTAAGAAAGTAATTGATACCTTTAGGACCAAACATGTGTTTGATCTGTTTCTGACACATTTTATAAACTATTATCGCTCTCCTGCAAAAGTCAACAACAGCATTAGAAAAGGTTGAAATAAATCCTTGCATTTGTCAATTCCGTAGAGCTAATTCTTTGTTACGATTCTACGTAGCAAAACAATCAAAATGATACGAACCACAGTAAGCGGTTTAGAGAATGTTGGTGTCGAAACTGTAGTGCACGTTGAGCTGTTCTGTTTATTTTAGGCACATTGTGATATTGGTTTTACAATGGTAAGTGCCGAAACGCTCCTCATTCCAGACAAAGACCCGTTTTGAAGTGCCCTCATCCGCAGCAATCTCGGCTTTGCATATGGTTAGAGTTAATCAATTTTTTTTTTAAGTAGCCTGTCAAACAGAATTGTGAGTATAATAAAAGTGTGGACAGCATTAGGAAACTGTTACTGAATAACTCAACATGTTGACGTGCACGTCAGGCTTTGGCACCAGCAATATAACTCACGAGTATTTATCTTCCATAAATCCGTGTTAGAATCACAAAAATGTTCTGAAGTGTACAAATTAGTTTGCAGTATGACAAAAGGCAGGAACAAGTTGTGCATGAAAGAAATAAAATAAGCATATTTTCTTGAGTATCAGTATAAAAGGACTGAGTAGTTGAATTACGATGTTTTTTGTCAATATTGGCATTAATTCATTA